AGGCTGAGCACGCGTCATTGCAGCGCCTGAGTGATTCGAATTTCGAATTTGGATCTTTGATTTTGCGCGTTTCGTTATTTTATTAAATGTAAAGATTTCACCACCAGTTTATTAAATTCATAAAGATTTAATTATTTTTAGGTTGTTTTTAATATTAGATTTTTAATGACAATCGTTGTCAATATAAAATAATATAAATCGTCGCGTCACACGTCATTTTTCATTTGCGCATCTACCAGCATTTTTCACTCAAATAAAACTTCATGCAAAGAAAATAGAAAATAATTTTCTTAAATATTCCAGTTTATTGGCATTTTTTGATTATCTGGAAAAAGTATTTTTGCTTGATAATGTTGCTAATAATGATTAATTTTGTTTTTCTGCTTTTTGTTGATATTGAACTGAAACTGCAATAAAATGCCATCTGTTGGAAACCGTGAAAACTACGATGGTACCATAGCTTCACTGGTGCTGGAAATTGTAAAGCTCTTCAATAAAAGTAGTTCTACGCATATAGTTTAGATGGCGCTATTCTAGAGTTTTCTTACTTGAGTTTTCCTTTGTTTTTTTTAACTCTTATTTAATTATAAAAATTAACTATGGTGATTTAGGATATTACTTATGTACCTAATAAAGAATCTAAGAAAATGTATAAAATCTTGATTACCCGTGAAGACGGGTAAAGGTGTCTTCACAACTAAGCAAAATAAAATGTCACAAACAATTAATTTTAATGAGAGTGTGCACTGTGCAATATACGTAAATAAAAGTGTGACTGAAAAAGATAGGTAATTACTTATTAAAAGCGCAACAAACCAGTTACATTAATTTATAGCACCTATTAAAACTAAACTTTGTCAAAACTTTAGGACGTAGGTAGAGTACACTGCCAAACTTATCTAAATCACGCTTCATTAAGGTTATTTAATATTTTTTGTATCAAAACCCACGCGAACGAAGTAACGTAGGTAACTATGTAAGTAGGTAGGTATATCAAATTAAACATCATAGTGTGCACTTACCTTAGCCGCCATTAGCCACATTAGCCGTGGGTAAACACCACACAATGGCGACACGCTCTGACGACCCCATGGATCTGCATCCGGGATGGGTCAGACTAAATGTTCACTTTGTTTGCTTTTAATTTAACATTTTCTTTGTCATTTGTGTCTCGTTTCTTTAAACAATAAACATTTAGACACTTGCTGTTTTAATGCAATCACAATTATCAAAACTAGTTACTTGGACCCTAAGTTTCTTAGGCTGGATAGCACCATCTTACTTTAACTAAAATAAACGTTAAAAATCTGTCGTCAAACTCCATACAAAAAACACCGGGTTATAGTTACGGTTGAAGTTAGATGGTAGAACTCAGCCTTAGCTTAATTCAGACTTTTCCCGTCCAGCAACACTTTTTCCTTAACGATTTTAAAAGGTGCTTCCTTAACAGAGAAATTAAGGTAAAATGGAAAAGATAAGTTGAAACTATCATCGCCATTATTATCTTTTTCGTTTTCCCAGGTTTTTAAAGGTTCAGTCAAACCAACGCGATCCTTTAAGCCAAAATTCTTCTAACAATCGTCAGTTAAAGCGTTAAATAGTAACTTGTATACAATTATTTTGCGTTTTAAACCTGAATAATTAAGATTAAAAAGATTGTAGAGTTCAGTGCACGACAGTCTTCATTGCCTCTACAGTCTACATTCGTCATAATTTAGTCATAATTGCTAAATTACTTATCTTCTTCTTCTTCTTTTCGTGTCGACAACAAACCTACACAGTGTCAGCCCAAAACTCCGCCACAAGAGTGACGTTGTCAGCAGCACTCATCAAATCCTCCTGAGTGCAGTTGCTTATGTAAACATTATTATTTATCTTATCAACCAAGCTTGTATTTTGATGATATTTCTTTCAAAGTCAATTTGCTTTAAGTACCTATGGTTAGACCATTAACAGACTTAAACAAAAACCTATCTATCTAGACGCCCCAAAGATCACAAGTTTAAAAATCAAATTATAAATTCCACGGTAGTAAAAGTACCTTTTTCTAAAAGACAAGGAATATTGTGCAGGTTTTCCCATAATATGAAACATCCAAAAATGGTCTAAGTCATATCACTTCCCGATGTCAGAGATTTATTAAACACTAGCTTTCCGCCCGCGGCTTCGCCCGCGTGGAATTTTGTCTGTCACAGAAAAACTTTATCGCGCGCGTTCCTGTTTCAAAAACCGGGATAAAAACTATCCTATGTTCTTTCCCGGGACTCAAACTATCTCTATGCCAAATTTCATCAAAATCGGTTGCGAGGTTTAAGCGGGAAAGCGTAACAGACAGACAGACAGACAGACAGACAGACAGACAGACAGAGTTACTTTCGCATTTATAATATTAGTTGGGATATTAGTTGGGATACTCGTACTTACGCCCGTATTCACAAACATTACTTTGAGGTCTCACAGTGCGCGTGGACGCACAGGATGACACACAAACCAATCACAGAGCTCTATTCATCGCTGTGCGTTCGATTTGCTGCTTCACTTAATCAAGCATCGTTCGTGAATACGGGCGTTAGAGTTTGATAATATTTCCAGTATTTTAATCTCAATTAAATATATTATGTACTTAATTTATGTTTGTAATGAAAAAATAAGAGCAACTGTAACAATAACATGTCGTGGATTTAGTTATTGTTTTGCTGTCGCGGTCGACGATCGACCTATTAACCCAGGCAGGGGCGCGCAACAGTTGTACGCTAATTAATTAGCTTTTAACTAGATTAATTGTTTAACTCGATTGTTTCTATGTATAATTAAAATTTGTGAAAATTTATACCCCTTGGTTTTTATAGAGGTGATAACTATAGGGCTTTGACCAACTACTCTGTATCTATGCAATTTATGTATTTGTAAGCTGTTTGTTTTCTGAATAAAATAAAATAAAATAAAGTACTGATTTAGAGGTAACATTTTACTTTCATAGTTTAAGTCAGTGTTAAAGTACCATTTAAATAACTTTTACTAGTGCAGTCATAATTTCATGAACAGGTAAGTACCTGATTAAAAAATGTTTGTAGAATTTTTTAAACTTCATGTTATAGCTAATTAGTGCATGCAGAAAGAAAATAAAAGTTTATTTCCTAAGTTCCTTGTAACAGGAAGAGGATAATGTATGTTTTTAATAATTTCACATAATTAATTAATGCTACTTCACAGATTTTATGGCAATCTACAGCAATTAAGTTTTAAACCTTGTTCCGCTAATAACATTTCATTTTTCCCGTCATAATCCTTAATTAATACTTTTACTGCAACTTCTCAGAATTATTGCATTCGGAAACCACTTAGCGTGAAGGTTAAAAATAAACGACATATTTATTTAGCCCACATCATGTACCGTTAACGAAAAAGGGTAAAAAGTTGGGCACACCTGCCGCATACATTCGCGACCTTTGCATTGGTACCGGTCCATAGTCGCTGCGCGTCTCTCACCGGTTCCTCTTCCGATCTATCTGGTTTCGAACGAGATAAGAAAGTCTATCGGCGAAAATAACTCTTGCAGAGCGGTGAATTAAAATTAAAAAAAAGTTCAATTACTTTTATACATTTTAAAAAAGTGACATAGGTATAGTGCCGGCAAAACACGCGAATGTAGAGCGGTTTACAAAAAACTATTCCTATTTTAAAATTGAAAAAGTTTATTACTAAATTGTTTCACTAGTGGCCAGTTACATAAAAGTGACATCTTAAACTGTGATATTATTAAGCGATTATAAAAATAACTTATTTATTTATTTTGTGGATTTTAATTGAAGAAAATGGATAGTGTGACTTTCTAATTCCAGTGCTAATAAAAATTGAATTTCAAAATGAAGTGGGCGTATATTTTATTTATGTTGGTTTCGATATGTTTTAAGTTTGGTGAATTCAGTGAGCTACAAAATATTACAAGGTTCGTATTTTTTCTAAAAGTCTCTACAAAAAAGTCTACTCCAATTTTGTAAAAATATCACAATAAGTAATAGTTATAAGTACTTTTAGTTTTATTAATATTAGTTCCCTTTAGGTACAATATAACATTAGGTACCTAATCATTGAAGTTCATTAAACACAATACGACACGAATATCAATGAGAATACTCCAATTATTTAAATGAACTTTATATTGAGTAGGTACTTTGCTGGTTAATTTATTGTATAAACTATAAACGTAACTGTAGTAAAAATTAAATTTCCGACTTCCAAAAATTTTTAATCTATCGTGTGTGTTTTTAAGCTTTTTAAAATCGTTATTTTTTACAACTGCTTTCTTCCAAACCATTTATTGACCAAACCATTTATACAACGTAGATACCTACCTATACTAACTTACAAAGAAATACAGTAGTTACTAAGTTATGTATATTACTGTGCATCCTTCCTTAGCTACACAAAACTGTTTTAGAAGTTCGAGATGTTGATTCATTACTTGCAATTTGATAGCCATATCCGCTCCGGACTCAAGACAAGGTTCATTGTTTGATGATAATTTTAAACAGCTTGTTTTGTACGAAACATACTTCGTTACGGACTTTTACAACAATATTTAATAATTTCGAATACGTGTGGCTAATTGATTTCAACAAGAAACCCTGTCCATAACACAGACATCTCTTCATCTTTTCATCAACATTATTTTGGCAAAAAATCTAATTCCGATGCCATAAACTAATTAATTACACAAAAAAGTTCAAACACTGGCTGACGAAACTTTTTCTTACGCCGCCATGACAAAAAAAAAGTTTGTACAAAACAAAAATGGCGGGAACCTGATCATGTTTTCCTAAAAATTTTCTCGTTTGTTTTTGGAAAGAGATCATGATCTTCAATTGTTTTCTTTAACATAATCCACGAAATTTTCATGGTTACTCTAAGTGGTTACTTGAGCAAATTGGAAATAATATTTGCGGCAGCCGAGATGTAAGTAACTGATTTTAGTGTTACCCATTTATTTTGAAAGAATAGAACAAGTATGTAGGCAATAAATATCATGTATTTTTAAAAATTGGGTTAGTTAATTAGATAAATACTTAGTTTTCTTGGCTTGTATCAGGTACGGCAGCCGTGACGGCCTGGAAAATTACCTACCTACCCACTTTTCCTCTTTTAACTAAAGTAGATATTTAGTCTTCCTATAAAATTAGTATTATTGTAGAATACTAAAGATTATTCAAACTAGTTTGCATGTAAAGTAAAGAAGGCCATGGTTGTTTCTTACTATAAGGAAACAGTTACGATGTAATTGTCCCGGCGCATCGCGACCTTAGCCGCCATGGGAAATAAAACCCATAGATTGTTTATTATTATGATCGCCTGTCGCGATTGACGATGATTGATTATGATTAAATAATATTGTTATTTAATTTAATTTTATGGGTAAACACATTGTGAGAGAAAATCTAAGACCAAATGTAGCAATAACAATTAACATAACTTTAAGAACAAAAACTTTTGCACGTCGCATGCGACAGAATATGCTGGAATTAACTAAATTAACACCAATCTAACCATGTTCTTGCAAATAAATGATTTTATTATTATTATTATTATTGTGATTCAACTGTAGCTATGGTGTCCCAGTCGTCTGTCCTAGTTGACATAAATAAAAATAAACTTGTACTTACCTACCTAAATACCATTAATACGGTTTCAATAAGTCATGAAAATGGCATAATTCTATGTGAAAATTTCAAAATGTATTGTGTATTTCTTATACATACTTAGGTATTAATTAACAAGCTCCTTATTAAATGTAGTTTTTGCATTACAACGCTAATTATGATATTTCTCTAGAAAAAATTTGTCACCCTAAATGCGAGTTTGGTTCTCAATCTCAGCTCAGTTTCCATATGAGACTTTTGATCTGGGTCATCGGCGGCGTTTTTCAATCAAAAACAAATAGAAGTAATGTGTTGCTTTAAAGTATTATATTGAACCAATACCGACACAATATAAAAACTAAAAGCAAACATTAAATGCTAATGTTTGTATAGTTGTGTAGCATCTTTATTCTCTAGTTATCCGCATGGCGTAAAACGATCAGCGATTTGCAATGCATAACCACGTTATGAGTAACTACCATGAATTTCATTTATAAATATCACCATCTCATAGCACTATCTGAGAGAAACTTTTAGTGAGCCATTTAAGTAATAATCAACGGCTATGCTCCATCATTCGATCAGAATTTACAAGGAACCGTATCATAGTACAGTCGCGGAATGAAAAGGTTCGTCACCTTAGTGTCGGTTTTCGCTTGCACTAGGTACTGTAAGAGTCAAACCTGCCAACATAACCGTGCGAGAAACAGTGCTGCTAACATTTAAATAAATATGACCTTTGCTAACGAATAAGGTTTTGCTTGTTTATTTTTTTATCCCATCAGTGCAATGCAATGATGACATTGACCAATTGACAATAGTTTTTTTTATTTAATAGAAATAATAATGGCAGGTTGAACCAACAAGAAGGTTTTAGTTTATCAATCATAATAATCTTCTTGACAAGATAAATCGTCAAACAACTTTGAGCTGAATAATTTTGAACTTTACTGACGAACATTTAAAGATTATTTTCTCTAACTCGAGATTATTCTGTAACATAGTTCCAAAAGGTAATATGTGCTCGCGATTCGTTGAAGGAATCAATTTGAAAACTGACGAACCTTTTCATTCCGTGACTGTACATTACAATTTAGCAACTATTATCATCAATTCATCTTTTCCAGCCCATACCCTTGCACAGACCTGAACCACCTGTTCCTAGCGCCAGGAGTGCTCACAGCCGGGGGCAGCAATAGGGCCTGTGTATCCAGGTTCGCCCCAGATGGCCCTGCGAGGATGGAGCTCACCTTGATCTCTGGTGACGAGGCAGAAGCTATGGCATCGAGAGAACTTCCACCAGGTAAGTGGTAAATTATGAGGAAGGCCCTTTGAAGTTCGCTTCCACATTCGGCCTGATTGTCACTTACCATCAGGAGAGATACAGGCCAAGAGCTTCCTCGTTTTGAATAAAAAAAAGACAGATCCTGATGATTTTCCTGGAATAAATTGTAATATGGAATCTGAAACGTTTATCTGGTTTTAGGTGATGGTGGCTGCATTGATATCGCTGTTCCACAGAAACCAAATACCAAAGCAAAGTTGGTGGTAAGCTTATGGTGAGTGTTCTAGCTTTATACCTCAACAATAGCTTAGTGATTGTGCCCTCTGAAAACTTAGATGACCAAGCGACTGGGCCATATAAATATTAACTTCTGCTATATTTGTTTGATTAGAGTAATTGGTTCAAGAAGAGCAAATAAAATAAGTAAAGTTGGTTGGAATTCGTAGCGCTTATAGGTACTTTCAGCAGCTTTTTTTATTCACCTACTGTATCCAACTCCCTAATTCTTGAACGTATCTTTACCCAAGGTCTATACAAGAGTAACAAACGGTTGACCTCTTTCTCTCTAGGTACCCCGAATCCAAATGCTCATGGCAGCGGGAGCTAGCAGTGACCATTTCAAGCGGTCGGGTCGTAGTGGCGCACACAGAGCGCTCTCGCTACCGGCCGGGGGACACGCTGCGAGCACGTGTCATAGTGCTAAAGCCGGACCTAACACCAGCTCATGGTGTGGTGAGTACGTCTTGTTATAACAGCTGATAACAATCCTCTAGATACGCCGAATTCAAGTGCTCCTGGCAGCGAGAGCTAGCAGTGACCATCTCAAGCGGTCGGGTCGTAGTTGCCCATACAGAGCGCTCTCGCTACAGGCCGGGAGACACGCTGCGAGCACGTGTTATAGTACTGAAGCCGGACCTGACGCCAGCTCACGGTGTGGTGAGTACATCTTGTTATAACAGCTGATGCTAATCCTCTAGGTACGCCGAATCCAAATGCTCATGGCAGCGGGAGCTAGCAGTGACCATTTCAAGCGGTCGGGTCGTAGTTGCCCATACAGAGCGCTCTCGCTACCGGCCGGGGGACACGCTGCGAGCACGTGTTATAGTGCTGAAACCGGACCTGACACCAGCTCATGGTGTGGTGAGTAAATCTTGTTATAACAGCTGATGCTAATCCTCTAGGTACGCCGAATCCAAATGCTCATGGCAGCGGGAGCTAGCAGTGACCATTTCAAGCGGTCGGGTCGTAGTTGCCCATACAGAGCGCTCTCGCTACCGGCCGGGGGACACGCTGCGAGCACGTGTTATAGTGCTGAAACCGGACCTGACACCAGCTCATGGTGTGGTGAGTAAATCTTGTTATAACAGCTGATGCTAATCCTCTAGGTACGCCGAATCCAAATGCTCGTGGCAGCGAGAGCTAGCAGTGACCATTTCAAGCGGTCGGGTCGTAGTGGTGCACACAGAGTGCTCTCGCTACCGGCCAGGGGACACGCTGCGAGCACGTGTTATAGTACTGAAGCCGGACCTGACACCAGCTCATGGTGTGGTGAGTACGTCTTGTACAGCTGATGCTAATCCTTTAGGTACCCCGAATCCAAATGCTCGTGGCAACGAGAGCTAACAGTGACCATCTCAAGCGGTCGGGTCTTAGTGGCCCACACAGAGCGCTCTCGCTACCGGCCGGGGGACACGCTGCGAGCACGTGTTATAGTCCTGAAGCCGGACCTGACACCAGCTCATGGTGTGGTGAGTACATCTTGTTATAACAGCTGATAACAATCCTCTAGATACCCCGAATTCAAGTGCTCGTGGCAGCGAGAGCTAGCAGTGACCATGTCAAGCGGCCGCGTGGTAGTGGACCATACAGAGCGCTTGCGATACAGGCACTATAAGCACGTGTTATAGTCCTGAAGCCGGACCTGGCGCTAGCTCACGGTGTGGTAAGTTATTCTTATTGATTCAGCTGATTACACCCCTACATCCTAGATTAGGCTCCCATCTTCATCACAACATGAGATCTGGAAAATGGACACTAAATTCCCACTTCAGGAGAAAATGTGGGATTTCACTCTCCCCACTCTGGCCAGACGATTGCTTGACGAGAATAGCCTACACATAATATTGCAGTGGCTGGTATCCAAATTTCAACCTTGAAGGATGAAGGAGTAGGCCAACCAAATCTAAGGACAGAGGAGCAAAAGAACCTGAAAATACAGCAAGTAAGCTCCCTCTAACTAAGATCCAAAGACAACGCTTACGCTTACGCTTAGAGTATTAAAGTGATCTCCGGAACCAAAGGGTGCATTTGCAACCTTTGTCACGACACGACGATGTCCTGGACTCCAAAACCTATGAAATACAAAAGCAAAATTAGTTTTCTATCTACATTTATTATGCTGCTTAAGTTTATGTGATAACTAAATAGCATCAAATTCAAACATTTAATTAAATCCTTCTACGGCTAAAAGCTTTATTATTGTCATGTTTATGGTCATGACCAGTCATGACCGGCCTCGGGCGTGAGTGGTGTTTTAACATGACATGTTATTTAATACCAATTACCTCCATGAGCACATGTTTACTGAATGGGACGTCAATTTCACGATCTGCCGGACCATGATTATAATGATTATCTATTAGATGAGTAAAAAGTGCCCGCAAAAAAGGATAAATATGACTCATCATGACCTTCACATTGTGATTATGATCTAGGCATCCATTGAGGCTTAAAATAAAGAACTATTTAAAATCAAAAATATTTTATTAATAAATGTCGCGTTAAGACCCGTGTCTTACTATTTTAGTCAAAAATATTTTATTCAATTTTGACCACCGTTGGCACTTATGAATGTTAAATACAGTAAAAAGGTAGCTCTTACGGCACTTTACATGACGTCTCCTATCTTTTATTTATAAAATATAGTAAAGTAAGTAAGTAGGTACTTATTGAACTAGTTAAAAATGTTTTGACTGATAAATTGGGTATTTTCGGTTCGCGACCGATAAAGGTTACGGAGATAAGCAAAAAATCTGGACATGGGTACCTTTAAGTTAGAAAGAAATAAATGCGCTTTCGTATACCTTCATGGAGTCAGCGACATATACGACATGCCTAATTTTAGCACCTATTAAAAGTCTGGTTATAGCGTCGAGAAAGGGAGAGATAAATGCACTTTAGTTATGTAGTAAGACATGTTGCAAATTTTAGTTTAATAGCAAAATTACGGTTAAGTGCATTTCAAGTCTACTCAAGAGATGTGTAGCTAGAATGGAGGAATACCTATTAGAGAATCTCAATGTACGCCTTAGGTACAGCCAAAGGCTAGTAAATAAACATGCAAATAAGTCTTCGATGTGTCCGATTAAAACAATAAATTACCGGCAAAATACATGGCGACAACCATGAGAGATAACCTTCGGCAAATTTTAATATTAGCTACCAATAATCCCTAAGAATATTATGCAACAAATATTTTAGGTGTAACGTGGTTTACAAACAAATAACAATTTAATTCCGTGTCATCAACTTTAGGAATTGAAAGGTATTTGACAAAATACTGAGAAATGCTTTATTATTGTAACAGTCGACAAAAAGTAGGTCTATAGCATGAAATAAGAATGACTAAAAATCGTCAATCATTGAAGTGAATTTATTGCTCAAAGTTAACCAATCAGCCCAATTAAGTTTTACAATGATTGTCATGCATCTGGGTACATACATTATTATTAGAAGAGAGATGAAGCAAATCACGTTTTAAAAATATATTATCATCATTTTGTTACATAATCGTCCTTTGTTGTTGGAAACTACAATGTTGAGTTGAGACTAATGGATGATTTAGACATCGCGAATTGAGCCATGTCAGAGCCTGTGGTATCTCATAAAGTCTGACAACAGCGTTCATGCAACCTTAGTTTTCTGCCTATGTAGAGAAGCACTTGATTGCCCCATTTCCAAGATATCGATTCTGGTAACGTGTAAAGCTCTACCGGTATTAAAAGCAGCAATTAACGGTTAATGTATCGACATCGAGTGCAGAGAAACCGGTGAATTTCGCATAAACAAGATTTGCATGCCCTCACAAGTGGGTCAGTGTTACGGGAGCTTGACGCGACCGGTTTTGAGGCTGGCTATTTTGAGATACGCGATGGAATTTGCTGGAGATGGGTGATCCTTGATTGAAGTGTTTTTGACCACAAGACAATACATAGCTAAAATAGTGAGTCCGACTGACCCTTCCTGCGACTTTCATGGCAAAGAGAGTCACGCTCGTTAAAGAATTTTCTATTTGGAAATGGGACCTTTTTTAGCGTAAAGCCCCCAGAATGGATGATTCCCCCAGAATCTTAAGTTATAGTAACAAGTTGATTTAAAAAACTGACTCAAATGTAACTGGTACCTAGATGAACCTGGCAGAATCCATTGTTTGCTCTTAATGCAAGATCAATCTAGGTTAAGTATTCTATTGTGAGCGTAAATATTGTAAGCATTAGAATTGCGCAATCACAAATCACCTAGCCCTAAGACAACTGTGTAACTTTTCTTGTATTTGTATTGTTGGTTGTCCTAAATAAATAAAATAAATAAGTATACTAATCGTAAGAAACGATATGCTACGCCTCCAGACAACGAAATTCCGAACGCGACGTATCCAATCATAAAATATTTGTTTGTACTTCGTTCGACAATGTCAACGATTTCGCACCATTTAAGTATTATGTGGACTCAGCGGTAGTTTAACACGGTCAATGGGTGAAGGTCTGATGAGCGTTTTGTGTTTAACCCTTTCAGACCTGAATTATTTTTTTTTCATCCGATCAATTTAGTAAAATTTATGCAACTAAAGTATAGTTAGGTATGTAAGAAAAAAATAATGAAAAAAATCCTAGTGTTATTCTTTTCGAGAAAATGCATTTTCTTTTTATGTCTACAAATGTGGTCATCCGTCCCACGTGAAAAAAACTTATAGGATTAACTGTGTTATTGAAATAATAGAACGTACTTTTACGGAGCTCTTTTTAATTAGTTTTTATTAAAAAATCTTCTTTTTTATCTAAATAACAAAATTAAATGTCTTCTTTCATCATCATCATCACCATCATCATCTCAGCCATAGGACGTCCACTGCTGAATATAGGATAGGAATAAAGTCCTAATAGGACTCTTCCAATGTTTTCCATGTTGCTCGGTTGGTAGCGGCCTACGTCCAGCGCTTTCCTGCTTCCTTTATGATGTCGTCGGTCCACCTTGTGGGTGGACGTACCACGCTGCGTTGTTTCGGTACACAGTCTCCACTCCAGAATCTTGCTGCCTCTTCGGCCGTCAGTTCTGCGTACTATGTGCCCTGCCCATTGCACCTTCAGCGTGCTAATCAGTCGGGCTAGTCAGCGACTTTAGTTCGTTTACAGATCTCCTCATTTCTGTTTCGATCTCGTAATGAAACACCGAGCATAGCCCTATCCATAGCACGCTGTGCCTCTTTGAGCTTCTGTATAAGGCCTATAGTGAGAGCCACGTTTCCGAACCATAAGTCATTAATGGTAACACACATTAGTTGTACCTACACTTTAGTCTTCAGGCACTGAGGTATTTTAGACGAAAAGATGTTGCGTAATTTCCAGAACGCTGCCCAGCCGAGTCGGATTCGACGATTGACCTCTTCCTCGAAATTGGACCTACCTAGCTGAATCGTTTGTCCGAGGTAGATATATTACTGTCAATAATTTCGAGGAATCGATCAATGGCTAAGGCTTCTCCATATTTCTCTTAGTCATCTGAAGATAGCACAAAATCAGAAAGATTTCCGTTATCAAGTGTTCTCAAGGCCTCTGGTGAGAACATTTTGACAGTATATTATCTGGATATAAAAAAAAATATATTTAATACATTACATAAATATATTATATTATTTCTGACATAAATGTATTTTTTGAACAATAAAAAAGTTGAACAAAAAAGAATTTATAATAAAACCGTTATCACTTGGAACAATTTCAAAATGCTCAGTTGCCTCCTGATGGGATCATTTGAGTACAAATCTAAAACTCGACATTAGTAATACAAAGACAACACAAAATACACAAATTGTATGTTCTATGTGTCCCTTGTAATACTAAATACACGCTAGTATTTATTACATAAGATATCTGTCACTATTTCATATTTTTTCGAAATAAAATAAAGAGGTCACCTGCACAGTTCAAATCACGCTCGGGCACTGGTTGAAACTTGTCAATTAGTGATATTATACCACGAGAGATGGTCTTAAAAGTACTGAATTAGGTAGTTTATTAAGTGAACAAATGAAGACAACCATTTTAAGTTTCAAATGTACAGAGTTAAGTTTATAATTTTGATTTATATTTTATGTCTACAATTGTGGACGCCAGGTCTGAAAGGGTTAATTTTTACAATATATGCTAAAACTGATCAGTAATGTGTCATCTATACTAATATTATAAAGAGGTAAAGTTTGTGTGTTTATATAAGAACTATTTATTAGTCCAAACAAATAAAGAAATGTTGACTTTGACTTTGACTATAATTTGTTATATTGTAAGGTCGGGATCTACTGAACGGACTTTAAAAAGTCTTTCACGAATAGAAAGCCACATTATTGCTGAGTATCATAGGTTATATAAAAAACCGAAAAGCCCGGGCGAAGCCGCGGGCAGAAAGCTAGTACATTTATAAAGTTGTCACATGGAATAAAATTATGCAAAATGTTAGCCTACAATTATTAAATTGTAATTGATTGATTCTGTGTCCTAGCATTTCCTTGAACAGAGTTACAATGTTAGACGCTTGCAAACGTAATAGTTCAAATGTCGGGTAGGACCTTTGTAATCTTGACAGCACGCTCATCGTTTCTTTCGTAAAACATTTGCTGTGTCAATTGTCGCTTCAACTGTTTGATCAGAAACAAACGCCCATCGCAATGACAGTTACGGTTTAGTATCCTCACAAACAGCCTTCTCGTTACAGATCGACGAAGTCTGGCTGGAAGGTCCCGCGGGTGCGTGGGAGGGTACAAGGGCTGCGCAATGGTTCCGAGTGAGAACTCGCATGGGCATCGCTCAGTTACAACATGAGCTGGTTGGAGCTCCTACTGGCAGATGGACGCTACGGGTGAAACTAGCGGATGGTGCGCAGGTTAGTGACAGCCCTTAGCAACTTCTGAATATCTTGCATCCTTGTAGAAAGTTCTGCTGGTGCTTGAGTCTGAGCTACGGTGGGAGTGCGGTGCAATGGTTCCGAGTGCGGACGCGTATGGGCATCGCCCAGTTGCAACACGAGCTGGTTGGCGCTCCTACCGGAAGATGGACGTTAACAGTCAAGATGGCAGATGGCGCACAGGTTAGTGGCACCCCTTGAAAATGTCAGATCATCCTGATTTAGGACACCTTGGTAAAAAGTTCTTCTGGTACTTTGGACTAAGCCAGCTATTAGTGGAGAATGAGAGCGGCGCACTTTGTTAGGACGCATATTATGGGCATCGCTTAGTTACAACATGAGCAAGTTTTGTTGGTGTTGGGAATTGAGCTAGCTAAGGGATAGTTAAAACCACTTGAACACGTTGACAATCAAGGCCAACATGGTGAAGGTTAAAAATAGACAATATCTAGGTGTGAAATCTAGGCTAGATATTAAAATTTTATGCTAATTCGTAATTGATGCTGTCTAGACTGTCTGATCATGTTGTATCGAAATTGAAGCAAATTATATCTAATAGATTATATTCCCTGCATTATTTGTAGAACTTCTAAGTGTATATGCTGTGACTAACTCTATAATATAGTTTTATTTGTTGACTACAATCTATACTTTAGTTAGCGTTCAGAAAAATGTGACAAAAACTAATCAATGAAATTAGATTCTTATTAAAAGTGATCTCATAATTCTGCATCGAAATCAATCTGATCAATTTCTAATTGTCCAATGAAAGTCTGCTTGTTTAGTCATTAGCGTGTTCACCAGAGGACGTAATGAGGTACCTTGTAATTTCAAAAAATGTTTGAACCGCACGCCGGGTCTTTACTCTGTTCATTGCTGGAATTAATGAGCTAAAGAAAGACACTGATTAATGATGACAGATTGCTTGTGAATTTTAGATTACACATTATCTTCTTTTCCGGATTTCAAATAATTTGTTGGGTGTTCATGATCATAATGAATCAACACTGTTTTTGTGTTTACAGCATCGCGTTTCATTGTTTTTTTTTTGTAATCAAATATTAATATCCTAATTTTCTTGACTTTTAATTTGTTACTGCTCGTATAACTTACTAGGTATGCTACAATCATAATAAGTATTGATACAAATTACAGAATAATAATTCTGCTACCGAACGTAGAGTCGGAAAATTGTTATCGATGGTTTCAAACTTTCAACCCACCGATAGTAAAAGTGGCATCTCTGATCATCAATCTTTATCTTAAAGAAAGTATCACTAAGCTCTAACGGTAGAGAATTTTCTTTGACTTCATGTAACTTTCAGGGTGCAGCAGTGTTCTGGGTGGGAAACTATGAGCTTCCGCCCTTCCAACTAAGCGTGCGCCACGCACCTCGAGTTTTGAGGACCAGCGAGAGGCTGGTGTGGACTGTATGCGTAAGGTAAATACTTTCGTATTTTCGTTTGTTTCAGCCAAATGACGTCCACTGCTGGGCAAAGGCCTCCCCCAAGGATGTCCATAACGGGTCCTGCCTGTGACCTTAAACAGATCGTCGGTCCATCTAGTGGGAAGCCTGCCCTCGCTATATCTTCCGGCCCGCGGTCACCACTCGAGAACTTTTCTGACCCAACAGCCATCGTCTCTACGAGCTATGTGCCCCGCCCACTGCCACTTGATACTTACTTTAAATATTTGAATAAGTCTGAATCATTCGAAACTCGCGTCTCTGTCTAATATAATTTGAGTTGACTTTCAGATATCCCTGGACCGAAGCAGTAGAAGGCATGCTGGTCATCCGGATCCGAGGAGCGGGCGGCACTGTGGTCGCGCAAGAGGCATCTAGTAGCAGCATCAAGACCGTCGTCAGGATTAAGGCACCTCGAGCTTGTCATAGACACGCGGCGGCTGCCAGAAGAGTTGGGCTGAACGGGACTAATCCACCTGATGTGGTGGTGGCTGACTTCTCTTTCCAAGTAAGTGGTACCACAGTGACCAAATGGTGTATTTGTTAAGAGCAGTGTCATGGCGGTCGTCAGAATCCAGAAGCATGAAAATTAGGGTTACAGACACACGGTAGGTGACTGCTGAATGGACCGGGTTGAGGAGCAGGATTTGGACACTGGATGTCATAGTTTAGGTAAAACCGGTCTTTGCTTCCGAACCTCTCTCTCGGCACAATAGCCAATACTCAAACAAATAGTAATTACTTATTTAACAATATTATGATGTTGAGATTTAAGTAACGAATTAGGGCCAGTACCTCTAATAGGAAAAACTTTCGAGTTCGTTTCGTTGCGTATTCAAAGTGTCATCGAAAAATTTTGTATGAAAAATTAAACAGCGCCCCCTAGGGCGGCTATAATATAGGGGGCGCTGTTTAATTTTTCATACAAAATTTTTCGATGACACTTTGAATACGCAACGAAACGAACTCGAAAGTTTTTCCTACTAGAGGTACAGAACAGACGGTGAAACGCAACTGCAACGAAAGTGCAACTGCTAGTTACTTTTGAGTTGCATGTAAGTTTCTGCCATAGCGTCCGTTGAGAGACCACACATGACGTGATCAGTTTGAAACTTTCAGTTTCAGTTTCATTCATCAGAAAGTTGCAGTTTCGTTGCAGTTGCGTTTCACCGTCTGTTCTGGCCCTAATTCGTTACTTAAATCTCAACATCATAATATTGTTAAATAAGTAATTACTACTGAAATAAATGTGTATGTTTCAGGAGGACGGTACCAGAATATGGCAGAACACCACAGTCGTGTCAGAAGTTGTGGACTCACCAATCTCCCTGCAGTTCTTGACGAAACACCGGCCAGTAATCTCCCCAGGATTACCTTATAAATTGAAGGTAGGAATATAAAGGAAGAAAATATTTTTAAACCGGCAGACAGTGGTGACTGAGTTTGTTGCGGCGCTTCTTCTCAGCACTTGCCAAATGTTTGTCTCGAAGCGCTGGTAGGGCAAAAAAAGAATGAGACATGTATAAGCTCCTTAAGAGCATTTGACGATTTGTAAGTACTAATTTAATTAGTCTAAACAAGTAAAGATAATTTTTATTTTGAAGGAAATTACTTAACTTCTGATAATTTAGGATAGGTCTTCTACCTAGCTTGCGATTTCAGCATCAGTCTTAATTCTTCTCACTTCTAGCACAGAATACATTCTAGGTAATAACAACCCTTACACCTTTCATTTTGAGCCAGTTATGTCCAGGTTATTCCATTGCATCACAAGATGCGTAAAAAACGGATAGCATAAACTATCCATTGATAAATTCATGTCTACCTTCATTTTTAGGTGAAAGCAACCCGCTGGGACGACAAGCCAGCGGCAAACGAACGGATTAAAGTCTGCCGAGTGCCTGGTTTCCTCGCCGACTACAAGCCTTCTGCGCTGAACGATTCCTGCCACGAAGCGCTGACCGACGACAAGGGAGTGGCCAAAGTCATGTTCACAGCTAATGAAGACGGCGGCAGCTATTACAATTTTCAGGTAAAGTTGAACAACATAATGTTAAGCCTCGACAACCCAGTCGAGGTAACTGCGCACCTAGCAGCCGTGACTAGGGTTGCCAGGTGTCCGGCTTTAGCCGGACATGTTAGGCTTTTTACGGTCTTGTCCGGCCTGTCCGGCTTTTGTTAGGCTTTTTAAGTGGCTGTCACGCCAGGCGAAAGTCGAGTCACAGAATAATATAAAGCGCACGGCATCAGGATGTTGGGCAACCGATGATGATAGTACTCACTCGTGAGCTATGACACTAATTGCACCGGCTTTTAGGGTAAAATTTCCGGCCAAATGAAGCACAGAATACGGCTTTTGTGTTTTTGGACCTGGCAAACCTAGCCGTGACGTCACTTCAACGCTCTGGATATGCTCCTAATCATGAGTGGAATTGGCAACCATCCATTACTGACCACGGTGTAGGTTGCTTATCTTTCATGATCGCTACCAGGCACTTTCACTGAGCTGTGTCACCTCAAGCTCTTCATAATTCTTCTGGAAAACAACAACAGAAATTATTTTAAGATGCCTTCCTCGTGCTTGAAAACTTCTTTAAAAAATATCCAGATAATTTTATTCAAAGAGCAACGGATAATTTCCAGGCGTCTCTCCATAACGACAGCAGCGTATCAACCTCGCTGTACGTGGCCACACGGCGTGATGACGTCACCGCCGCACTGGGGCCTCTCAGGCCCGAAGCAGGCTCCGGGAGAACATTTGTGCCACTATACATCAACCTGAGAAACGTGTCCAAGCCACTTACAGTCCACTTTGTGGTAAGTACTGCCTTCTGTAACAACAGGCTGTCCGTAGATACCTATCAGGATGTCATACAGATGTCTCTACCGCGCTGGGGCCTTTAAGGCCTGAGGCCGGCTCCGAAAGGATCTTGTTCCTATACAATAACCTGAGGAATGTGTCTAAACCTCCTACGATTCACTTCGTGGTGAATACTGCCTTCTGTATCAACAGGCTTTTCGTCGTATGTATGTCAGTCGTCATTATGTCATACAAATGTCTCCACCGCGCTGGGGTCTCACAGGCACTACTGAAAAAGAAAACCAGTTCACAATATTGAAGAAGAAAAAATTTGTGAAAGGTTGATGTGTTGTTGACTGATATTATTTATTTAGGTATTTCATTATTACTGTTAATAACTAACATTGTGTGCTTAAAATTACACATTATTTATAATAACATATTATCGAGCAGAGTTAATGATTAGCAATGACTAATGGTGATGACCAGTGCCCAACTAGGTGTTGAATTATTAATAGCTGCGATTAGTGTCAGCAAAATAAATCTAAAGCTGCTCATTTTATTTATTTATTTATTTATTTGAACACCAACAAGGTTACATTGAGGCTTCACAAAAGTATAGCCTGACCAAGAACATAAAAACCCTGGCATAGAGGCGCGTCAATTGCATTTGATAGTGCAACACTGAGTACAGTCGTACCTGTGTTAAATTAATAGGCTAACTTTATGTATCAGGATTACGGGCTAATTTGATATTTTCATAAATTAACGAAAAAATATTATTATAGGTTGTTANTCAGGCTATAACTATAAAAAATGCCCCTATTCCACTGTAATCCATTGGTCAAATCCATTAATAGATTAGATTCCTCTTCTGGGTACACTTTAGTCCATCGATGGACTTGTTTCCGCATCAGAGTATACCCCAATCCATCAATGGATTTGATTCCGCTTTTAAGTACACCCTAATCCAAGAAATTTTACACAACTGTGTGCCTACCATGAGTTTACGTTAGGTGAGCTCGCTAGCGAATACGTCAAAAAATTCTATGAAGATTTTATTTCTTGAAAGTAGCCGCTAGGGGCGCTGAACAATATGTCATACATTTAAATGTCATTTTTTTACGCAGTTGCTAGCGAGCACACCTAACGTAAACTCATGGTAGGCACACTGTTTAAAGTAGGAGTAGAATAAATGTACCAACATCTTTTATCCATTCATTGGATTATACATTTTGATTCGTGATTTATTTTATTGAAATATAAATAATATTGTAGATATAGAAAATACGAACTCATTTATTTTTAAAGGAAAAAGCCCAGGTACATAATAGTGGGCCATTTTCTGGAAGAGTTAAAATGAAATAATCAATAATAAAGGGTAAATTATTTTTGTCGTTTCAAGGCTTTAAGTTTTTTTATTTGTTGAGAGAGGTTGATTGAGGAGTTGTAATTTGAAATAGCTTTTTAGTTTCGATATGTCAGTCTGTCCTAGGTTTTGCTTAGAAACTACTGGCACTAGAGAGCTGTAATTGTGAAGGTATGTTTATTAATCACGCCGACAGAACGGTAGAATAAAATTTTGAGAAAAAACAATTTTTTTAGGGTAGCTCCCCTACATGTAAAGTGGGGATGAATTTTTTTCATCTTCTACCCCATCGTGTCGGGTATCGTTGGATAGGCCTTTTAAAATGGCTTAGGGGTTTCTAAGACTATATTTCGATTTAGGGATCTGTTTGCAAATTATTAAACTTTAAAGTGTCAATTTTTGCTCGAGTAGGGCGTCCCCCCTCTAAAAACTAAACTGTTGGCTTTTCATGAACTTTCGAGGAAAACTATAGCGGTTGATCACTTACTTTAAGAGAAATAGTCATTTGACTCATGTATTATACAATTTCTTAACCAGTAAAAATTCCTCAGAAGAAAATATGAAAAGTGACTTTCGATGAAATAACTGCTTGCTTCTGAAATATATTGTGATAACGACGGACAACTACGGAACCCTACACTGCGCGTGCCACGTCGACACACACTTGGCCAATTTTTTATATTCCAGAAAAGAGCTGTCCGTGCTATAAATGGATTAAGACCGCGCGCCTACTTAGGCCAACGTGATTAACTAAGTCATGATTTTAATTTTGATTTTTAAATAATTAAAATACCTGGGCTTTTCCTTTTAAAAATAAATAATTCGTATTTTCTATATCTACGAGTATATTATTTATATAATCTATAAAATAAATCACGAATTAAAATGTATAATCCAATGGATAGATAAAAGATGTTGGTATTCTACTGCTACTTTAAAAACAGTTGTGTAAATTTTTTTGGATTAGGGTGTACCTACTTAAAAGTGGAATCAAATCCATTGATGGATTGGGGTATACTCTGATGCGGAAACAAGTCCATCGATGGACTAAAGTGTACCCAGAAGAGGAATCTAATCCATTAATGGATTTGACCAATGGATTACCACTGTAATCCATTGGTCAAATCCATCCATCCACTGGAATAGGGGAAAAAATGACACTTGTTATTACTTATTACACTTGTTACGTATTGACGCTGCTTTATAAACATAAAAAATAATTTACTTTCAATAAAACAGATTTAGTTTTTGCTGTGATCTTTTTTTATGCATAACAAGGCAGGTAAGTATTTGACCACAATCGTACCTGGTGTTAAGTGGGATGCAATCTAGCATGGTGCCTCAGACATGGTGCATACATATATGCCTTGTAAGTGCCTATTCACTCTTGCCTTGAAATGGCCCGGATTATAGTCTGGAGCCCATTCTAAGACTTCTTTTCTTATTTCAGGTAATCACTAGAGGAGGAACCATTTATCGTTGGGGAGCGACCACACAATGTCCCCAGACCAGTTCATCTGACTACATACCCACCACATCCAGAAACGCTCAATGCTACAATGCAAATCCAGACTTTACGGTCACAAATTCTCAAACAAATTCAGCCAGAATCCTATCCAATGATACCATCTTCGACGGGAATGACCCAGACACCTTACTAGACAGGCATATGCTGAGGGTCATGCTGCCGATCAAAGTGACGCACCAAATGTGCCCCGATAGCCATTTGATCGCCTACTTCTACTTTAATGGAGAACTCGTCAGTGCTAGCAAGCAGTTTGAGATGGACGAGTGTTTCAGCAATAAGGTAAGCCATCAAGGAAAGAAAACCCATTAATTTCATCGCAGGTCCTTCCAGGCTTATGCAGAGAGATCTTTTAAGTAGCAACGCTGCACTGCTGATGTATTTACGCCCGTATTCACAAACGATACTTGCTTAAGTGAAGCAACATATCGAACGCACAGCGTTGAATAGAGCACTGTGATTGGTTCGCGTGTCATCCTGTGCGTCCACGCGCACTGTGAGACCTCATAGTAATGTTTGTGAATACGGGTGTTAATCTATCTATGGTATTCTTTTGTTTGTTGTGCTACATTGTGACTTATTTTGTCAACTATGCCATATAGGACTATTCCCGCTGCTACCACTTCTGTGTAACCAAGATCTACAGTTTGACCTCCAACAAAAACCCAACCAATGACAGCCAAACGTATCCCAGGGAAAAGGTGAACAGCTGTGGTCTTTGCCTGTATTCTTTCCTTCTTTCAGGTGGAAGCCACCTGGTTATGCCGGCAAGTGGCCCCTGGTGGTACAGCCAGTCTTCGCATCACGACCCCTGGACCAGCGCTGTGCGCCCTCACAGTGGTGGACTCAGCAGCTAAGTGGAACCAGCCAGCACCTACCGTGCGGGAACTGGTTATGACGGGTCTGAGAAGACTGATGGACAGCCATCGGAACCTGACGGAGTATGAGGCAGCTGGGTCTTGCTTTTTAAGTAAGTTTTTTAGTTTCTCCTAATTCTATCATCGTTCGTTTCGTTTCGTTTCGTTTCAGCCAAATGACGTCCACTGCTGGACAAAGGCCTCCCCCAAGGTTTTCCACAATGAACGGTCCTGCGCTGCCCGCATCCAGGCTCTTCCCGCGACCTTTACCAGACCGTCGGTCCACCTAGTAGGAGGCCTGCCCACGCTACGTCTTCCAGCCTGTGGTCGCCACTCGAGAACTTTCCTGCCCCAACGGCCATCGTCTCGTCATCTCATCATCAATTCTATCATCATCATCATTTCAGTCATAGGACATCCACTGCTGAACATAGGCCTCTCCCAATGATTTCCATAATGACTGGTTTATAGCGGCCTGCATCCAGCGCTTTCCTACTAACCTTTATGATATCGTCGGTCCACCTTGTGGGTGGATGTCCTACGCTGCGCTTTCCGGCACGTGGCCTCTTGGGTCGAGTTAAACACCACCACACACGAGAGCTCCTGAGATTGAGGATGAGTAAAGGGTGGGGTATCATAAGTGCCACTTGTGGTCTAAACTGAATAAATGCTTTTGATTTTGATTTTGATTTTTGATCCCAAGCTTTAATGACTACATTTCAGACCCTTAAATATTCTGACAATAATAAGCTACGCAGAAAAGTAACGCCCAAACGAAGCTATCATTCCAAATTACCTTTATTATTTTTGTTTCAAAGCAACAGACCTGCAGCAGTTCCCATCGAGCAGCATAGAGCTGACGGCCACGTGGTTAGCAGTAGCGGGGGTGCGGGTGGCGGGCGGAGGTAACCGCGCGGGCATCGCCTGCCTGGCGCCACCTTCACCCATGTTTGAGGACTCTACGGTGCCGAGGAGCGACTTCTCAGAGGTGAGACACGAACGAACGGGAACTAGAGTCTTTGAATTACTTCCTATGCACTAGAAAAGCAAAACTGTCTTAAGAGCAACCTGGAGCTGACGGGCTTACTCTTGTTTGAGGACTCCACCGTACCAAGGAGCGACTTCTCTGAGGTAAGACACGAGGGAATAGTCACTAGGATATCCTTTCATAGCAACAGACCTGCAGCAGTTCCCGTCGAGCAGCATAGAGCTGACGGCTACATGGCTTGCCGTGGCTGGGCTGCGGGTGCCGGGACGACTTGCTTCCAAAGCTTGACTTGACTCTCCCGCGAGCAGTCTTTAGCCTCCCTTGCCTATGTTCGAAGATTCCACCGTGTCGAGGAGCGACTTCTATGAGGTGAAACACGAGGGAACAGAAACTAGGATCTAATTTCAAGCATCAAACATGCAGGACTCCCTTTGCGAGGAGTCTCCACCATGACGAAGAATTCTCCATCGTGAGTAGAGATTGCAAAATCCGGATTTTTCTTGAATCCGGTTTTCCGGATTTGTATTACGTGCAAATCCGGATTATCCGGATTTTTCGAATATTTGGTAAATTTTTTAAACCATCAATTTAATTTAAATAAAACGTAGTTTTTTTCAAAAAGATGTAAGTATTTGAAGAAAAGCGTTTTATTTTATTATCGCGCATGGAATTTATTCCTCTTTTTTTCGGTTTGCGCTACAAGCTTTCGAAATTATTTGAACCTTGCATTATTTTTTTCGTTTTAGTACAAATGCATTTCAGAATAAAAAATTTTTTTTTTATTCTTCTTCTTGTCGTGTCGACAACAAACCTACACAGCGTTAGCCCAAAACTCCGCCACAAGAGTGGCGTTGTCAGTAGCCTTCATTAAATCTTCCTGCTTGCAGTTGTTTGGGCACGCAGGGCACGACATCATGTGCTTGGTCGACTGGGGAACAAAACCACACTTGCACTCCAAGTTTGATCCATCGCAATAAATAATTTGAATTTGGAGTGGAGGCCGCGTACCGGAAAACGCAGCGTGGGACGTCCACCAACAAGGTGGACCGATAACATCATAAAGGTAGCAGGAAGGCGCTGGACGCAGGTCGCTACCAACCAGGCAACATGGAAAGCATTGGGCAAGGGGCCTATGTTCAGCAGTGGACGTCCTATGGCTGAGATGATGATGATGATAATGACTTACACTTTAAAACTCAGCGATATGGTGTTTCAGAATCAGCGTCTCGTATAAAACTCACTGGCCGACTAGCGAATTCACTTACGCATGCGGCATGACGCGTCATTGTGCAGGCACAGTGCAGGTGTGAGTGTTGTGCGACGAAGTGCGGGTTCGTTCAATCAAAACTTCGCTTGTTTTGCATCCATGTTGCATTCAATAGATATTTTGGTTTATGATAAAATTTTTGGGGTAAAAATATTCGAAAAAACCGGATTTCAAAGTAAAAATCCGGATTTTTTTAAAGCTTCAAAATCCGGATTTTTCAGATATTTTCGAATTTCGAATAATCCGGATTGCAATCTCTAATCGTGAGGCTTAAGAGAACAGCTTGCGCTACCGAGGATGCATCTCCAAGCACGGACATTAGGACTCCCCATGAAAAATTCTGGGACTGATGACCCATGTTTGAGGACACCATCGTGTTGGAGTGACTTCTCCGAGGCGAGATACAAGGGAACAGGGACTAGGATTTTCTTCCAAAGCATGCAACTGCATTGCTTAGAGCTGACGGCCACATGGCTTTCCGAAATTATTCTTGAAATTATGTTACCTACAGCTTGCAAAGAATGACGAACATAAATGTTTTCTTCTTACAGGCGTGGTTGTGGCGGCTAGTGGGTGTTGGAGGCAATGGTTCAGCAGTGGCTTCGGCTAAAGCACCTGACTCCATCAGCAGGTTCGAGGCTTCGGCAGTCTGCCTAGCGCGGACTGGCATCGCCATATCACAACCGGCTGTTCTTCAGGTATGAAGCATTTAACTTCTTTATAATTGCAATACAAAAACTGACAGTTATAGATTGTTTCATCCACGAAGACGCGCCCCACCATTCTTCCGCTAATGTTTGAGTGTTATCGGTACACGCTAAATTATCCATGATGAGTGCACACGCACACTACAATAATGCCGCTTGGATTGCTCGGATCAAACTCCCCGCACCCCGCGCTTCCTTCGACCAAACATTGGTGGGGCGCGTCTTCGTGGATGAAAAGAACTATGTTATGTATATTAAACCTACATTTACAGAGTGGAGATATAAAGGTTCAAGCAGTTTGTTTTTATAATTTTAGGTTTTCCGCGAATTCTTCATCCACGCTGACTGTCCTCGACGACTGAAGCGTGGGGACGCCACTATAGTGCGGTACCGCCTGTTCAACTACCTGTATGAACCACTCAGCGTGAGTATGAATTAATTCTTATTTCTAATAGTGTGGGCTGTAACAACGGAGGTCATAATCCTGGTGTCAGATACTGATAATCACATCACATAAACAACTCCCAATCTGTTTTTTCACGTCAGGAAATCAAAGTTATGTGGAGCTCGTTTACCTAGACCTGACGATGCCCTTAGAAGCCTTGTAAGGGGGCGTCCATAAATTACGTGAGACTTTTAGGGGGGGGAGGGGGTCAACGAAAACCTCACTAAATCTCACGTGGGGGAGTGGGGGGGTCTCGGAAAATATCACGTAATTTTTCCCGCAAGAAATAGAGTAAAATTGCCAGAAAACTGGGTTATTGAAGTAAAAAAAAATGTTTTTTTTTTATGATGATAATGACAATTTATTCTAAAGCGTCTAATCAAATTAAACTAAAAATGCCTCCATCTGCATTTGTGAACACTAAAGATGCAGAATAAATGTCGAAATTAAGAAAATTCGAAATTAAAAAAAAAACGTCATCGGCATCGCTATTGCGTAAAAAATTGGCCAAGTGCGTGTCGTGACACGCGCAGTGTAGGGTTCCGTAGTTGTCTGTCGTTACCACAATACATTTCGGAAGCAAGCAATTAATTCATCTAAAGTCACTTTTCATATTTTCTTCTAAGGAATTTTTACTGGTTAAGAAATTGTATAATACATGAGTCAAATGACTATTACTCTTAAACTAAGTAATGTATCTTAACCTTATAGTTTTCCTTGAAAAAATTCATCCCCACTTTACATGCAGGGGAGCTACTCTAGATTTTTTTTTAAATTTTATTTTACCTTTTTTCGGCGTGATTAATATGTCATACCTTCACAAAATTACAGCTCCCCAGTGCCAATAATTTCCAAGCGAAACCTCGGACAGACAGACAGACATATCGAAACTATAAGGGTTCCTTGTCAGGACTACGGAACCCTAAAAAATGACATTACATAGACAATATGAAAATATATGTCGTTTCAGCCAAATGACGTCCACTGCTGGACAAAGGCCTCCCCCAAGGTTTTCCACGATGAACGGTCCTGCGCTGCCCGCATCCAGGCTCTTCCCGCGACCTTTACCAGATCGTCGGTCCACCTAGTAGGAGGCCTGCCCAGTGCCCACGCTACGTCTTCCAGCCCGTGGTCGCCACTCGAGAACTTTCCTGCCCCAACGGCCATCGTCTCTACGAGCTATGTGCCCCGCCCACTGCCACTTGATTTTAGCAATTCTGCGAGCTATATCGGTTACTTTGGTTCTCCTGCGGATCTCCTCATTTCTGATTCGATCACGCAGGGATACTCCGAGCATAGCCCGCTCCATCGCCCTTTGGGTGACCTTGAGCCTTCTTATGAGGCCCATCGTAAGCAACCACGTCTCAGATCTGTCTTACTAAACGACGGGAAGCTACGAAACCCTGCACTGCGCGTGGCACGACACTGGGTTACTGATTTTTTCATATAAATCTAATAGACTCGAAGCATAGACATTGCAAAATAGGCATTTTATTAAATATCACGTGAGATTAGGGGGGTGGGGGAGGGGGTCAGGCAAAATCTCACCAAATCTCACCAAGGGGGGTGGGGGGGTTGAAAAATGGCCAAAATTGTCTCACGTAATTTATGGACGCCCCCTAATTTGGGAATACGGGATAGTAATAGTACCATCGACAGTAGCCTCTAGTATCGCAGCTCGTAGTGTCTGTGTCGTCGCGGATCTCTTAAAACACGACACGGGCCACGGCTTAATCATTTTCGCACGTTTCCAGTTTTTCAAATTTCAAATGTCATTCCAGGTCCAAATCCAGATCCTAACAGACGCCCGGCTCGAAGGACCAACAGAGCACGTGGAGTGGGCGTGCGTGCCCGCACGCGCTTCTGTGGCACGACGCGCAGAGATCAGGGCTAGACTTACTGGCAACGCGCGATTGAGCGTACGAGCCAAGGCTGTACGCGACCGGAGTTGTGCGAATGGCACTGCTGCCAGTTCACAGGCCAGGTAAGAGTGCAGGAAACATGAAGGCTGTGATGCAATAGGCAGGATGTACTGAGGCCAGTGACCAGGAGGGGGCAATTAGGCTAGAGGACAGGGACCAGGAGGAGACAATTAGGCTAGAGGACAGGGTACACGTTGCGCAGAAATCAGGGCTAGACTTACTGGCAACGCGCGATTGAGCGTACGAGCCAAAGCTGTGCGTGACCGCAGCTGCGCGAATGGCACTGCTGCCAGCTCGCAGGCCAGGTAAGGCCTCAAAATGGAGACAGGGAAGTAGGTTCAGGGGAAACTGAGGACGAAGGGCATAAGGCTCTAAGGCTGGTGACTAGGGGCAAAGAGGCTGGAGGCCAGGGGACACATTGCGCAGAGATCAGGGCTAGACTTACTGGCAACGCGCGATTGAGCGTACTAGCCAAGGCTGTGCATGATCGCAGCTGCGCTAACGGCACTGCGGCTAACTCTCAGGCCAGGTAAGTGCACAGGAAGCATGAAGGCTGGGATGCAATAGGCAGGATGTACTTAGGCCAGTGACCAGAAGTGGGCAATTAGGCTAGAAGACAGGGTACACGTTGCGCAGAGATCAGGGCTAGACTCGCAAGCAACGCGAGCCTGAGCGGACCAGCCAAAGCTGTGCGCGACCGCAGCTGTGCAAATGGCTGAGGCCAGTGACCAGGAGGGGCAGCAATAGGCTAGAGGACAGGGCACACTTTGCGCAGAGATCAGGGTTCTACTCAAGCAACGCGCGATTGAGCGTACGAGCCAAGGCTGTACGTGACCGCAGCTGCGCGAATGGCACTGCTGCCAGTTCACAGGCCAGGTAAGGCCGCAAAATGGAGACAGGGAAGTAGGTTTAGGGGAAACTGAGGACGAAGGGCATAAGGCTCTAAGGCTGGTGACTAGGAGACAATTAGGCTAGAGGACAGGGGACACGTTGCGCAGAGATCAGGGCTAGACTTACTGGCAACGCGCGATTGAGCGTACTAGCCAAGGCTGTGCATGATCGCAGCTGCGCTAACGGCACTGCGGCTAACTCTCAGGCCAGGTAAGTGCACAGGAAGCATGAAGGCTGGGATGCAATAGGCAGGATGTACAGTCACGGAATGAAAAGGTTCGTCAGTTTTCAAATTGATTCCTTCAACGAATCGCGAGCACATATTACCTTTTGAAACTATGTTACAGAATAATCTCGAGTTAGAGAAAATAATCTTTAACTGTTCGTCAGTAAAGTTCAAAATTATCCAGATCAAAGTTGTTTGACGATTTATCTTGTCAAGAAGATTATTATGATTGATAAACTAAAACCTTCTTGTTGGTTCAACCTGCCATTATTATTTCTATTAAATAAAAAAAAAACTATTGTCAATTGGTCAATGTCATCATTGCATTGCACTGATGGGATAGAAAAATAAACAAGCAAAACCTTATTTGTTAGCAAACGTCATATTTATTTAAATGTTAGCAGCACTGTTTCTTGCACTGTTATGTTGGCAGGTTTGACTCTTACAGTACCTAGTGCAAGCGAAAACCGACACTAAGGTGACGAACCTTTTCATTCTGCGACTGTACTTAGGCCAGTGACCAGGAGGGGGCAATTAGGCTAGAGGACAAGGACCAGGAGGAGACAATTAGGCTAGAGGACAGGAACCAGGAGGAGGCAATTAGACTAGAGGACAGGGGACACGTTGCGCAGAGATCAGAGCTAGACTTACTGGCAACGCGCGATTGAGCGTACTAGCCAAGGCTGTGCATGATCGCAGCTGCGCTAACGGCACTGCGGCTAACTCTCAGGCCAGGTAAGTGCACAGGAAGCATGAAGGCTGGGATGCAATAGGCAGGATGTACTTAGGCCAGTGACCAGGAGGGGGCAATTAGGCTAGAGGACAGGGACCAGGAGGAGACAATTAGGCTAGAGGACAGGAACCAGGAGGAGGCAATTAGACTAGAGGACAGGGGACACGTTGCGCAGAGATCAGAGCTAGACTTACTGGCAACGCGCGATTGAGCGTACTAGCCAAGGCTGTGCATGATCGCAGCTGCGCTAACGGCACTGCGGCTAACTCTCAGGCCAGGTAAGTGCACAGGAAGCATGAAGGCTGGGATGCAATAGGCAGGATGTACTGAGGCCAGTGACCAGGAGGGGCAGCAATAGGCTAGAGGACAGGGCACACTTTGCGCAGAGATCAGAGCTAGACTTACTGGCAACGCGCGATTGAGCGTACTAGCCAAGGCTGTGCATGATCGCAGCTGCGCTAACGGCACTGCGGCTAACTCTCAGGCCAGGTAAGTGCACAGGAAGCATGAAGGCTGGGATGCAATAGGCAGGATGTACTGAGGCCAGTGACCAGGAGGGGCAGCAATAGGCTAGAGGACAGGGCACACTTTGCGCAGAGATCAGGGTTCTACTCGAGCAACGCGCGATTGAGCGTACGAGCCAAGGCTGTACGCGACCGGAGTTGTGCCAATGGCACCGCAGCCAGCTCACAGGCAAGGTGAGCCAAGAATACCTACAAAGTGTTAACCAACCGTGTAGCCTATGGTGGTAACCACCAGCTTCAGACAATGAAGTTCTGCGTTTCATACCCAGTGGAAACAGCTTGAGGTAACTCGCTTCCACCTTCGACCTGATCATCTTTTTCAACAGGTGAGATGCAGGGCAAGGAATTTCCTCAATGTGGAAAGCAAAAATATAACGTGCTTCTGCAGTGCTGAATGAATGCCGACTTGAATTTTTCAATTCGTGTGTGTTGCGTTATAACAACATTAACGCATTTTATGTTGGGTATTTATATTTTTGGGTACCGGAAAACGCAGCGTGGGACGTCCACCTACAAGGTGGACCGACGACAACGTAAAGGTAGCAGGGAAGCGCTGGACGCAGACCGCTACCAATCGATCAACATGGAAAGCATTGGGGGAGGCCTATGTTCAGCAGTGGACATCCTATAGCTGAAATGATGATGATGATGATTTATATTTTGTTTTAATTTTTCAGCGACGAAGTTATCATCAACATCACAGTCGACCCAGAGGGAGTACCGGTTCAAGAACACAAATCTATATTGCTTTGCGGCAAAGGTACGTCTTTTTTCACTTTTTACAGAAGATGGCAGTGCTTATGTGTACCTATTAGGTACGAGTATTTATGTAGGTACCTACCTAATTTCTATTTTGTAAATTTTTTTCAGGCAGTATAGAGTCCAGCCAGTCTGAAGTGTCTTGGACTTGGCCACCCATCCAACCAGTACCAGGGACTGAATCCCTCACTGTGTGGGCAATCGGTGACGTCACAGGCCCTCTACTAGCTGTAAGTGTACCTGCTTACACAAGTAAAAAAGTTTAAGAAGTTTATGAAGGTATTTTTTACAAAAATATAGGTTGACAATAGTGACTGAGTTTCTTGCGCTGCTTCTTCTCAGCACTGGCCCATTTATTGTCCTGAAGCAGTGGTAGGGTTAATACTGGGACGTGTAAAAGTGCTTTTTTTTAAACCTATTTACAGAAATAAATGAGTTTTATGAGTTTTTAAACACCAATTTTATTATAATCCAGGACGCAGATTCCCTAGTGACGCTGCCGCGCGGTTGTGGCGAACAGAACATGGCGCGACTTGCTACCAACTTACTGGCGCTTTCGCAGCTCGACCCCGCCGGCGCGCCCGCTGCCACTGCTAAGCTACACGTGGCTAGAGGTCAGTGCACTCTTGATAAATATTACTACAGTATAAAGTACAGCCTCCGTCTTTTCAAAAGCCTGCACCTAGTAGAAGTATAGAAGTAAAAGCATATCAGACTCTACAATATTTTTTCTAGCAAGTTAACTTATAACGCCCAGCTTCCTAAATAGTGCGCTGCTCAGCCCTGACAAGGACGCGGTACCTAAGCCCACTAAAACCTGCAAAACAGTTCCGTCATCGCCTGAGTGGCGGTGTCGCACGAGTATCCGGCCGAAGATTTCCGCAACACCACTGGCGATAAACACCTGAACAGTAGGCCTTGCACGCCCCTCTTGCGGAGGGAACTACGTAAGACCAGTGTTAAGCTCGATGTGCTAACATTCGAGTTACTAAAATATCACCTAATAATCATGTTTGTCGTGTATGTCACCTAAAAATCAGGGTTGGAAGACGTAGCGAGGGCTGGCCTCCTACTAGGTGGACCGACGATCTGGTAAAGAGCCTGGATGCGGGCAGCGCAGGACCGTGCATTGTGGAAAACCTTGGAGGAGGCCTTTGTCCAGCAGTGGACGTCATTTAGCTGAAACGAACGAACGAACGAACGAATCATGTTTCACGGCTTTGGATACAAGCCCTTTTTTAAGCCAAAATCTCAGCTCGATGTACCATCATCTTACTATACAACAACATAGTTACTAAAGTCTGGTCCGTGAGCACGTAGAATTTTGTCCATTGACCCCAAGCTACCCATCTTTATCACTCGCGCGTAATGGGGATGTTGCCTGGGTCAAAAAGCAAGAGTTTTAATTAGTCCGTCAGTTAACTTATCAAAAAATACTCTACACGTATTTTTCACTTTTTCAAACTAATTTAAAGAGATAAAGCGCCCCAAAGTTCATAAGAAGAGGCCCGTGACGTCAACGCTTGCTTAAAAATGCCGCACGTTGTGACGTCGTGCGCAACTTCAACGCACCATAACTATGTAATTATTTGTTAGATTGACAAATAAAAATATACGTGTCCAATATTTTTTGATATTAAACATTACGGACTAAAAAAATTTTTTTAGGCAACTAGCCTATTATATTGCTGTCGCGACTGTGCGACGGGCGCCTGCAGTGAGTGTGCGAGCGCGACAGCATCATAATTACACGCGAGCGATAAGGATGGGTAGCTTGGGGTCATTGAACAAAATTCTACGTGCTCACGGACCAGACTATAGTCTTACTAACATGCTTGTGCGCAGGGTTCACGCGGCAGCTGCAGTATGCGCACGCTCGCGGCGGGTTCAGCGCCTTCGGGCCGGCCGACGCAACCCCTTCCACCTGGCTCACGGCTTTTGCACTGCGCTACTTGAGGAGAGCCCACCAGGTAAGTACTATCGCCAACAGTGTTAACTGCCCATTAAAAGTCATGTCATCTCGTTCTATCGCAAATAATCGCCATTTGATTAGAGCGAGAGCAAAATGGAAATGGATAGTTAACAGTGGGGGCGTGTGTACTTTACTTCTTCCTCTAATGTGTGGTTTGCTTCCGATAGCCCTTAAAAAAATCCATTATTATTAATGTAACCAATAACCATCCAAAATCCTATGAACGCTAGACCTTCGGCCAAGCTGTAGATCTTGGCTACATAATTAGACGCAGTGGTGGGAACAAGAGCTGGTAATAGTCCCCTAGACCTTCATCACTTTATACTAGCTGAAAATTTCTCAGAAAGGTAGCATGCGTTGAGATTTTTTTCTTTCTTTTTGCGAATTCATTGATTAAGTTTAATTGGTGGGCAAGCTATTAGTATCTGCTTATACGAGTAATAAAATATTCGGAGTGAAAAAGCCTATTAATCATTTATTCTCTTCCCAGATCCTAACGCCTGGACTACCAGTGCCTCCAGCTATAGAGCGAGCTGAGCGCTGGCTCCTAGACCAGCAAATGGAAAATGGATGCTTTAGAAACGAAGGGCAGGTGTTCCACAAAGAATTGAGGGTAAGCTTCGAACATAAACTCTGTTTTTTAGTCTACCTACGTAGCTAGAAGTACCTTTAGCAGTAGGAGTATCAAAGGACAACCTTTGGTAGACCTAGTTATGTACAAATGGTGCAACTATTATGCCATATATTTAGGTAATAGAACTTTGGTAGATATAAATCCAAATGGTAAAACTATAATGCCATAGATCTAGGTATACCCACCAAATGGGAATGGTCTAACCCAAAGCGTCTTTCAGTCCATCACGACGCGAGAATCTTTCCTTTGAAGGTTTATATCGGTTGAACGAGGGAGGTGACCAGGCTATTACCACTTAATACCTTTAGTATTTGTTGTTTTTTCTACAGGGAGGTCTAAACGAAGAAGGCGAGATCGCCAGCGTGGCTTTAACCGCCTACGTCATCGCCTCATTAGTCGAGAGTACCGCTCCCCTCCCAGCCAGAGTGTTACGAAACACTCTGACGTGCCTTCGTGCCCTTCCTCCGATGAAGGCTCGCACTCCTACCAGAGTGTATGCCCATGCTCTGTTAGGGTATACCTTTATGAGGCTAAGGAGCTACGAAGATGAGCTTAGAAAGGTAAGATGTAGCATAGAGAGTAGATTGCCACAGCGAGATCTCAATGTAGAAGTTGAGATAGCCAGCATAGCTCTCACCGTCTACGTCATTGCTTATATCATCGCATCCCTCGTGAAGAGTAGTGGTGTGCAACACTCTGTCGTGCCTCCGCGCCCTCCCGCTAATGAAGGCTCGTAATCCTACCAGAGTGTACGCCCATGCTTTGCTGGGGTATACCTTTATGAGGCTGAGGAGCTACGAAGATGAGCTTAGAAAGGTAAGATGTAGCATAGAGAACAGCTTGCCATAGGGAAGGTCTGAACGAAGAAAGATTTCCACCATGGCAATGACTCCCTTGACGAGAGTCCCACGCCGCTTAGGAACACTTGAGCTAGGGCTCAAGTGATGGTATTTCGAAACACTATCGTGCCTCAAATGAAGGCTCGCACTCCCACCAGAGTGTAAGCTCATGCCCTACTGGGGTACATTTTTATGAGGCTGAAGAGCTATGAAGATGAGCTTAGGAAGGTAAGATAATAATAAGGAACAGCTTGCCACATGGAGGTCTCAACGAACAAGGCGAGTCAGCGTGTTATTAACCGCCTACGTCATCACTTACGTAGAGAGCAGCTTGCCACAGGGAAGTCTCAAAGAAGAAAGCGCCTACGTCATCTCCTCACTAGTCTAGAGTACGGCTCCCCTCCCAGCCAGAGTGCTACGAAACACTCTGTCATGCCTGCGAGCCCTCCCACCCATGAAAGCTCGCACTCCCACCAGAGTGTATGCCCATGCCTTGCTAGGGTATACTTTTATGAGGCTGAGGAGCTACGAAGATGAGCTTAGAAAGGTAAGATGTAGCATAGAGAGCAGCTTGCCATAAGGAAGGTCTGAACGAAGAAAGATTTCCACCATGGCAATGACTCCCTTGTCGAGAGTCCCACGCCGCTTAGGAACACTTGAGCTAGGGCTCAAGTGATGGTATTTCGAAACACTATCGTGCCTCAAATGAAGGCTCGCACTCCCACCAGAGTGTAAGCTCATGCCCATGCTTTGCTGGGTTATACTTTTATGAGGCTGAGGAGCTACGAAGATGAGCTTAGAAAGGTAAGATGTAGCATAGAGAGCAGCTTGCCATAGGGAAGGTCTGAACGAAGAAATATTTCCACTATGGCAATGACTCCCTTGTCGAGAGTCCCACGCCGCTTAGGAACACTTGAGCTAGGGCTCAAGTGATGGTATTTCGAAACACTATCGTGCCTCAAATAAAAGCTCGCACTCCCACCAGAGTGTAAGCTCATGCCCTACTGGGGTACATTTTTATGAGGCTGAAGAGCTATGAAGATGAGCTTAGGAAGGTAAGATAATAATAAGGAACAGCTTGCCACAGGGAGGTCTCAACGAACAAGGCGAGCCAGCGTGTTATTAACCGCCTACGTCATCACTTACGTAGAGAGCAGCTTGCCACAGGGAAGTCTCAAAGAAGAAAGCGACAGCGTGTGTTACTTCGATAGTGAGTGTAGTGGAAGTTTATAAATGAAAAGAGTGGACTGTATGAAATTAATTATCTATTCGGTATAAGTTTACAATGTTATCGAGAACAAGGCGAGCCAGCGTGTTATTAACCGCCTACGTCATCGCCTCATTGGTAAAGAGTACCGCTCCCCTCCCAGCCAGAGTGCTACGAAACACTTTGTCATGCCTGCGAGCCCTCCCACCCATGAAAGCTCGCACTCCTACCAGAGTGTATGCTCATGCTCTGTTAGGGTACACCTTTATGAGGCTGAGGAGCTACGAAGATGAGCTTAGAAAGGTAAAATAAACATAGTCTTCTCTAGTCTCTAGCCTAGTGGTTCTACGTCATTGCCTCCCTAGTCGAGAGTACTGCGCCAGTATGAAGCTGAGGACTTTTGAAGATAACTTTCGGAAGGTAAGATGTAACATAGAGAACAGCTTGCCACGGGGACGGTCTCATCGAAGAAAGCTTCCACCTTCGGCCTGATCATCACTTACCATCAGGTGAGATACTAGCCAAGAGCTTCCTCGTTGTGGATTAAAAAAAAAGCGATAGTGTGGCTTTGACCGCCTACGTCATCGCCTCCCTAGTCGAGAGTACCGCTCCCCTCCCAGCCAGAGTGCTACGAAACACTCTGTCGTGCCTCCGTGCCCTTCCTCCGATGAAGGCTCGCACTCCTACCAGAGTGTATGCCCATGCTCTGTTAGGGTATACCTTTATGAGGCTGAGGAGCTACGAAGATGAGCTGAGAAAGGTAAGATTAAAGAACAGCTTGCCACAGGGAAGGCTCAAAGAAGAAAGCGACTGTGTGGCTTTAACCGCCTAAGTCATCGCCTCCCTAGTCGAGAGTACCGCTCCCCTCCCAGCCAGAGTGCTACGAAACACTCTGTCATGCCTGCGAGCCCTCCCACCGATGAAGGCTCGCACTCCCACCAGAGTGTATGCCCATGCTCTGTTAGGCCATACCTTTATGAGGCTGAGGAGCTACGAAGATGAGCTTAAGAAGGTAAGATGAATATGTAAATGAAGATGAATGAATAAGATAAATGAAGAACAGCTTGCCACATCAGGTCTCAACGAAGGAGTCAAGATCACCAGCATGGCTCTGTCTGACTGCCTACCTACGTCATCACCTTACTTTCACTCAACAATGCCCAATTTCGCATCTGACCATTAAAATATGAGATTACGTCCTATTATTTATTTATTTATTTAAAATCTTTATTGCACACATAAAAAACAGTGGTACAAAAGGCGAGCTTAATGCCATGTGGCATTCTCTATTAAGGGATCGTCAGCTAAAAAATTTAAAACTACTTAAATTGATTTTGTATGCACTATTTTCATAGAGCAATGAAGCGAGTCTCGTATGGGACAGCAAGGAGGCAGTCGGCGCGGGACTGAAGGAAGAAGAAGAGTTGGGCGAGCTGATGGAACTGCTCAAGATCGCTCGTAGGAACGGCGACTACGTGTGGTGGGAAACCAGTGAGTGACAAACTATTCTACTTCTGTTTCTTTCATGCCAAAAGCATTACGTAGTCTGGACAGGTCATCCCTGTCGTATTCTCAGTGGCCTTTGGTTTTCATTTCTTCAATAACTTGGCCTGCAGCAATAAGGCAAAAGGAGTCAACTAGTAATTTGGCTTGGCAGCACCAGGTGCATTTTTTTTTTACAAAAGATTATTAGAATTAGCAATTTGTATTGCACAAATAACTAATAGTCCCGTTAGCCCCTCGTATTAAGCTAAATAAGCTTGTGTTACGTGTAGGCTCAGCACAATAGTCGAGTGGCGGTGGGATTTGAACCCGCGTTCTTAGGATCTCGAGTCAGCCAGTCCGACCCATTCACCGTTCGGCTATCGTGGCTATAGTATTAAAGTGGGTGAATCTTCTCTCTATATTCACATGAACTTGAAGGATTGTCCTTTGACCCAGCTACTAGTCTTCTTTTCTTCCAGCAAAAAATATGAATAATAAAATATGTTTAATAAAACATTTTGTTTTCAGGTAGTCTCTCCACATCAATAGAAGCCACAGGCTACGCTCTCCTAGCTCTATCGTACTGCCCATCATCACTACGCGCCACCAGCTGTGCAGTAGACGCTCGCGCCGCTACACGCTGGCTTTCCTCGCATAGAAGCTTTGCTGGAGGATTCCTGTCCACTCAGGTCAGTGTTCAAGTGTCTCAGAAACTGCTCAGAGAAATATTACCAGTTCTAGAAATCTAACTATGAACGTAACTTCCATCGTACCTAGTAATAGAATGTCGTCTATATACATAATAGTCCAACAGTAAAGCCAATTCTTCAAGACTTTTATAGGCAGCAAAGCTGAACTTGCTAAATGCTGGGGAGAACATCAAATCGTTTGGCATGCGTGAGAAGTGCCTGCTTCTCCATTTTCTTCAGGCATATTACAGTACAGTGTTTTTGCTAAAGAAACTAAATTATTTTTCATCTTTGGTCTGATCATCACTTTCCAATGCAGGCCAAGAGCTTCTTCATTTTAGATAAAAGGACATCAGAATAATGAATCCTGAACTTTTGTCGTGTGTGATATAGGTATCTAAAGTCACTATCACTTCCAGGACACTCTAGTAGCCTTAGAAGCTCTAACAGCATGGTCGTCAGTGCAGCCACCACCAGCAGCCAACCTGACCGTAAGAGTGCGTTCTGGGGATGCCAAGCCAACTCTCCTGCACCCGGGAGGCAAAGTGCCGGATATGGTCAAGATGACCGCCAGTGGTCAACTAGACGTGGCGGTTGAAGGTCAGTGCACTTAGACTATAGGATCTTAATCTGATTTAGTGGTAGCTCTTACAGCGTGAGAGTGCGCTGTATGGATGCCAAGCCAACTCTCCTGCACCCGGGGGGCAAAGTGCCGGATATGGTCAAGATGACCGCCAGTGGTCAACTAGACGTGGCGGTTGAAGGTCAGTGCACTTAGACGTAGGATCATAATCTGATTTAGTGGTAGCTCTTACAGCGTGAGAGTGCGCTGTATGGATGCCAAGCCAACTCTCCTGCACCCGGGGGGGCAAAGTGCCGGATATGGTCAAGATGACCGCCAGTGGTCAACTAGACGTGGCGGTTGAAGGTCAGTGCACTTAGACTATAGGATCTTAATCTGATTTAGTGAAAGCTCTTACAGCATGAGAGTGCGCTCTGGCGATTCCAAGCCAACTCTCCTGCACCCGGGAGGGAAAGTGCCGGATATGGTCAAGATGACCGCCAGTGGTCAACTAGACGTGGCGGTTGAAGGTCAGTGCACTTAGACGTAGGATCATAATCTGATTTAGTGGAAGCTCTTACAGCATGAGAGTGCGCTCTGGCGATGCCAAGCCAAGTCTCCTGCACCCGGGGGGCAAGGTATCTGATATTATGGTGAAGATGACCGCCAGTGGTCAACTAGATGTGGCGGTTGAAGGTTAGTGCACTTACACCATAGGATCTTAATCTGATTTTGTGTAAGCTTTGATTAGCTCTGACGGCGCGGAGGGCTCCATGCCAACTCTTTAGTACTCAGGGGACAAAGTGCCTAAGATGGTAAAGATGGCTGCCAGTGGTCAACTAGATGCGAGGTTGAAGGTCAGTACACTGACATAGGATCTCAACCTGATTATCTTCATCGTCTACTTTGCTCCATCGTCCATAGTTTTTCCCCATTTATTTTGTGCTCGCTACGTTAGAAAGATTCTAGTGCCCGTTTTCACCATCAATCCTTAACTTTTAAGTGACTCCTATGGTGTCACATAACAGGCATTTTGTTTTCAAAGGGGTCATTTAAAAATTAGAGATTGATGGTGAAAACGGGCATAGAACTCACTGTCATATCTTTCACACCAGGCACCGGCTGCGCCCTCATCCAAGCGACGCGCTCGCACCACAGCGCGGGCTCGGACCGCGACCTGGACAAGCGGCTGTCTGTCCAGGCTTCTGTCTCCACCGACGGCAGCTTCGACTGCGACGCTTCTGGCAACAACTGTTTCTGTGCCGCTATTGTAGAGGTGAGCTGATACTGGTAGTACCTAGAGTGGACCTGTAGGGCTCTCACTAAACCAGGCGCGATGGTCCGAGTCACTCGCTCGCACCACAGCGCGGGCTCGGACCGCGACCTGGACAAGCGGCTGTCTGTCCAGGCTTCTGTATCTACCGACGGCAGCTTCGACTGCGACGCTTCTGGCAACAACAACTGCTTCTGTGCTGCTGTTGTGGAGGTGAATTAATATTGTGTAATAGGATGAAGCTCTCAACTAAACCGTGCACCGACTACCACATTCTAAAGCAAACAGCAAGTTGGCATGGCGAGGCGAATGGGTACTTTGACTGCGGCGTTATCGATGCAACATAGCACTGACGGTAGAGTATAACGACGTCAAAGATGCGCGCACGCAACGTTATTGCTTGCTGCATTTGGCTAACGCCACGTTTAAAATGTGAATAATGTTCATTGAAGTCCAAGGATGATTTTTACGGCGAGAAAAGTTCGAATAATTCCGGGAAAACCCTAAAAAAACTCGAAACTTTATCCCTAAGGGGATAAAACGGGGTCCATGCGTCCGAGGTTGCGGGCAACTGCTAGTTCCAAATAAAAGCGAATTTCTGTCTGTTGTCTCACCTATAGTCAGGTCTGCGAGCACGTAGAATTTTGTCCAATGACCCCAAGCTACCCATCCTTATCGCTCGCGCGTAGTTATATTGCTGTCGCGCTCGCACACTCACTGCGGGCGCGCGTCGCACAGTCGCGATAGCAATTATAATTACGCGCGAGCGATAAGGATGGGTAGCTTGGGGTCATTGGACAAAATTCTACGTGCTCACAGACCGGGCTTTAGCATTGTTTACATTATGCATTACTCATTGTTGAGTGTATCACTCACTCGGCATGGGGCACACTGAAAACCAGCGCCGTGGCCTTCGTCACCGTGGGCCACGGCATATGCTGAGTGGGGTCCCGTTGTAGTGGGCATCTTGTTGGTGGATGGGTGGCACTGCTCAGTTTACTCTTGTTTTTATTTATTTTTTCTTCTTCCATTATTATGTGCCACTGTCATGTCTATGTAATTGCCTGTATTTGTGTGATGTCCATTGTAATAAATGTACACTTGACAGCAAATAAATCGAACCACCCGCGACGCGAACTTTAAAGATTTTCTTTTGACACAATAATGGTGCCCCATCAATATTGGTGTTATTTGAAAGCCCAATAAATATCCTTAAAGAAAAACACATTTAATTTCTTAATAAATGATTAACATATACAATAAATGTGACTTGAAAAAAGACCTCACTTTGGGCTCACCTCTGGGATCAATTAGACCAAATTTTATGGTTATAAAACCAAGTAATCATCACACGTGTCCTCTTTAACAGATGGATAGCGATTAATCCCAACTTAACAATTTTATAACCATAAAAGTTGGCTCAAGCGAAACTATCTATTTTTTGAAGAAGTGACTCTGGATCCTTCTAAAGAAACATTTTTGGGGTAAAAACCTTTCCTATAATGAAATGAAGTTTAGAACTAGGCTTTTGAATGGTACCTTACCTAATGGTAATCTTGTATACCCATTCTTATAAGATACACCATACAAGAATGCATGGTAAATTCAGTGAACTGCTCCTGAATCGAATGTACCTACTACTACTATTTCTATTTATTTATATTAACCGGCAGACAGTGGTGACTGAGTTTGTTGCGGCGCTTCTTCTCAGCACTTGCCAAATGTTGGTCTCGAAGCGCTGGTAGGTAAAAAGATTATGAGACATGTAGAGGCTCCTTAAGAGCAAAATGACGATTTGTAAGAACTATTTATTAGTCCAAACAAATAAAGAAATTTTTTGACTTACCAATATTGGTGTGAAGTGGGGATGCATACGTTTGAAAGCTTGTCGCGGGTGGTGCGATTTATTTGCTGTCGAGTGTATACACCACTAAATTTTTATCACCGAAAAAAAAAATTCTGGGTAATGAGTTATTGATACTGATCCCATTTGTGCAAAAAAAGAAGTTAAATAAAGTGACTCAAAATTTTCTCCTAAAATTGGTAATTTATGGACACGCGTCGCTAGCACTATTTAAGTACGATAATGTAACACTTATTAGAATTCAAAATGGTCTAAGTTAGATAAGTATGTAATAATAACACTGGAAGCGTGGTCGAGGCGTGAGCGAGACAGACAGATCGATGCAACGTGCGAGCGCGTACGACTACTCTAGCGAGCAGCGGAGTGACAAAGCTGTGACGCGTAAAATACGGACTAACGAAAATTTAATAAAAAAATTAACTTTATGAAAACCATTTCTTTTTCTTTTGCTTTCAATATTCCACACGTTTCTACATAACCTGTTAAAAATTTTTCGGTGATAAAAATTTAGTGGTGTATTTCTTTGTTTGTTTGTGTCAGGCGTGCGTGGTGTGGGCGGGCGCGTTCCCGGCGATGGCGCTGCTGGAGCTGGCGCTGCCGGCCGGCTTCGGCGCCGACGCGCCGCGCCTCTACGCGCAGCGCACGCCCGACCAAGCGCGTGAGTTCAAAAAAAATTTAAAATTTCTTTATTTTCAACCGACTTCAAAAAAGGAGGAGGTTCTCAATTCGACCCGTATGTTTTTTTTTCTATGTTTGTTACGCGATAACTTCCCCAATTATGAACCGATTTGAACAAATCTTTTTTCGGCGTATACTTAGGTAATACCTCAAGGAAGGTCCCATTTAAATTTAATAATAGAAAAAACAACCCCCAAGGATGGAAAATTGGGGATGAACTTTTTTATAAGCAATATCTCCGCCGATTATAAATCAATTTGAACGATTATTTTTTTGTTGAATAGGTATTATCAAAAGGGTGGTTTCAAGCGAATTTGAAGAAAATATTTCACCCCCAAGGGTGGAAAATTGGGGATGAACTTTTTTTTACGCAATATTTTTAATTTTTAGTTTTTTTTTGTGTTCACGCATTTGAAGTCGGTTTTTTTTTTTAAATTAATTATCTTATAAGACACATTTACAGGGGTTGGGTGTCTCCTTTTAAGTTTAGAAAACCTGTATTAGGAGACGCCCGCCCTTTCGATCAGTGAGTATACGAACTACCCACCATTATAACTATCTCTGAACTGCGGCATTATGCTGAGTGGAAGCCTATTTGGCATAATTTTTAAATTAATTTTTTTATCGTATTAATATTTCTGTAATTTGTTGTTCTAGTGTGCCAAATAAATGTATTTTCTTTCTTTCTTCTTTCTTCTCTATCATAGAGACGGTTCTACCTTTTTTTGCGGAACTGTTTTAATCATAATTTTACTATGCATAACAACGGATGGCATAATCTTCTTTACGCAGAAATTCGTTAGGCATACATTCAAAACTAATAATTTTGTGAGGCAGAATCATCTTTAGGCATAATTTTAGTATCCCGAATAATTAAAAAGCAGAACCATCACATCGCAGAAAGTTCTTAGTCAGAATAGTCTTTTGGCATACTATTAAAGGTAAAATGTTTATTCCCCTATCGCATTATTAAGGGTTGTAGTTATGAGGTGGAGGGAGAAAGGGGGGTAGGGGAACTCCTCGTGTGAATGGGGGAGATCAGAAACTTAGTTTCTGAAAAAAACTGAAAATTAAATTTTGAGGTTAAGTTGCGTTTTTTGGGTAGTTTTTATTGGAAATCAACTATTTAAGTATGCGATTCTAGACTTAGTAGTGTGTAAGGTCGCAAGTCTAACCTAACCTAACCTATAGCTTTGTTGTCCAACAAGTTTTTTAAAATTACCTTCGTTGGTACATTTGAAGACTAGATCATGCCGATCTTACACTGAGAATGGACTCTATTCACTAAAGAAACACGCAAACCCAAAAGTTGGGAATACCATTAAATAATGATGCCAAATAATCATGGTGCTAAAGAAACATTATGCTAATCGAAATTATGCCAAATAAAATTCTTCTATCTTAAAAGTATGCCATTGAAAATTCGGGTATATAAACATTCTACCAAACGATGATTATTTTTAACAATGTTTATGCCTTATAAATATTCGGTTAAAGAAGATTATGCCAAGTGAGTTATGCCAAATGAGTTTCTGCGTAACGAGATTCTGCCAGATAAAGGGGAGCCCATAGAGACAAATAGACTATGCACTATGTTTACATTCATTCCCTCGCCAAAAGATGAATACATTTCAAACTGTTGTGCAGGCTCAACTAAAACGTAATCAGTAGCCACCGGAAATAACACTCGACGAAAAAATTACACGACTGTTCTTTTTGTGATTCTTGAGTCACAAAAAGAACAGCTTACCAGAAATCCTTACATTATTGATTGAGCTTAACAGATTCAAATTCAAATTCAAATTTTTTATTGCATATTAAGTGTTTACAATTGGGTCTTAATCTAAACAATGAGCTTATAACTTAATAACCCGTTAATGGGTATTGCAATATTAGTGGTGAGAGAGGACTAGTCTAAACTTAAGTAGGTCTAGCAACTTACATTATGAGATGCCTTATCTTAAAAGAGTTTGTTTACTATTAAAGAATTCATCTAATGTATAAAAGCAGTTGGTAATTAAATATTTTTTTAATTGGTTCTTGAAAATTTTGAATTTAGTTTGGTTTTTTATCTCTATAGGTATTTTATTATAAATTTTTACTGACATAAATAGTGGGCTGCAGTTAAGTTTTTTAATTCTAGATTGTGGCAGAAAGAGTTTATCTTTATGTCGGGTGTTTAAATTATGAGTGTCTTTCCTCTTTAAGAAGAAGTGCATATTTTTAAAGACGAATGTGCATAAAAATATGCGTAATAGTATAAGTTTCTTTTACAACTATAATGAAAACATGTGTTTGAAACTATGAATATACATCAATTGAAATACTTGTAATAACTTATGTTCCTAGTTCTACGCCGGATAGAACTCGCACCAAACGGCGGACGAGCCACCTTATATCTCGGCACGCGTGACGGGACGAGCCCGGCGCGCGGGGGCCACGCGTGCTTCAGCGTGCACGCCGTGGGGCCGCGCGCGCGCACCCGCCCCGCCCACGTGCGCGTCATCGACTACTATGCGCCCACCGCCAACGATACTCAGGTAACAGAGAGAACCTCCAACAAGTCCGTTCTTTCCACCCCACTTCACCGAACTGGTTTTCTCTCCGACTCCTTCCGTCTCCAGGCCATAAGGCTCTGGAACTCTCTGCCTAAAGAGACCAGGCAAGCGTCTAGTAAGTTTTCTTTTAAAAAATCTGTCCATAATCACTTCCTCCAAATGATTCTCTATGAGAGATGAGACCGCAAATCTGCGGTCTATGACATGATGTGTATGGCGATTGTCTTTCAATCTTCGAATCGGTAGGTAACCCCAAAATCCTGGGGGGTACCAGGGGGTGCCTTAGGTGACGGGGGAGGGGGGGTGATCGCCCCGGGAGCCAACCCATGCTACGCCGCCACTGGGCATTGCTCCGTCATTTTCTAAGCTACAGGTCCTATAATGCACGCATATAGACACCCTTCACCAGATCGTCAGTCCAACTGGGGGGATGTCGTGCCATAGCGCGCGCACCCGTTCCGTGCGCGTCATCAACTACTACGCGAATACCGCCAGCCAACGACACGCAGGTAACTAAGAGAGCCTTGTTCTTGATTGGATATTGCTTCGCCATTCTGAAACAGGTCCTGGTCCCGCATTCAGATGCTTCCCGCAACCAACCAAGCAACTTTTAATCATCTATCCAATTTGTGGGGAACCCAAGATGGATAGCCATAGCGCACGTGCGCGTCATCGACTACTACGCGCCCACCGCCAACGATACTCAGGTAACAGAGAGAACCTTGTTCTTGATTGGGTATCTGAGGGCATTGCTCCGTCATTTTGTAAGCAGTCAACTACAGGTCCTAATAATCCATGCATCCAGAGTCCAGACTCCCCACAACCTTCACCAGATCATCAGTCCAACTTGGGGAATGTCGTGTTAAGCGCGCGTGCCCGTCCCGCTCACGTGCGCGTCATCGACTACTATGCGCCCACCGCCAACGATACTCAGGTAAGGTAAACGGCTACTAGTTCGTGATAGTACGTAAGTTCGTAAGTTTTTTTTCTAGCTCAAATAATAAGCAAATGGAATATTATTTATAAAAATTCTTCATTACTACAAAAACTCTATTATTTAAGCTATCTAAAAAACCAAGTACCAACATTGTGGCGCCAAAAATGAGAGCAATACGAAGCTTCAAACTCTCAGAGAGCCAAAAACAGCCGTGCGGCTTGCAAAGGTTGCTCTCACCGTAAGGTTAGCGCTCCAACTTCTTAAGCTTATAAAAAGGCGAAGAAACGTCCATTTAAATAAAACTTGTAATAGTAGTTTCATGTGTTCCTTGACAATTGATTTGGCTTAGAAAAAAGTTATATGAAAACGTAGAATTCCTTTAAAATTGCGATTAATTGACTCACGAAATAGCGTACATATTATTTTTCGGGTGTCCCCTATTTCGTGACACTACCGATTCAAGGATATTATGGATAACATTTTGATGCTTGGTTTTTAAATAATTATTTGTGATAATTTAAATGTAAGTTATGAAACAAATAATGCATTTATTTAAGTTTCTCATGACCTAAATTCGGTATATGTTTCGTTCACTAGAATTTATATGACACGAGTTTGAAGTTCACATATATGACCAATTTTAAGATAAATTAGCATAAGTAGTACCAGCATAATTTTGGTTTTATTTCGATTTGTTTTATTTATCTTTGTTTATTTGTATTGTATATGGGATAGATAATAGTTAATTGACACATTTTGACAATAATCCATGAATTTTACTTGGGGAAATTTCACATAATTATTTTATTCTAAATTTTTATTATCGTTTTTAAATTTATTAAACCCTTAATCATTATTAAAATAGCCTAACTGTATGCATAAAACCTTATCCCGAAATAGGGGACATGAGTTCACGAACTTAGAAACAGAGCAAAATTTTGTCACGAAACAGGATCCAAACAAGAGGTCCGCAGAACAATTAATATTAAAAAAAGTTCAAACTATATAACTATAAATTATGTATTAACTTACTGTCAAAAGACCAAAGTTTAGCATACAAAAGCTTTCATACTGATATCATGCTTGGTTATTTTTAAATAAAATGTTAAAGTCGTAAGAGCCTTAATATACCGAAGTAGGGGGCACTTACCTTAACAGAGAGAACCTTGTTCTTGATTGGATATCTGAGGGCATTACCAATAGGCATTACTCCGTCATTTTCTAAGCTACACTACATGACATAACATATCATCATAGACTACCACGCGTCCACCGCCAACGACACGCAGGTACTTACTTCCCTTCACAGCTGAAAGCTTGTCCTTGATTGGGTAATATCAAAGGGCATTGCCCCGCCATTCCCGAAACTACAAATCGTGGGCTACTTACCTCCATCCATATGCTTCCCAAAACCTTCACCAGGTCATATAGGTATCGTCATAGACTACTACGCGCCCACCGCCAACGACACGCAGCTGAGAGCTTGTCCTTGATTGGGTATTGCTTCGCCATTTCCGAAACAGGTCCTTGTCCCGCACCCAGATGATCCCCGCAAACCTTCACCAGATCATCTGATCAATTTGGAGGGAAATGTCTTGTTGCCGTAGCGCGCGCACCCACCCTGCGCACGTGCGCGTCATCGACTACTATGCGCCCACCGCCAACGATACTCAGGTAACAGAGAGAACCTTGTTCTTGATTGGATATCTGAGGGCATTGCCAGTAGCGGCGTAAGGCGGTCTGCCCCGGGTGCCAAGCATCAGGGGGTGACACAAGTCGCGCAGATTAGTACTCACTGGCACATCTGCATGGCAAATCTGCGGTCTATGACATGATGTGTATGGCGATTGTCTTTCAATCTTCGAATCGGTAGGTAACCCCAAAATCCTGGGGGGTACCAGGGGGTGCCTTAGGTGACGGGGGAGGGGGGGTGATCGCCCCGGGAGCCAACCCATGCTACGCCGCCACTGGCCACCCTTCCTAAATGAAGACCGCCCTCTATAGATGGGGGCCACCCTCCACAGGGGCGGCAACCCTTCCTAAATGAGGGCCGCAATCCATAGATGGGGGGCCACCCTTTCTAAATGAGGGCCGCCCTCCATCGATGGGGGGCCACCCTTCCTAAATGGGGGCCAACCTCCATAGATGGGGTTCCACCCTCCATAGATGGGGGCCACCCTCTATAGATCCACAGTTTGGCGTCACACTACGCCAGGGTACCATAGTGAACAGAATTTTCAACACCGGGGTCCACTCTCCACGCCTGGGGACCACACCACAGCTGGGCAAACGAGCATAACATTGACGAAAAACGTGGCCTTAATTGGGCTGTATTGACGCTTAACCTTTAGATCCTAGCCACACAGGAGTTGCAGCTGAGGAATCTAATCCTCAAAATTCAAGTAGTACCTAAGCAGACCTTAGTTGGATCTTCACAGATATTTTGCTACCATACCATTGATCTTAAAATTCTTCACTATCTAAGTAACTTAAAACTTACACAGTGCTGGTAAGGTACTACTACAATATGCACAAGCAGTGAATACCTTGCTTTAATTTGTAGAGACATTAATACAAATGAAGAATAGATATAATTTAATGTTTTCTGTCCTAGATGTACACCATCCCAGAAGACTGTCCCGCCCGCATCACCCATGAATCACCGGAGTACCACTCTTCCGACAATCTCTTCACTAAAGCCAAGTCCCTCAACCACAGCGGCGAACTTGTCATAACCCATGAGTTCTCCTTCGAGGACATTCCCGAAGGCATACCCTTGGAAGACCCGATCTATGACACTTTGAATAGAGACGAAATCGCCTATTTGAGCAAGTTCAACGAAGTGACACCAAGAAAGAACACCGAATATGATGAAAACAGCATTAATACCATACCAGAAGATATTTTTACAACTGAAATGAACTCAAAAACCAATGAACAAATTAACAATGAACAAACTGAGAAACTCAAAATAACATTCACTGATGCTGCAGAAGAACCAACTCATGACTCAACAAGAAAAGGCAAAAGTTACAGCCAAGCTAATTTCAGAAATACGGAAAACAGTAACTATTTTGCCCGAAATTCAAATCAAGCGTATAGTCCAAGATTGGCCAAATTTGATGATGATCAGGAGAAATTTGATGATCCTGAAGTGGCATACAAAGATTATTCTGATACAGTAACTCGCACTTTTACACTAAATTATAATAATTACTATGACAATTACATTAAAAAACACAATATTACGCCTGAGCCACGTATAGCTAGTACAAGGGATATACAATACAATGATTCAAATGCAAATTGGTTAATCAAAGAAAAAGAAGATCTTAGTAACTCAAACACTACAGTTACTAAAGCAATGTCTGAAGCACTAACAGAATTATCTAGTCCAAAATACGAGGAAAACGTTTCTCCAAATTTAGCACCGACAATTCAAGAGCACAAAACATCGACTCCAATTGAAGAACTGACGAATCCAAATGCTGAAACTCCTAAAGAAGCTTCACTTGGTGAAGTAATGAATCCTAATTTAGCAAGTTTCCACGTCATCGATAGTGAAAAGGATCTTGAAGTTCCAACGGGAATAGAGGGGCCAGTGCCCGCTGTGGTGCTGCCTCCACAGAACTTTGTGGCGGTGCCGCCTCCACCAGGTAAAGATTTCACTACTTTTAGTTTTATTTGACCTCTATGATTTTTTACTAATGGACTGATCAATGGTGATTTAGGTTTCCTGTTTATGCTGTCTCTATTTTTATTTTTATTAGGTACCTCTACAGTTTCGTTTGTTCAATTCAGCAGTCTTCATTCAATTTTGGACTGCTTCTGTACTGGCTCTTTAGGAATTTTCCATGTTATTAGTTTCTTCATTAAGTACTTGCAAGCAATGTTTAGCACATTGCTTGGGCTACTCATACTTACACTTTGAAAGTTTAAAACCTACATAAAGGATCTTACTGAGCCCATATTTTACAGCATTTTTTACCTCTTTTTCCTACTTATTGTTATTATTCTAATATTAACTACTGCTTATATCTCCAGGTTTCCAGCCGCAGTTTGTAATTGGAGGGTACCCGCGAGGCCTACCCTCTCCCAGCGCCTACTACCTACCCCCGTTCCGACGTGACGCGACCTACATCCGTTACCCCTACTATTACGGGAGGAACAGCCCTCCTGCTGGTTGATTACTTTAGATTTTACAATAGAAATAGTGTCTAGATATATATCAAAGCAGTGCGGAAACTAGGCCGGTCTTTTATATGCCTAATGTAAGCTTTTAGCTGCGCCCTTGTCTTTTGTCAGTCAGGTCTTTTTTGGGCACCACTTGCATCGCCCTATTATGGCACTGTATCAAAATACGATGTCTGCGTCTGCATCCTCGACGGAAATATTAATGTGTGACTTGTCACAATAAAGTTTTTCGGATATTGATGAAACAAAACATAGCGTGTCAGTCGGATCTTTTTTTATGGGACAGGGAGGCAAACGAGCAAACGTAACGGAAGCAGCCCCAGGGGAGTTACAGGACCTCATAAAATATGCAGCTTAACGTTAAATTGTATTTTCAGTAAGTATGTAAGTAGGTATGCTATATTTTAACTTGACTTATCTCTAGTGAGATCTCATTAGTCACAAACAATTACTCAAATTCTTTATTAGCATGTAGGTTGTAGGTAGACCCTTCAAGGCACTTGCAAGTCACAACATTAGTGGTATCGTCAGTTATTTTGAGAACACTTTTTTTCTGTTTCTTTCCGACAGCAACGTAAAGTACGTGATTCCCAGCACACCCAGACGCAAGCTACGTCACGACCGGGTATTGATCCCGGGACCCATTGACTACATTTGGGTGATGCATCGCGCCCTCGCGCATCTTGTTTTAGACACTTCATACTATTTTTGTTTCAAGTCACTTGTTTAATTCTGTCGAGGATGCTGTGTTGGAGGTAAAAAGACAACTCTACCTATTTCAATTAGGTAGATTCAGGAACCAATTTATTGAAATCTTTCTTATTAGTACATAAGCTAAATAATTAGTAACGTATTTTTATGTAGGTATTAAAGAATGATGTTATTTATTGTAACTAAAATAATAAGGTTAGTGCTGTTTAGTCGTAATTAAGTACTACTCGCATTGTTAATGTTAACTTAATTAGATCTATAAAATGTTAAGTAAGTATTTATTTCGTACGCGTGTCGTAACTCCGTAAGTAGGTAATTATGATATCACTATTATGTCATACTGCCGCATTGTTTAGGCTGTGAATATACTCATTTAGACTTTACCGTTCTTTTATTTTCAAAATAACAAACAGCGCAGACTCCATAACGGATTATAGTCCTAGAGCTATGTGATTTACACGACATAACAACACACGCACAGCTTTTAGTTACCTTAATTAAACAATTTTCAGCTAATGTAAGTAGGTAGGTACGCATCCTTCAGCGTATAGGTAAATTACGACCAGGAAAAATGGAATTCTGCTGACAACAACAGACCAAGTGAGTCAGGGAGTGACATAATTACATACATCATCAGTATTTTGACCGACTGGGAATGCCAAACGACTCGAAATAAACGCCCTCATCTTATAATATCTCGCACGTGCTCACGCACATCATTCACAAGTTATACAGGGTGTAATAAAACTTCGTTTTACACACCACTACGTTCTGTAAAATTCAGTGATGTAGCGCCGATCAGTACAAAGTATCTAAATAGGGTATACGTGAATAGAGCATTGTCCCTTATTTACTGCTCCATTTCATTTACACCCGGTATTCTTTTCCGATTCTCAATCGAATCGAAGCGTCATACGAGGATGCGTCAGACAAGCATTTTGTTTCCCAAATCGGTCGCCTTTCAATAACAATGCTAATTCCTTTGTCTATAAAAATCCGAGTAGGTAATACAAAAGTAGTAGAGGCGTAATAGGTAATTAGAAATCAAATAAGTTACGTAGTTAGTTATCAAACTTTTGAAAGTAAATAGTAGGTTTTTAGTTTAAGTACCTATTTTAGTTCAGCATCAGCATCAAACTAGTCGTCGTGCCTACATTAGTAATATCATGCCCTGCATACTGTTACACTACATAAAGTGCAATGCCTTCGATCGACGACGTATCAAATGACTGACTAGACAGCTTAGATTTGATTTGGTTATTGAACCCATTATTATTTATACATGTAGGTATGCAAATTAGTTTACAAGTCAACCAACTGGTTTAGAAAGTAGGTAGCCAGACAGTTTTTATACACGTCTTCATCTATTTGTTATGCAGCGATAATCGTCCTTACCTCCTTTATCGGCGTTTATCTCAATGACACACCCCAGAAATACGCTTTACTAAGATAAGAGCCAAACAATATAAATGGCAACAAAGAGAACAGTCAGTTTTAAAAATGTGAACAGAACAGGACACTGAAATTAAAATTGTTTGATGCAATTTTTAGTTTCCAGTGCAAGGGGCAATTACGAAACTGGTTCGCATACCGCCGAGTGCAACTCGCAGGTGCGGGGGGCGGCGGCCACAACGATGACTCACCGACATCGTTTCATCATTCTCAAATAATATGTGCTTTGAACTCGAAAATATTGTCAACGTGTGTACCTACTACACTTATCAGTCTCTCGCATCCTGCTCAACAACTTCCTCACACAAATTACTATACACATTCTGTTGACCAACCGAAATAAAAAGAAAACAGTAGTTAGCAACATTTTAATATATATTTTTATTCAAATGAATTCAATCATACATTACAGAATACTTGGATTTATAATGTACGTTTTTTTATTAAAAATAATTATAATAATTACAAAATAACCATTACTGGTGTTATAATTATTATTACATTAATATAAAAAAAAGGTATGCTTCCATCCGCACTTTCAAGAACCATATTATATGGACATAACTTTTATAATTCTTCGTTTTCATCTGAGTTACATAGATTACGTTTGAGCAAAATGCGACAATTAAATGTTTTTGTAAATTGAAAAATATTGAATATATTGTGCTATGCTCATAAACGCTGCATTAAAGCTAGGTACGTGGACATTTTATTAAATTAACTACATTTTAAATGCACCATTGGGAAACATCCCTTATACCTTTCTTGTTCAATTCTCACATAAATTCACTGTCATGCAAGCAATATTCAAGATACAAATAATACTGATTTAAAATGAATGAACTCAATTTTGGATGGATTGTAATAATCTCTTTTACGTAAAACTATAGATTTTTATGGGTTATACTTTTTACACTAATTGACATGCATAATTTTAAAATCAAAAAGTGAAATAAAAATAATCTTTTTTATTACATTGCTTACACAACCGTCCGCTCTTGGGAAGCAAATAAATAATTCAAACTGCTGTTTCAGTCATAGGAATCTGCTACAGACCTCTTAAACTGCTCTAGAGCAGGTCCACACCTAAGTACAATATTACTTTATAATTGCAACGCTACCAACAAAAATGGACACAAATTGTTGAACTGTCCCTTTCAGTAAGCAAAAGATCTGTCCAATTGTCAGCCACTTCAGAGATTTGACACCATTATAATCCTTCTGTACTGAGAGTAACAAAATGCAATAAAATTTAACAGTTATGATAGCGATTTCTCTATATACTCATAGATAAATACACACATGGGAGCAGGAAGCCCCAGTGCCCATAAACATTTGAACATGATTTACTCTTATGCAAATATGTACAGAGGCGTGGAGCGGCCGCTGCGGCTCAGAGCGCAGCGGCGGGACATCATTGGCTCTTCAGCTCCTTGCCGATGGTGTACGACACGAGCCGGGCCCAGTCGATCTTGCTGCGCGTCACCGGCAGCTGTCGTCGGAGCGCCTTGAAGGTGGTGTCGCTCATAGTCTTATAATTGTCAGAAATTGCTGTTTGATAAGCGTTTTCAGCGTCGCACACGAGTCGCACGAACTCTTTCGCGGTCGCAGCTTCCCCTGTCGCGACCAGGGGCGCACGGACTTCCTTCGAGCTCACCAACTGGACGTTCCCGTCTTCGTAGTAGTGCACCTGCACGCGGAGCATGCCCCGGAGCTCCGCCGGGCCCGCTCCCACAGTCAGCGTCCACACGGAGCGCCACCGCCCGTTCCAGTAGTTCTTCGGCTGGAACTGATGGTCTTCGATGCACGCCACTAGTGAAACGCCGCCAGACTCTAGAGCACGACCGACCACTAGACTGGCGACGTGCTTGTAATGCGCGGCCACGTACGCCGTGAGCTCCTCGTCGAGCGCCGCCCGCCAGGGCTCCGCCACTTTGTCGGGCTCGTACGGTTCGTAATCGGACGCTTCTTTACGTAAATGATCATACTTGAAGGATGTCTTTGACCGTGGGTCGAAGAATCTACCGCCACCGAGCTCGTTGTGATCGGTAATCAAAGTGTGGAGCTCCGAGCCCTCGAGGCGGACGGGCGTGAGCTGATCCTTGTTGTACTGCGCGAACGCCCCACTGGCGCCCTCCTTGAGTAGACTGTCGTTGTTAAGAAGGACCCTCACATCATTAAATACTTCGTTGAATTCCCCAGGTGGCGAATGAAGGATGAAATCCGAAACAATTCTAACTTTTTCCTGATCACTAATCACTTCGTCACCGTCCGCCGCCATTTTTGATACTTTTGACACTAATGACGGGATTGACGGATGTGCAAAAAAATGTCGCCAGTAACGTTCAAAATGTTTGTTATAGATATAATCTGTAATCCTTTATAAAACAAAAAGATTAAATATTTTGGATTATTTATTCATTAAAAAAATAATATAAACAAATTAATTATTTAATTTTTATGACAGAAAATGTACTGTAAGAAAGTACAGCAAAGTAATGAATAAAATATTTAAGATACTTCGTTTCAATATTTTAAGTATTTGAACGATACAGGTAATTTCACACATACATTAACGAAGTTAGTCAAAGATTAGATTTCCATGTCGCTTATTTCTGTGGAAATATAAATAAAATGTATTCTATACTGTAGTTATATAAAACTTATAACTGTTTAATTGCTTACATTCTGTTTGTCTATAATTATGCTCTAAAATTACAAAATTTCATTTTTTTTAATCTATTTATTTGTCACTGTCAGCTGTCATATTATTATTTAACTGACTTCGTAAATGTCCGTCAGCAAGTAGTGGTGGTGTTGTGTAACTATTTTTATTGAAAAAACCTGAATAAATCCAATAATGTCTCTAAATATGATGAAATATAAATACTACGACACCCCTGAGGGGCAGGATATTTTAATGAAAAGCATTGTGACTTCCAAATATGCCGCATTATCCGGTCTTGGTGCAGCTACGTTCGATGTGCTTATGTACTCGCAGCCTAAAGGTATTGTGGCTACCGCTGGACGATTCATGTGGTACATCGGTCCTTTGGTCGGTATGGCCACAGCCTTCACCGTGACCACTAACGTAGCCCAGAACATTCGCGGCAAGAATGACAAGATAAATTATTTCCTTGGTGGAGTGGCTGCGGGTTCAGTTTTTGGTGCTTGGCAAAGATCGATAACAATTTCCGTGCCGATGGCGGTGCTCTTGGGATTAGTGGCCGTGGTCAAGAAGACCGCTATCGACGAAGGCTGGGAGCTGCTGCCGCAAGTGCCTCACGCCACAAAAACGATCCAATCCGTCAAACGTGACTGGAGCATAGTGAAAGACATCGAAGAATTGAAGAATTATACCACAGGTAATTATTATTGTTTTACTACTTCTTCACAGTCTCTAACTTTAGTTATCATGTACCTTAAGTTAGTAAAATATGCCATCAATTCAGGAATTGACTGTAACTTCTTCAAATCTCTGACAACTGAAGTATCAAACCTAGCTAGCACAACATTGGATTGGATTTAGAATCGACAAACTATATTCTGTAAACATTGAAACAAAAATAATATTCCGATGTTACCTTCCTGTAAGACCTAAGTTGCTGTGTAATAGTTGGAACATGTATTGCCACACACTAATACAAATCAAACATGTTTTTACTGTTACATGTTAGCTTATCTTTATTTTCAATAATAAGTACACTTGAATTATTTTGTTATTAGAACCTTGTACACTTGCTATTGCTAATTGGAATATTTGGAATTAACAATTTTTGAGTTAAAAAAAAACTTAAATAACAAATATTAATAAATAATGTTTTCTTTTGTTTTCAGAATCTAAGTAAACACAAGGAAGTGAAAGGACTAGTTCATTCAATGAAGAATATGTAATTAAACCTCTAATTAAGTATAAATTAGTAAATTGTTGTTTTTTAAATCATAATCTTTTACTTATTCCACAAAATAACTCATAAGTGATACTCTAGCGCAGCGGTTCCCGAATGGTGGTCCGCGGAACCCTGGGGTTCCGTGGAAAGGCTGCAAGGGTTCCATAAAAAATATTATCCGACGTTGTTCGCTCGCACCGACTTGTTTACGCACAAGGGAGGGGCAGGGCGTGCGGGCGGAGTAGGACGGGGGTTCCGCTAGGAAAAGTATAATCTATTAGGGTTCCTTGGCAAAAAAAATTTGGGAAACCCTGCTCTAGCAAACCAGAATATGCCTACTTTTGTTTGGTAAAGAAACTAAAGAACATGTAGTTGAATAATTTTCATGTGTTGGTATCTAGATGTGTTTAATTTAAAAATGGTGTGTTTAATAAGATCTGATTACAGATAGAAAAAACTTTCTTGAGTATTTAACAGTGGAAATTAGTCACGCTACTTTAAAACCTGTGTTTTATTTAATTTCTATGAGCAATGTGGCTTGATCTCTGGGTTTCCATGAGATTATCTTAGTAAAATAGAAGCCAAGGTTTTAGGTACAGCTAGTAAATAAAAAACGAATTCAGTTAATTCACGTTTATTCCTTACAACTAAAAAACAAAACATAACAAGCAACGAAAATGCTACAATTAAATGTTAAATTGTCCTACAATAAGTACACAAATAAATAATAACAATAAATAATATTTGTAGTTTTTACGTATATCAAATAGGTTAATATACAAATGAGAATAGGAATGTTCAAGCTTCACACTGTTAAATCTGTACTAAAGCCTTAAACAAAGAACATAATATCCTGTAAAAATATCGTACTTTCAAAGCTAGTAATCTTATAGTTAATTTGAATTGAATTAACCTCCAACATTCATTTTTAAGATTAGTTTTGACTGATGTAAAAAATATAGACCACATGTGTGTAAAAATTAGCTATAGTGACAGATAAAAAGCATCTCTCTGCAACTAGTAGAGCTTTGGGGTCAACATAGGTATAATAATAAAAGATATTTGGGCGTCAACATCACTCAGATGAAAACCTTCCAGGGTCGCTAATTTTCCAATTCTCATTTTAAGCTATTCACTAATAACATAACACAATGAAACGTGTTCATTTCGGCAACATTTAAACATAAAAGTTAGTCCCTCTAGAGAGCAATAAAGCTACTTCTTAATTGCCATGCGCTGCATCGTGTCACCAAGTTAAAATATTCTTTGTGCCACAGATACTTACAGGTATAGTAACAAAACAACTGTTTGTAGCAGCGCATACTTTAATGCAATAGGCATTTGCAATGAAATGATGATCAATAAAAAATAAATACACTTGCACAATTATTCATAAATGCACAATTATATCTACAAACTCACACAGGTGCAAATTTTAATATCCTACTTAAAATTTAAACTGGGGCTTTATTGAGCTATTATCTAAAATATAAGGAAAATTTGGCTTTTAATTTGCAGACTTAAAAATTGGCCTAAATATACAATAAACGTAGTAAATTTAAGTTGAGCTTGAGTACAATAATCATAATACAAAATGTTTTCTATTTTATAGCAATAACAATAAAAAGCTGGAAGAAAATTTGGCACAAACTGAACCAGAAAGTTGTACTATTACTTTAAATATAAATTCGTAGTTACAGCAACATTACGTCTAGATTGTTTATTCCTTCAACACTCACGAGAAATATTTAGTCAATGCGTAAGTAAATGAAATTTACATCTAGATGAAAACATCTTACTAAATGCGGTCACTGTGGTCTCAACAGTCCGACAGCATAAATATCAGACACTTTATTACTTACAAAATATAATATCCATGGTATGATAGTAATGTCGCAACTTTCCAGTTATAATATTATTTTCCCTCAATCCACTCAATAGGTCCCTGCTGACATTACTACGAACTTTATGTAAAAAATAAATAAATGTTACCATTGAAAAAAAAAACTGCTGTCTTAACTCCGGACTTAACTGATATCTGTGATCACAGAGACCGCACGTCGAAATGGTTAAATTTAACGTATAGTTGGATTACTTGACCCTAATATTATGTTAAGACTCGCGATATCACTCAATATAATCTAGATATGGAGCTTAAAAGTAGCGCTAGAAGTTGCCAGTACATGTCACGAATTTTGACAAATTGATGATAACAATGACCAAAGATAAAATTACTTGGTTACTGAATAGAACTAAAGTATATGCATACGCTATGCGAATATAATTGAAAAGAGCAATAATCAAATCTGTATCTTAGGTCAAAATTATCTTTCATTTCGTCATTATTCTTTGAATCGACATTAGAGGTTTAAATCTTATTTTCAACTTATCAATGACACATCCCAGAAGTATAACACATAATTGTAACAAAAATGAAGTCAGAGAATGAGTGGCAAAGAAATAAAGCCTAAATATATCTATAACTATTATTCTAACTTCCTTAAACTTCAATGCCAGTAAAAAATTTATTACAAAATATTCGCACATATCTACGTTTCATCTGTCCTTCCAACAGCAACAAGAATAAATGTGGTATTTACCATCGATTTACATCGTTTTATGATATAAGCTTTCACTTTGCTTAACATTTATTAAGCTTGTAGGAATCTTTATGTTAGTATGAGTGCCCCCTAGTTAAAAGTAGTTTCAAAGAAAACTCATACTCCTTCATTAGAGCCAGACAATAAACAAAACAGAAGCGACGCTAACATGGTCTGTGCTATTTGTTATCTATGTTTTATATTGCACCACAGATACCATATTGATTTTCCTTCTGTAATTTTTTTTTTCGATTCCAACACTGAACCGTCCCAGTCAACTACGACATTATTAGGATGGCGCTACAATTAATAATATTCCATTTTTTGCCACTAAGCGTTTCAGAATCGTTTGACAATACAATTTATTCTTGTTGTCGATGGGAGCTCTATCAAAATCTAACCCTCTAATGCCGAGGTACCGCGCCTTTACAATCAGTTCACTTCTTCTGGACCGAGTTCTTCTTCGGTTCTTCTTCCTCGTCAACTTCTTCAACTTCTTCCTCGATCTCTTCTATCTCGATCTCCTCGTCGATTTCCTCGTCGGACAACTCTTCGTCTTTCTGTAATGAGATAAAATTTAATTATGATAGATCAATAAATCTACTGGGTGTGAAACGTGGAAGGTCACCAAGGTCATCTCGCACCAGCTGCAGGTCTTCGTCAACCGCTGCCTTCGCCGAATTCTCGGCATTTACTGGCCTGAGAAAATCTCCAACGTCGAGCTATTGGAACGCTGCCACGAAATTCCGATCGACCAGCAGATCAAGCGCCGCAAGTGGAACTGGATTGGCCACACTCTCCGAAGGGATCCCGATCACATCCCCAAGCAGGCTCTGGATTGGAACCCCCAAGGAAAACGCAAACGTGGTCGCCCCAAGCAAACTTGGCGGCGCACTGTGGCAGACGAGGCAAAGAAGATCGGCAAGACTTGGAACGAGATCAAACACATAGCTCAAGACCGAACGCGATGGAGGACTGTTGTGGACGCCCTCTGCCCCATCTAGGGGACATAGGACCATAAGTCAAGTAAGTCAATAAATCTACCTATATGTATAGGTTTCCACTAGTGTTTGTCAACAACTTTGTCAACTGTTAAAATTTATGGGAAAAATCACAGATCACAGAAACTAAAGGGAGATGTGAAAAGGGGGCGGGGCCAGTGTCGCAGCAATATGCCCAAAAACATAACACATTGCTCGTGACAGCAATGATGACAGCAGCGACATAATATGTGTAAACAGTTTACATAGTTTGCGTAGTACGAAAGATTATTTGAACGTTGAGTACTGATACTGATGCTTGCTGCTGCTGCTTGCATACACGTTAACTTAGCGTATCAAATATTAAGCATTAATTAGTGCTAAAAGCTCACCTCAGCGGCCGGCTGTGTGACTCCACTCGCTGTTGTGAAGTCGTCTACTGTTGATTCTGAAAAGTAACAATTAAAATCGTAATTATTTATAAGCCTTTATCGTAAAAAAATATCATTTGACATCTTTTAAACAGCAAACTAGGCACATCTTAGTAAGAAAGGCTGATTTCCACTTTGATTAGTGTGAGTGCAGGTGATTATTAGTGACTAGGTGTGGACAGCAACTGATTAGTGCAAGTGATTAGTTGGCTGTGTAGTAAAGTGAATGGAAGCGTGTTCTATTTTTTTGCGAGTAGCCTCGTCCCGCGCTCCCTTCCTCCCCCCTCACTCGCAGCGTGCCTGCCACTAAACACGTCTGGACACTCGCAGTGAATTGGACACTACTCGCACTACACACCTACACTCGCAGTACTCACCTGCACTCACACAAATCAAAGTGTAAATCAGCCTGAAGACACCAAAGCCCGCTAAGTAGACTAGAACTCCTCTTTGGAGTAGTTTTCTCAGCACAACATACATATACAGGATGGAATTTTGTAATGCCACCTGGAGGGAAAGTACTCTTAATATTGTAGATAGAAAAAATTTCTCAAAGAAAACATTCCTTTATTTTTGAATAGAAATAGAACCGCATTCAAAGATTTCCAAAAATTTGCTTGCCACACCCGGGAATCGAACCAACTAAAATCTGTTAAAAATTACACCCTGTATTTTTATTGCATCGATCGTTAGGGTTAAATATAAGGATGAAATATCTCTAATAAACTTGATAAATCAAATGAAAGGAAAACCATGAAATCTTACATTACTTTAATTATGTGCAGAAAATTGTTATTGGTATGGTAGTGAATTTTCGAAAATCTATGAATGCAGTTCTTTTTCTTTTCAAAAATAAAGGAATGTTTTCTTTCAGTAAAATTTTCTATCTACAGTATTAAGAGTAGGTACTTTCCCTGGAGGAAGCATTACAAAATTCCACCCTGCAGAACTTTCAAGGCCTCCATAAACAATATAATCTAAACCTACCAAGATCCCGGTCGGGAGTGTCTCGCGGCGCGTCCTGGATGAGAGACAGCGTCATCTTGCCGCTCACCACCGTCTGAAGAAAACAAAAAGACATTATTTTATACGCCTTTGTCAAAGAGAACACGAGTTGTCCTATTGCGCCGTGAGATGGCGCTGCATGTACGGACGACAGCACATCAACCTAAACACAGTGACATCTTATCTCGTCGTAACACAGGCTATTTTGCAACAAAAATGTATAACTTGATGTGCAGTCGACTGTACTATAGCTGCCGAAAGCGTCATCAAAAACGAATCAAAAAAAGATTAAAAGCTGACAAATAAGTTGTAATCGAGTGTTTTAATATTATAGAAAAGGTCAAGTCCAACCTGTCCAAGTAGAACTTGCGCACTAAGGTACAAGAACAGAAACCAAAAATGATAACAATTAATTAAGAAGGTAAAAAGAGGAGCAACTCAAGAGTGGAAGGACAGTTGGTATATTCATAAGCATTGACTATCTCAATAGTTTCTTACAATGACAATAGTTTACTTAAAATGGTGGACTCACGTTTCGATACGCAAAACTGCACAGAGGGCGCTACTGGCACGATAAAGATAGAATTACTGTAGTTATTCCCTATTTTTGCAATTTTTACTGCTCTAGTGCTGCCCTACAACAGTATAGTGAAAATATTGCAGCTATTTATATGCTACTAGCTTTTGCCCGCGGCTTCGCGTTAAATTTATTTTGTCATAGTTCGTCATAAATAAATTATAGCCTATATGTTATTCTGGGTTATAAACAATAACCCCCTTACTAATAAAAAGTTACACAGTTGTTGATCACTGTTTTAAAATGACATTTCCATACTAAACGTCACTTTAAAACACTGATCAACCAGCGTGTAAGTTTTATTAGTAAGGAGGTAAAAGTGTAAAGTGTCATTAAAATCCGTTCAGTACTTTTTGCGTGAAAGAGTAACAAACATATATCCAGACATCCAAACTTTCGCATTTATAATATTAGTAGTATATAAGATTATTCGATAGTCGGCTTTCAGACGTAGGTTCGTTCGTTCGTTCGTCTCAGCCGAAAGACGTCCACTGCTGGACAAAGGCCTCCCCCAAGGATTTCCACAAAGACCGGTCCTGCGCCGCTTGCATCCAGGTACCTCCCGCGACCTTCACCAGATCGTCGGTCCACCTAACCACCAGCCGTAGGTATTACGTGCGTATGTAAAGTGACTGACCGGCGAGTGCTTGGGCTGCGTACGCGCGTCGGCGTGGTCCTGGAAGTCGGCCACCAGCACTCGCGCCTGCTGCGGGATCTGAGTCTCCAAGAAGATGGACTGCACCGACTCCGCCTCGTGCTGCGGACAGGAAACAGGCCTTTATTACGGTAGGCGGGCTAGGATAGCTAACGCCTGGTCCGTGAGCACGTAGAATTTTGTCCAATGACCCCAAGCTACCCATCCTTATCGCTCGCGCGTAATTATATTGCTGTCGCGAAACGCAATTGCAACGAAACTGCAACTTCTAGTTACTCCGTAAATTCCGTTGAGAGACCACACACGACGCGACCATTTCAAACCGGTTTCAAACTGGTCGCGTCATGTGTGGTCTCTCAACGGAATCTATGGCAGAAACTTAGATGCAACTCAAAAGTAACTAGAAGGCTAGAAGTTGCAGTTTCGTTGCAATTGCGTTTCGCCGTGTGTTCTGGGCCTTAGTATCCCAGTGGTAGGCGATACCTACCCCTACCTGGTACCTACCTAAGAAAATCTGATTTGCCTTAACCTGGTCAAGACTACTCCACCTTTACTTTTTTATTTGCTCAGAAGCCATAAATACCTATCAAATAGAAGAGGAGGAGGGCAAGTGTGCAACATCAAACTTTAATACCTAAGTATGAATGAAAATAATTTTAATTTTACTGAGATTCATAAAATCATCATTTTAGGCAATTGTAACTCTGCTGCAGTACCTATAATACTGGACAATATATGCGGCCAGATACGCCAGAGATTAGAAAGACATCCGGGATTTATGCAGTCCTGCTAAAAGTTACTTACGAGTCTCAAGTATTTCCTTCGTTGCTTACCTACTTATAAGTACGAGAAAGTATTTACCCCACTTTGAAATATGAAGGATGACTTTTTGCTCATCATCATTAAAAAATAAAGAGGTATGATTAAGTTCTTTATTGTATTTTGATCAAATTCCTTTGGACCACCCAGTATAGCGATGCAGAATTTAATTTGTCTCGCATATTACAGCAAAATTATTTCTTTAATATTTTTATCTACTAGCAACTCTAGATTCACGTTAGATTCAACCTATATTAGTAAAAAAACAGACATGTTAGTACGAAATAAAACTGCTGGTTTGGAATAATTGTTTTATTATTGTAAAATAATGTAAATAAAGTGTGAGGTAAGAAAAAAGCAGTTTTACTTTGTACTGTATGTTTGGAATTATGCGACAGAGCGTACCTCATCCATGACAAATATAAATATGCATGAGATACACTGGTGATATACATAAACGCTACTTGTGCAAAAACCGAATTTAAACGATATCTCATAGATAGAAAGCTGACCAATCCGCTGGACAAATAATAAAATATGATAATCAAAATATAACTTGAGAAATTCAGAGCGATTGCACTGAAGTGTGGATAATGTAGTAGTTTGTGTATATTTCACTTTTCTTTTTGAATGGAATGTACGCATGGTGATTCTGAAATTATAGCGAATTATTTCTAACTACGACAACATAAAATATATTCAGGCAGTGTTAAGGGGAAAAAACAACCCAACACTTTGACATGATAGAAAGTACTGAAAATAGTAACTTATTAAATCATTTTTAGTCTTAACTACAATGTTGGTAATGATAAACTGAATGTGTTCTTGTGCATTAAAAATTAACCAGTGCAAGTTAAGCTAACCCTTATGGATAACTCGTAAAAAATTGGTTTCAAGTGCCCACTTTTGGGAGGGTATCATAAATATTATAATAGAGGAAACAGTGATATTAGAGGAATCTAAACATTCACTACACATACAAACAACATTGAAATCTGTGCCAAATGATGTAGAATCTGTCATACCAAATGAGTAAGTTTGCGCCGCATAAAACAAAAACCTGTGCCAAAGTAAATTCAGCCTATAATAACGGCTAGCTAAATTCTGCCTACAATAATATTACCTGTAAATCAAGGTCACTTTTTAGAGGTTTGATAAGCTTATTTCTTCCAATTGCAGCCTTCAAAATCTTAACAAAGTATTTTAAAATCTACAAGTTAGATATCACTTCAATGATTAGGTACTTATGAAGTCCCATTTACATAGTCTATTCCAAAGAATCAAATTAGATTTAGGGTATAAATGGTCAAGTCTAATATGATTAACCGACTTCAACAAAAGGAGGTTCTCAATTCGCTTGTTAAAGTTTTGTAGATAGTTCGTTTTGGAAAGAAAATTAAATAATGAAACAGACAGTGAAAACACGTTTCGCCGATTCCAGATGGTGTGAAGAAAGAGAAAGGGAGAGCGATAGTAATTCATCCACATAACTACAAAAAATTAAAATTAAATTGAAAATTACATCATTTGGCACAAACATCACGAACGTTACACAAGTATCAAGATGCAGGATCGTCGTATAGGATCTGTGTGATATGGACAGTGCAGTAGGGCCTCACCGCGCGACCGGCGGGCGCGGGCGCGGGCGCGGTGGCGATCGCGGGAGGGCGCCACGAGCCGCCGTCCGCCGTGTGCGCCGTCACCTCCATGCCCACCACCTGTGGGACGAGCCACTACAGCTGACGGCTACGCTACTTGGGCACGTGTTCAGGGAGCAACCTACTAAAGTCCGGTCGCCGAGCAATGACCTCAAGCTACCTATCCTTATCGCACGCGCGTAATAGGCTAGTTTCCTAAAAAGAATTTTTAATCCGTCAATTTTAATATAAAAAAATATTGGACACATATTTTGAATTGTCAATCAAACAAATAATTACAAAGTTATAGTGCGTTGAAGTTTAGCGCGACGTCACAAAGTGCTGCACTTTTACGCACTCACTGAGGTCACGGGCATTTACTTTAGAACTTTGGCACGCTTTATCTCTTTACATTTTCATTAGTTTTAAAAAGCGAAAAATACGTGTCGAATAGTTTTTGCTAAGTTTACTGACGGACTAATTAAAACTCTTGCTTTTTTACCCAGGAAACATCCCTATTATATTGCTGTCGCGCTCGCACACTCACTGCTGCCGCTGTCGCACAGTAGCTCGCGCGTGCTCGGCGACCGGACTATACAACTACGGTATAGGGCAGGTGAGAAGTTCATTTGTTATAGGAACTACGAGTAAGAGCTACTCTACTACGGCACGTGGCATTGACCGAATGCTGTAGGTAGGTGTTACTACGGCTACGCTACTAGGGCACGTGAGAGGTGTTCAAGTGCTGGGAGCTACCATAGCTACGCTAAAAGGCCAGTGAACAATGTTTATTATTCTCTAGGAACTAGGAGCTACTAGCTAGAACTTCGTTTGCGACTTACTAGAGCTACTGTAGCTACTGTATTGCTGCTTGCTACGCTACTAGGGCACGTGGGAGATGTTCATTGAACTATAGGTGCTGATAGCTACTAAAACTACGCTAACAGCGCACCAGATGTTCACTCTTTGTTAAAGAGCTACTGAACTACACTAACTACACGTTGCTACCTATACTCTGGGACTCTGCAGAAGGCTAGGGTTAAAGCTAAAACGTCACGTAGTTTTGGAGAATCTTCAGAAAATGTAACGTCCAGCATATAAATTACCACCATGACTCGTGCAACCGAGTTGAAACGTCGGGAGGGTAAATATATTTTTTACCGTTATAAAAGTTTTGATGTAAAATCCCGTGAAGTGAATTTTATATAAATTATTATTGATCGCACTATACTTATCACAGGAGTTAAATATTTGCAGCCACAAAAGTTACTACTAATAAAAACCACATAGATAAAGTAAGTGAAAGTATTTAGCCACAAAATTATATCACGTCATTGCAAAGGAAATAAGGAAACTCACCTTTACACTGGGTTTTTCCTGGTCCTCCTCCGCGCCATCCTCCGATCCTTTCTCCGACGAATCCTCTTTCAGAGCCTCCTCTAGCAGTTCAGGTGTCGTCCTCTCTTCTTTCTTGGGACTTTCCTCAAATTCTTTAGCCGAAACCACTTCCACTTCTCTAGCGTTGTCCAAAAAGTCTTCAGTGGATTTTACTACAACGTCTTCAGCAATTTCTACAGCGTTTTCAGTATCTGTAAGTTTAACGAGATCTGCATTGTGTTTTTGGTCTTTTGTTTCAGTGGATTCTTTCTGGTCTGGGATCGGCTCTTCAGATTCAGGACTGGTGTCTTTGGACTCGGGTGTAAGGTCTTCAAGCTCAACAGAAGATTCTTTCAGGTCAGGGGAGGATTCATTGGGCTCTGGTGAAGACTCTTCAAGTTCAGCGGAAGATTCTTTGCGGTCAGGGGTAGGTTCTTTGTGCTCGGGAGTGGATTCTTTAGGCGCAGGGGTTGGTTTCTCTTCTGGAGCTGATTCTTTAGGCTCAGGGGAGAATTCTTTGGGTTCTTTAAGGTCGGGAGGGGATTCTTTGGGCGCAGGGGTTGGTTTCTCTTCTGGAGCTGATTCTTTAGGCTCAGGGGAGGGTTCTTTAGACTCAGGGATGGATTCATTCTTGGCGGGTTCTGGGCTTTTCTCTTTGGACTCCTCCCGGTACTCACTCGCGACTATGTGCACGGGCCCGGTGTTGTGTAGGACGGTTCCGTTAGTGTAGGGGCGAGCGTGGTTATCCTGCAGGTCCTGGAAATTTAGGGACACTTCTGTGATGGCAAGAATGGAAAAAATTAAGTTTCATCTCACAATACACCTCTTTGTTGAAGAAAATTTATAAAATTTGATAGCTTTAGTCAATTGTAATGTCGAAAAGTATTTGTAACAGAAATAAGATGTATTGCCAGATGGTTTTAGTTCACAAACACGTAAGCTTGGCTAACTAAAACTAGAAAATACATACGAACTAAATACAAGCTAACAAAAAACTTATTTCAGCTCCACACTGTGAAAATAATAATTTACAGCACTTCTAAATCTATAACACAAAAGACTTAACCAATATAACAGGTGTTTTGTAAGTCTAAACAGAACAGAAAATAACACAGTGCAATAGCAGTAAAAAGCAAAAAAGTTTTTGAACATTATTTTTATTTATTTACGTACCTATTCAAGATTTAATCTAAATATTAATTAATCTGCAGCTCATTAAATTTTAGTTATGAAAACCTATAGTTTAAACTGGTCCAAGGCAACCAAACCACCGAAAAGTTCACAGATGATAGAAAGATCAGAAGTGACATTTTCATTCAGCTGCTCCTGGTTTTCTGCCTATTTTTTTTACAGTTAGAACTAGAAATTTTGTTAGTCATGGCATGGTAACTTAGGTACAGGCAGACAGTGGCGGCGACGACAGTAACTCCATGCGACAGACCTTACCTGACCGAACTGAATGTAAACGCAACGAAACAAAAACGTGAAGGCATAAGGGATCTAAGTGCAAACTTAAAATTAAAATAGACTTTTCCGTATATTTGAAATATTAGTATCTTTTCAGCAACTTTTTTGCACGAGATCATCATCATAATTTGCAGTTCACATGGTAAACCGAAACTGACTAAAGGCATCTAAAATATCTGCTTCTCTCCATACTCCATAGTAGAGGCCTATTTTAGGCTTCAATGCCATTTAATTATTTTTTAATATCAAATTATTAATAATTTTGGCTGAACATGATTCTAATGCTTTCTTTTGTATACGGATAGACGTAACGTTTAATTTCATGTAGGTATATTGGGATATGGATGTAAGGATTTAAAACGTATGATTGGTCTTGAGATCATATTAATTTGAGTATTTTATTAACTTGAAAGACCATTAAAAAAATTAGTAAATCATATGAAGTGAGTGAGACACAACGAAAAAGCTCACAAAAATCAACCGAGAACTTTAAACACAAATAACAAAGTCCACAAAGTAAGGAAAAGAGTGTTAGAAACAATATTTTGCGGTCAAAGTCAAAGGGCAAAAACAGCGATAAATGAAACATGGAGGATACAAATGAGACGTAAGTTAAGAATGTGCTTAATGATGTTAAAATAACGTCAACAACGCCATAACGGGTGATAACGGCTAATTAACTGGAATATTCAAGGACCACAGTTGATAATGACACTCGCATTGGTAGAAAATTAAATATTTTTACCATTATTGAAGCCCCTTTGTAAGATTTTAGATTATGTTGTGGTCCTAATAGGACAAGTTAGTAATTAGTATAAACCAATTCGTAATTATGAATGGAAATTTAACAAAAAAATGTTCTGAAAAATCATCTTATTTCAGAACTGGAAATAAACTTTGATTTTAGAAGAGTCCTAAAGAAAAGTTCAATAAAACGTTGAGTTTTTGCCGTTTGAATTCTATGAGATGCAATAGTGGAAATATGATTTGAAGAAGAGCAAACGAGCAGACGGATCACTTGATGGTAAGTGATTACCGTCGCCCATAGACACCCGCATAATATCCATATTATGGTTATATTATTTATTATGATATCGTTTTACGAAGTGGAGGAAGGAAGGATATTTGAAGGCCATCAGTGGTAGGAGATAGGAATGGTGAATGAATATGGGTACACTGGTTGTTGGATGTGGAGGATCGAACTATATTTGAAGGTAATGAGTGGTAGATGATGGGTGTGAAAGGAGGGTTACCTACACCATATCGAATTACAAATGATCGAAAATCAAAATATCGAACACGTTTCATCGAAAGATCAAAATATCGAATGCTCAAAATATCGAACGTTCAGAATATCGAATTTACAAATGATCGAACGATCAAAATATCGAATGATTAAAATATCGAAAAACCAATATAGAGGTTTTAATTAAATGTCATACGATTAATGTAAATGAAACATAAATTCTTAAACACATTTTTTTATTTCCCACTTTTGGGTACCATAGTCAACAAGGAACCCTTACCTCCATCTTTCTATACTATGCAACATAAGATCGACTTTCGATATTTTAATCATCCGATATTTTGATCGTTCGATCATTTGTAAATTCGATATTCTGAACGTTCGATATTTTGAGCATTCGATATTTTGATCGTTCGATATTCTGATCGTTCGATGAAACGTGTTCGATATTTTGATTTTCGATCATTTGTGATTCGATATAATGTAGGTAACCCGTGAAAGGAGGATATTATTCGAAGACAATAGTGGTAGATGGTGGGTTTGAAAGGTGAGGCCATGTTGCGGCATGCAGTGACCTGTCGTTGCTGGTTCTGCGCGTAGCCCGCGTCCATCTGCTGCCGCACCTCCGCTACCAGGCCCGATATGGCCGTAACAACTGTGCCCGACAATGCTCACTGTTAGTTATTTTGAAAAATATTGTAAGAACAAGAAACTTTTTCATTGGACTTGAAATTACAGCACTGTTGATAGGATACTGTGCCTTGAACTTTAACAATTTCAATTTATTTCGAAACTGGAAAATGTGCCCCGTATCAAAGGTACTATGGAAACAATAATTAGCAAAAGGTACGATAATATCAATTATTAAAACATTCCCATGAAAATAAGTTAAATTTCGAATTTCGTCTTCATCCTCGTCTAAATTGAAGTTCTTAAAATTATTATCGATTTTGAGAAAGTTTGAACACAATCTTCGAAGTTCGAGATTATTACGGTTTATTTCATATTAGGTAATATACATAGCAGTGTAAAACTTTGTACTAACATTTATTAATTCGATCTAAAAGTAGGTACCCATTTCTCATTTTAACGACTATAAAGTCTTCAAGTTCACCGAATTATTAATAGCACGCGGACACATTCCTTACGGCAGTTATGTCATTAATCCTCGAGGTACTGCGCTCGATTTTGTATTTTTGTATTTAAAATTAAAAAACAAAAGGAAACCAAAAATAAAAATAGATATCATCAAAACAAAATACGAAGGACACGTCTCGAAATAGCCGGGTGCATCAGACGATCGCGCTGGAGCGACGCCAACTGACCGCGAGCGTGGCGTGGCTTTCGTTATCTCAGACCACGGCTTTGGGCATTCCGATTATAAAGTGGGTTTGTTGTTGGTTCTGTAAGGTGCTGTTCTTAACACGAGACGTAGGGTGTTGACTTGAAGGGCTATTAGCACCGATTTCATATTTTCGGATCTTTCAATCTCTCTCATTTAAAGACGCATCAGCTGCATAAACAGATTGTAAATTATGAGGGAGTAACCCTTACCATGCTGCAAAGTATCCAATACGTAGGAATGTTCAAATACTGTGCCAAGAAAAGGGTTAAATTTAAGGCTTTATGCTTAGTACCATGTTACGTAGTTTCAACACGCCACTTAGGTGGGCACAGAATTTTTTATTTTATTGTATTGCCAAATATACAACTAAAGCATTGTAGTACTCTCCCTTTTCATAAATTACTTGCATTGTAGATTAATACTATGATGTGAGTGAAGCCAAATATCGGCGATTCTTTTAATACCCGATATGTATGTTTTAAATTCTAAAGGCAAGTCAATATCTAGTTTTTAGATTTTACATCCTCCATTACTTTCATTAGTACTTCTAACTTTTATATAACACAAAAAGGATGTGTATTTCCCTTGACACACGTTATGTTTTCTGCAATCATTTTCTACTAATACTAGTACCAGCACTACAAAGTGTACTCACACAAGAACAATACGTCCAATAACATGGGATACACAAAACACAAACATTGACACATCTGACAAGGTCACATAAAACATTAGTCTTTGGGGACACAGTTATTCATTAAAGTCATAATAAAATAGATCAGTATAAGCTAACTATTAAAACGATTATTTTGGGAATACTATATCTATGACTTTAGCATCTTGTCAAACCCCAGAAACCCACTCCACAAAGGGAAAACACCAGTCAAATCGAGCTCTAACTCTAATAACACAAGGTCCACAATCGTCGGATGCAGCGCTATTGGTCGTGCGCGTGCGTCTAAGGGCCGTCACCATGCCGAAGCCACTATAGGAATACTAAACACGCAACGAAGTGGCAGGATCGTGCTTAACTGTTTGAAGCTACCAATGTCATTACTTTATCTTTCAGTCATAAGTTGCAATAAAACGATCAATTAGGCACTCTAATTTAAAAACCAAAAATCCCGAGACCAATTTTGATAGATCTTTTTCTAAGCTGCGAATTTGATGCCAACCAACACATTTTAAAACAATTGAAACTCTGCTAAAAATTCCACAATGCGAATAATAATCGTGTAGGTACGAAATTCAAAATGATTGCTCAAAAGTCCCTTCTGCGCGCTTTATTCTTTGGCCATAATTTAAAATGCGGCGTTCCAAAATTGCAACGACCACTGCTTCACTATCATCGATTTCTGAAGTGGAAAAATCTGATGGCACAGCCAAGCGACTACAGTTACGAGTATCATCAAGTTTTGAAGTGGCAAAGTGTCTTGGCACGGCCAAATTAGGCCAAACATGAAAGATACTAATATTATAAAGCTGAAGAGCTTGTTTGATTGAACGCGCTAATCTTAGGATTAAAAAAATATTTTTGTGTTCGATAGCCCATTTATCGAAGAAGGCTATACCTAGGCAAGGGATGACAAAACGATGTCACGATTGCTATTAATCGCACGTGCCACAAAATTTTAGGGCAAGCCCAATCACAAAATTCACTATAAAATATAATAGTAAATAATGTGTTTCTAATAAGGGCCATCGTATTTTCCCTTAGTGCCACTGTAGCTAGAGTAAGGCCCTGTCACTCGCCAGTGGCAATACCCCTCATTGATAGCATTAGGTGTTATTTGTAGGTGCATCTATGACTACATCAAACATTTAGATAAGTGGCACGTTGATACAAAAAGGTTCGCCATCCTTGTATAGGCCATCGATAAAAAATGTTGTGAAAACGGAAAAAATATTCTAACAGAAAAAACACGCGTACACAGTTAGTGAAAGATAAAAGTAAGACGATTGGTCATAATTTCATCAACCAGCGGCACCGTACCGCGTCGCGTTTGGCCAACTGGCCCACGATCCGCTGCATGGCGCGCTCCGTCTCCGCCAGCCGCGCGCGCAGCGCCTCCAACTCGTCGTCCCCTACGCACGAGTATTATAATAGTTCACGCTTAAAAACTAATTCCTTCGTTCGTTCGTTTCAGCCAAATGACGTCCACTGCTGGGCAAAGGTCCCCCCCAAGGCTTTATAGTTCACACTTAAACTAATTTCTTCGTTTGTTTCAGCCAAATGACGTCCACTGCTGGGCACAGGCCTCCCCAAGGCTTTACGCAATGAACGGACCTGCTCTGCCCGAATCCAGGCTCCTCTCGCGACCTTTACCAGATCGTTCGTTAAACTAATTACGTGATCAATATACAGTTTGCTTTATAAAAAAGCGGGTTTTTCTTAAAAGCTATTAAAAAAAATGAAGCCCGATGAAAATTGAAACAATACCGAGTAAGTGCGACTATTTGTAAGTGGAAAATGATATTTTACATAATTAAATCTATGCCCTTACGGCACAAAGAAGGTCTCTCTTACGAGTGCATATCCACTTGCAAATTTTTAGGCATAAAATGTTTTCAATCTTAAAATGACTTCTGCGTTATTCTAATCTTTGACGTAATTCAAATTGGCGTGGTCCGCAGAATACAGTACAAAGTATTTTCAACCTGTTTTGGTATTTCACACTAACGCCAGCGTTACTATGGTTATTTTAACCATACACAAGTAGTTGCTTTAAGGCCCACAGAACCTTCGAGCTAGTAACTAAATTATCCAGTTCATAGTTTGGTCACGCACCAACAAACCAGACGATCGTCAAATTCTTAAACGTTGGTTAAATATAGTCAATTCTATACGTCGACTACACATCGCGTTCGAGTCGATAAAAGTGTAGAATTTGTCTACGATAATACCATCTGTATTTAATTAATTAATCTCTGAGATAATCTTCTTTCATTTCAGGTGGCATCGATTGAGGTAACTCAAAAACAAGTCCATTTAAAGCTCTATAATATAATTGGTGTATGTTTTTGGCTCTACAGCTTTTTCAAAGCTTTTCCGCATCAGCAACAGCTGTTTTCAACTATTTTACGTATCATCTGTTCAACAGAGCTAGCTATTTATTTCGATTCTAAAACAATTTTATTAACCATCCATTGTTAACCACCTATCCAATTATACGATTTTATATCGGCAATAGTAAATCAGAGCACGTAGAGCCGATAACACAGGGTTTATCAATGGGCCCGTTTTCCTGTTCGCACCCGACATCGAAATGAACATAAATGTGTACTTACTCGTGTCTCGCTCCTTCGGGCCTGCATGCGCAAGAATATAGTACATAGAAACTTTGTCAATAAGTTATACAATACATAGCGTAAATGTTTATGAAACTACATCTACGTTCCCGCTACGAACAAAACGCCCTGAGCGTTCATAATACGGGCCTAATGCTCGTTTTCACCATCAATCCCTAATTTTTAAGTGATCCATATGGTATCAAATAACAGGAATTTTGTTTACATAGGGGTCACTTAAAAATTAGGGATTGATGGTGAAAACGGGCACAAAACTCTTTAAAATTTGATGGTTGATACATTGGTAATGCAACAGCCGCGGTTGCGCAGTCCGCAGTTTTCCACCAGCTGATAGCAGTAACGACGACAAAGACAGAATGTGACTGACCTTTATTTCACACATTTCAGGATTTGCCACTGGATGCGTTCTGTCGGTATCGGTCAGGTAACAGTGAACCCAGCCCACATCACGTATGAACAACATTTCGGTCTCTATACATTTTGTATTGATGCGATTTGAATCTGACATTTCGGGAACGAGCACAGAATGCAATCTGAGGGCTTAGTGTGAGTTTATATCAAACGTCTTCACTAGTGAGCGCGTACTTATAAAAATGACATTAAGTATATGACGGATTATACAGCGCCCCTAGCGGATACTTTCAAGACCTAAAATTTTCATATATTTTTATAATGAACTCAATGAGCTCACTAGTGAGGACGTTTGATATAAACTCACACTAAGCCCTCTGAACCGCTGACAGATTGCTTTGTCACGTTTATTTTGACCTGACTGCTGCCCGCAGAACGCACCCCGTGTAGCAAACCCTTTCTAGTCTAGTCTCAACTTCATGGCGTCCCGGGACAGAACTAGTTCCCAATTCGGTTGACCTACTACGTTCTCCATTGCAGTTTTAACTCCACAAAAACCTTTATTCCCCAGCAATAAGTGTTAACAAAAGTGTGTAATTACCCAGCTTGTCAGGCGAGGTCCTGGAGTCATCCCTGAAGACGCGCCTCCTGAACTGAGGGTCGGGGCTCACCGCCTCGTAGGGCGTCGAGCCGGTGCGCTTGAACAGTATCTGTGGCGGGTACAATCAGATAAATGATAAAGAAATAATGTAAAATAGCCAGGTTAAGCTTGTTACTAAATTATATCTGTAGGCCTAAGATGCACGCCGTGATAACTTTTATCGACGTCAAAATGTATGTGCAAAATCGATAAAATGGCGTGATAACCGCTTATCGCGGCGCGCATCTTAGACCTACTGATCATTACTTTCCCTCAGGTGATGACAACTGTTTTTCTGTAAAAGCAAAGGAGCCTCTACCTCAAAATTTAAGCACCGAGCCTAAGGGCAACCCCGAGTGAGACTTGAACTTTAGAGCGAATCAGTGATACAAATCCTAGCCCCAAACTATGTTATCATCTGTGCTTAAACCAAGCAGAACTGATAATAATTTTATTAAGTAATAGACATCTTGGTTGTTTACAGGCTTCCACTTTGCACGCCATGGAAACTGATCCCCGCCTACAATCAGCTAGGTTGACTGCATAAACCAACATTTCCAAAACATAAGAGCCATTAATTCACCTTTCTTTTCAAAACTGATTATTTCATAAGCTTTTCAAGTACACAAGTACAAGTCCATTTGGTACGTAAAGTTCGCCTCTAATCTACTTCTATCCACTGATTCCTCCAATCTGTTTAATACTTAGGCTGAATTGCACCACCTAACTTTCATCGTAACTTTAACGATAACCGGTGTTTTTTTGGAATTTGACAGATTTTTGACGTTTGTCAAAGTTAAAGTAAGGTGGTGCAACCCAGCCTTAGTTTGTGATGGTTTGTGTAAGAAGCGTAGGTAATAAACTCACCTTGCTAAGCGTGTAGACGAAGAAGACGATGATGCAGATGGTGTAGATGGGCATGACGAAGCCCATGGAAGACTTGGGCGCGGCCACGGGGCCCCCGGGCGAGCCCAGGGGCGGCCTCATGCCCGGGATTGGGGGCGGCTGTAGGGACACAACATGGATTATTAATACCGGATCATTTAGTTCAGCTAGGTTCTGAAGCGGAGGTAGCGTTCCGGAAAACGCAGCGTGGGACGTCCACCCACAAGGTGGACCGACGACATCATAAAGGTAGCAGGAAAGCGCTGGACGCAGGCCGCTACCAACCGGGCAACATGGAAAGCATTGGGGGAGGCCTATGTTCAGCAGTGGACGTCCTATGGCTGAGATGATGATGATGATCATTTAGTTATTATAATTTTTAAGCGTTAAGAGTTGCATCTCAAATCTCAAACTAAATTATAAACCACTTGAAAAAATCGAAATGCCTAAAGCGGGAATCGAACCCACGACCTTTCGCTTGCCGGGCGACTGCTCTTCCATCTGAGCTACTTAGACACTGGATGAACCAGTCGTTTTCAAGTTTAATACGCTGTTACGACCAGCGATTGTTTCATCAATGTTGGGTAGTACTAAGTAGACAAATCCTCATCTTTATCATTATTTGAGAGAGATACAATATACGAGTATTACAGCTAAAATGATTTAACATAAACAGTTGTTTAACCTCACTGACAGTAATTTAATATCATCATACAAATCTAATATTTAATCACAGGTTGGAAGAAACTTGTGAGTCTTGGTTGTGTGTGACAGATATTTTGAGACACAATGGCGGAAAAAGCTCTACATGAACCAAAACTAATGTTGCAGAAGAAATTTGCACACAAATCCTTTTTAAATAAAGGAGTGCTTGCTTCACACGCTGCAGAATGAGTAGGAAAATAATCATTGAATCAAGGGGTAACTATTTCATATAGCTCTTCAAGTGTTTGCAAACATCTCAAAGGTATCCAAACACTAACAGAGAACTAACAGTCATAAGTTACATTAGTAGGTAGGTAATCAGCAGTCTAGAAGGTCAACTATTGCCCCAGATTTCATAGCAATTTGCCATGAATAATTGTCATTTATTTCAATTTACTCCACCATAAAGTAGAGTATGGTCACGAAACAATCAGAAAAGTGTATTGCTGTTAGTTGCATGCTGATAAAAGTAATGAAACACATGTTAAGTAAGCTTGTGCATAAATTGGAATTACATTGTTGTTAAAAACTTTAGGTTAGGTAGCAAACTTAGGAAAAATTATGGATGCGAAACTGCATCAGTCCGTATGATGCAATCGTCTAAAGTTTCTTGAGAAGAATCAATTTGTTGGTAGAATTCCAGATTTTTCCAAAAAAGGTAATCAGAAACGAAGAAGCAAAGAACTTAATGAAATGAGTAGATTAATTTACCAAACCAAGACTTTTAGAATACCAGAAGATCAGAAGCAGAATAATAAATTAATTAAAATACCTTATTCACCTGATTAACCATTTCTTAAACTAGTAAACAACAAAATAATCTCTTACAAGATAACTAGTCCCAGAAACTAAAGTCACACAAACAATACCCGAGTACAAATCATATAAATCGTAAATCGAGATCGCTAATGCATCGAGCAGTCGCCAATTACCGGCGCCGATCGTTTTGACGGCTGCTGGGAGACTAAGCTGCTGGGATTATAATTTTATAAATACCGGTTCCCGCTTTACGACACCACGGGTTGATGGTTTCCGGTATTTGGGATCATCGGTGGAACGCACGTTTGCGACTTTGGGATAAGCACGAGTTACTCCTGGTTTTGGTTGCAGCAGATTTTTTCTAGATTTTCGAAACTTGTCATCATGTTATGAAACATGTTATTAAGTTGTGATTACATTTTCCTACCTATCTGCGGAACTGCGGAACGCCAATCTCCTTGAATTTTAGAGGAATAGCTTTCCTGTAGCTGTTGTTTTTAATAAATCCTGGGGGGCATAATAATGCCCTTCGTAATAACGAAGATATGACCCACCTAGATCTAATTCAGCAATATGACTGACTGACGTGACCATGGTCCATGACGCCACCAGTTGCAGTCAGTTGTTTTGCGATGCTACCCACATAATGTTTTTAAGTAGTGATATAAACAGATCAAAGTACCTCAATCGAACCTGCCCAAAAATAAACGAATCAAAGATAAAAAAAATCTAAAAATACAAACTAATGTCTTCAGTGTGCGCTCCATAAACACATTAGGTTGGTCCTCGACCGCGGCTGACTGGTTGTTTTGGCAAAACCGGACGGTTATCAAAACATAAATTACTTTTACGACGACTTGGAATAGCGCGTGCCCAGAATCGGATGTCCAGCGGACGTACAAAGGTGACGTCATATACAAAATATACGAAACTTGCGCGTTATGTCACCGGAACGATAAATAAATCATCACGCTTGATGCTACTTTATTTGGATACCTATATAATCAGCGAGTAAATGGAAAAGATAGAAGCATTACTATAAAAGCTACTTCATGGAAACTTTTCTTTTTATGCAGCAGATAACAGGTATTTGACTGCAATCACAACTGATGTTAAATAAGATGCAGTCTAGGACGACACATACCTGCCCTGTAAGTGCCTATTCACTCACGCCTTAACAGGCCCGATTGTCATGAAAAAAGTAAACAAAGAGAAACAGAGTACAGGACTATAAAATCAATATCAACAATCAATTTTCCATTTTCAATAGATTGGTTGGTCTTATTTAAAACATTCTGTAAAGCTCAAACATGACCTCGAGCTATCGCAAGACTGTGAAGCGCACGCGCCGTTCCGTTGTGAAATTGTCAAACAAATCCACTGTTTGCGCAGCGACGAAACTAGAGAGCGCAAATACATGGCTGAGGCAATATACACGCCGTCGAAGACCTAAGCCGGCCAGCTGGCCACTTGTCATAGTGTCAGACAGACCAGACACCAAACATGGGAAAAGTTATGAGGTCACACGTGGAACGACGAAAGAACACCACCATACGTGAACATATTGATTTCATTAGGAAGAACTAATTCATGATTATAGCTATGAAGTTTCGTGAAGAAAAGCCTTTTACTGCAACCACTATGTAGCCAGGATCTAGAACTTCAACTCCCAATGTAAACTGAACCAGTGAAGGCAAAGTTTTTCCCAAGAATTAGGGATAAAATAGATTAACAGTTGAGTCAACAATATTTCTCAAAGTTGGTATAAAGTGCAGAGCATTTTGTTAAAAGCGCCATTCCTCTTAGCAAATTCTTTATTTGAAATGAAATATCAACCATAGCTAAAAGCTCAAGTTCACAATCAAAAGCTTATAGCCACTAGTGAATAAGCTCTGATCGTGAACGCGCCTATTCAGCACGCCATAAAACTAATGGCCTCGTTGACAAATGACAGAAGAAAGATCCCCAAAGCTTGAATGTGGGAAAACTGTCGTAACATCGCCGTCAGATGGCTGCACCGACCCAGATGTCAACGTAAACAAATCAAGTTCGCTGGCATTGGGCGGCGGCCTAGACACACTCGCGAATAACTCCGGGCGACACTCCCGCGCATGTCTAGGTAACTGCGCGAGACGGCTTGAGATAGTCTAGCTAGCTAGGCAAATTGGTCTAGATTCTAGATGCTATGAAACAGAGGGGACAAACGAAAGTAAGTAGGGATAATGCAAACTAGATGACAACAAAGATTAGGAGAGTAGCATTTGATTTGAACCGTATAAAAATAGAAATAGAACATTTAATTTTAAACTTAAGATCTAAGCAAGGTTGCAAAGGATACATACAATTTCAGGACAAGAATGAAAACAATGTTCATTCATATAGAGACAAGGACTAAGGAGAGGAGGAGAAAATCATCATTAAAAGAAGATTACCGATTACATCATCGTAAAAGATGATTTTAACGACGACTCTCAATCATTATAACATCGACATCCAGTAAGCAAATATTGCCAAACGTCAATTCGATTAGGAAAGTCAAGCGAATGCTATATAAATAAATCAAATGATGGCGGCCTAGACCCGTGCACAAATAGCGCGGCACTCCCGCGCATCTATTCGGTGGGCGACGATCGTGCGCATCGCACCGACTTTCACCGGCCATTCAGGGTGGCATGTCAGATGGTGGGAACTACGAAATGCTAAGGGCTTTGCGCCTCTAGAATTACAACACACATTGAATAACAAATGTTCTAAGAGGAACGTCAGGAAAATTTAAATACATCAAGGTTAGGTGGTAAATACTGGAGTAGCAGAGTACAGCTACTTGTAGTTTTTATAGAGACATTTGACATCACTTAAATTCCTTTCCATTTACATGTAAGCTACATAGTAGTTTCACACATACTTTAACACGAGAAGGAAGCCAACACATTCGTCAATATCTTGACAAGCTTTCACTCTGAAATCTTGTGAAAAATTTAGTTTGCGTAAAACGCAATCGAGTTTTGGCATCCAGCGTATGTACATATTGTCGATTATCAAAAGGTCACAAAATAGTGCCCTGTAGAGACCCTAGTCTCATTCATTGTGGTGATTATGGCCGTGAAAGCTTCAAATATAATATTTTTCATTCAGAAACTTCCAGAATGTCCACCATCTACAAATATTAGCGGCAGCTAATACGTGAATCTACCGGTCACATGCTAAGTGAAGTTTCGAGACGGCGAGTACTTGCTAACCCGTCAGTCACGGCAAATTGACAATTTCAACTAATACTGGTTACGTGCTGTTGAACATCTTTATGTTTTTCTCGTCCGCAGTTTAGATCGTCGACAATGATTATATTATCAGTTTTGCGACAATGTTCTACAATGGATTTTGCATACTTCCAAGGGGTCTAGCTATACAAGTGTCTGCCAAGTTTGCAAATGGATAGAACGATAAACTGGCCACAATTTCAAGTCTTTTCGAACTATATTGCACTGCATTTCCACTAGGACTCATTTAATGAAAACTGGCCTAAACTTAATAGTCTTTAACCTTTTATTCTAAAGTAAAATTCGGTAGAGGTACACACAACGATCGAAATAGCCCAGTAAAAGATACAAAACAAGACGCTTCGACAAATGACCATTTAAAAAGTCAATTTACATGACAAGCCGTGGACAGTCGGTGTTTCATACAAATGTTAATTTCTCTGTGATGTTTAGCAAGATTTCTTGTCTCAAAATGTGTTACAGATGACCAAGTCATTAACCGTTTAGTGGAATAACAAGTTAAAGAATTCCGTCTCTGTGCAGTGTTTCATTCGAATAGGTTTTAAACTACTTTTTAATGTTTGAAAATTAAGCTTGCAGAAAATAGGACATCACTGCCATAAAAAGAAGAGAAACAATGTATAAAAGGAGATTCACACTGAGAGTTAAAATACTTTTTTCCTAAATAATCATGTAGCAGATAATTATGCTGTTAATCGTGAAATTAAGGCCACATAAATAGATTTGGACAAACCCCAAATTAAACATAATATTATTAATGACTCACTGAAATAGACTGCAGATTATTAGAATAACCTACTTCGTACTGATGATGCTAGGGTTAAAGTACCTACACTAAAATAAAAAATCCCCTGATAAGAGTAGTTGAGCCTAAAATTAAAGCGAAAGCTAACATAGATCTGCTAACTAAAATCGTGCCTGATACGATTACAGCTGTCTTTGAATTTGTTGATCTTTCAACTTTACTTTTACAGGTTCCTAAGATAATTCCAACAGTACCTACTTATTGTAGAAAACCAATTGGCACTGAATAATACATAAATAAGCAAACATTTTCAGTCATCGAACACGCGTGATTTATAGACGCGAAAGACAATGGCCCACTGAACCGACACACGTTTTGGCGCAGCTTCAACACCCGTTCAGATAAATTAATGATACGAGTAATATCTAGCTTGCAATAGCTCTGCTAAATGTTAGAAGCCTAGGTTCCTGGTCTGAATTCCATCGTAGAATCTACGATATCTGTCTCACATCTCTATGAAACACTAGTAATCAATATTCTAACAAACGGCTTAAAAACCTTGACCCATATCCGAATTTTTGAAAAGATCTTTTTGACTCTTTTTAAAAAATAACTATGCTAGAATCTAATTTAATGAAATTTATAACAACGACCTCTTGTGATCTGCAGAAATTATAATTCAATATTGTTGCGCTCAGATTCTGAGTAATTCACATCTGCTCCAGGTATTTTATTTTCAGAGAATTTTCACAGCTTCTTCGAAAAATTGACTGAAGAAGCACCATTTATTTTCGCAGATTCCCACCCTATCCGCCATCTGCTTTACTCGCAGTTCAATTGTTTAAAATATTCATCATCGCCTCGGCTCGGGCGTTTGATAAACTGCGAGCGAGGATGTCACATGCGCTAGCGCAACATGATCAAGCCCCGAAATAATGAGCATGACATCATGCGCGTAACAGCCGGCTCTTTCTAGCTTGTAGGACAGGGCATAAGAGGGAAGCGTATAGCTATAATATTTGGAATGTGGAAGAACACTGACGAGACACAGATCAACATAACTCCTCTGGCAGTCTTGCTACTTGCAGAGGAGTTTAAAATGTAGAGCCTAAATAACCTGATAAGGATAAACTTAATTCACATAACGATGATAAAATAATAAAACAGGGATAGTCACATATTATTAATTTGGTATTTTTAATTTGTTTTTTCACATATTATTAATTTGGTAAGGTTTCAAAATGAGGCAGAACTTGAAATTAGATAAACGGTTATTTTGAAACAAATAGTTCCAAGAACTACTGTAATTTCTTTAAGCACCGCTTAAAGCGTTTATCTTGTGGCAGATGACAAATCCCAAAAGCAGTGCGCAAGCGCCGACGTGCGTGCAATCCCGCCTCAAGTGGGCATTGTGTTTTGGCTTTGTATGGGTACTGCGTTGTTTAATACTGCACTTGTTTGGTGCATTGATGTACACTGTCTTGTCATATTCATATTGATAAGTTTGAAACCAGTTGAGGAAAGAGATCATCCCAAATGATGCACAACAATTTAAAGAAATCAAATAAATGTAATCTGAATTCAAAATCTCAACAGCTACATAGGCCTACCAAGATATCAGTAGTAGTTATCAATCGACTAATTTCTATGCCATTTTTATAACCAACATAAAAGCTCCAAAAGTGCTGCATTGGAAATTGGAATTGAATATCCTTGAAGAATATGCATCAAAGTCTGCTATAAAATATGATACCTTTACTACGACGATAAATATACTTTCTAAGTGTTTAAAATAGAAACATAAAAGAAAAGTCATTTAACAATTTATTGAGTTTCCTCGAGCTACGAACAGTGGAATCCAACAGCAAATTGTAGATTTGTCGAGTTACGTTACTTTATTTACTTACCATTTTCACGTTAGCGAAGCAAGTTCTTGCGGATGCTATGTTAATTTCCACAAAACCTTGTTTAATCTGACATCAAACCTGCGTACTATTGCGGAATACTATTATTACGTACCTACTTACGGGTTAGTCGGTACAAGCGACTATGCGGCGAAGCTGTCGCTGCTGTTAAATTGAAAGGGTTTGCAATGGGTTTCCTTATGTTTATGGCTTCATTCATACCAGGTATTTTTCTAGAGAAGTTATTGCAATTCTTCTTTTTCTCTTGTTTTTATAATGCCATCATTCATAATTGCACTAGTAGACTTGGAGTTGTAGCTAAGTGACAAATCGGAAATGAGGCTAATTAGAGCAAAAGTCAAATGCCTAGGGCCAGGGTCAGAAAATTCTCAGAAATCTCAATTCGCAGCTCATCGTGCGTTCAAGCAATGGCAATAAGAATTTAAGATAGTTTTTAAAATTAGGCTGTGTTTCCACCAGAGATGTGCGAGGATGCGTAGTTAATGTGTTTGTAAAGAACCAATAGAACCACTTCATCTACCGAGACGAGAAATCAATGAAGCGATTCTAGTGGGTCTTCACAAACACATCCCTCGCTACGCATCCTCTCACATCACAGGTGGAAACGCAGCTTTATGGTCATGATTTCAACCCATTGCTATGCTATCTTTTTCAAATCTTCTATCCACACGTCTCAGTAGGTGAAAACGTGGTCGTGTAAGGGTGGATACAAATACATCCACCCACATTCTTCCGGCCATTGAGTTTACTATAAAGAGCAAATCTACAATTTCCACACTTTACGAACACCTGGCACGACCATTGCAAGCCCTTCCCATTAGTAATCCCAGCCATCAGCGAAGCTCCCTCTCTCTCTCTCACTGACCTTGATGTCGAGCTCATAGTACCCCGCTAGGGGGGAAGGGCGTACCCTGGCGTGCGGCGGCATGGTGATGGGTGGCCGCGGCTGCGGACTGGGCCCTGGTGGGATGGCGCGCCCTCTCTCGCGCAAAGCAGGGTGCGGGCCCACTCGCATGGACGGGCGCTCTTGCTTCACGGCTGTGGGAGAAAAGTAAATGAGAGTTGTTCGTTCGTTTCAGCCAAATGCTGACAAAGGCCTCCCCCAAGGTTTTCCACAACGAACGGTCCTGCGCTGTCGGCATCTGCTCACTATGGGCCTCATAAGAAGGCTCAAGGTCACCCAAAGGGCAATGAAGCGTGCTATGCTCGGTGTTTCCCTGCGTGATCGAATCAGAAATGAGGAGATCCGCAAGGGAACCAAAGTGACCGACATAGCTCGCAGAATCGCTAAAATCATTCGTTCATTTCAGCTAAATTACGTCCACTGCTGGACAAAGGCCTTCCTCAAGGACTTCCATAACTGCACTGGCACTAGGTTGACCAATCTGGTGAAAATCGTTGTAAGAACCTGGATGTGGACAGCGCAAGACCGTTATGGAAATGAGAGTATTGGTGGATATTTTTTGAGTCATCGTAAAGGCCTACTTGCATTGAGGGGCATACTTGCTTCAGGGCTGTGGGCGAAGAGACCATGGAAGAACTGGTGGTTTAGGAAACAGTGGTGATTTTTGGGACAGTCAGCGTCAATCCAAACGCCAAAAAGTTTGCAGCACGTCTTTGTTACAATGAGGGCTATCGTTTTAGCGCTCACCAGTTAGCGCCACTGTAGAGTAAGGTCCTGTCACTTGCTAGTAGAGAAGACAGTGGCACCAACTTGTGAGCGCTAAAGTGGTAGGAGGACTATCGCATTTGCACTCATCAAGATGGCGCCACTGTAGAGTAAGGTCCTGTCAATCGCCAGGGGTGCCAACTGTTAAGTATAAAAACGATAGCCCTCATTGAAATAATTGTGTTGTCAACTTTTTGGCCTCTTATAGTATCACGAACTATTTGACGCTGACTGGACCAGTGTAAGTATACTGGAATTACCGTAATAGTGCACATAAAAGTCAATCGTTCTGTGTATCTAGTTAGAGACTAACATTTGTTTGAAAAACAAATACATAATTAATTGGTATTTTATGTTAATTATACAATTAATAACTTACACAACTTTTTTGTGATTATTTCTACTAACATACAGTAAAATAGGTATATTATTATCACGATGCAGTTACGGCAATTAGTGACAAAAAAAAACAATTTTATTAGTTCAATGCCCTGATTTTATCCTTATCAACATAATTCAATAAATGTGTTAATAAAATCTCAAAACTTGTTTGAAACATTCATGCGAATTTACATCAATAAGGAGACTTTACCTTAATATACTTAATACCTATCTACATATCTTAGATTTAAAATATTATTTACAGTAGCTACGAGTATTTTTGGAGACCTAAATGTAGTGGAATTTAGGTAAGTACAAGATAGTATAGGTAGGATTTCTTTAGCAAATATGACCAGTTAAAAGTCACAAGCACACATGGTGGAACATCTGCAAAATTCTTTTAAACATGTTTTTGGGTTATTCAGTGACAAAATTAAAATGCACAATTAATTGGCCTATTTAAAGCGGTTACTAAAAAATTCCTCTCATACTCCGAAACAAGTCATTTCCTAATTTAGCGCGATCAGCGCCAGGGTGAGTCAGCGCGCGCGCATTGACAGTGGCGTCTAATCTAGACGGATTACATGTAATATTTCTACGATAGTTAATTAATATCTAATATCTTCCTTCAAAGCGAACAAACCCAATACTTTCAAAAAGTCTGTTCACTTGGCTTCGGCCCGTGAACGACATTAAACTGGGTTCCAGTGGAAACCGTGCCTATGAAACATAGTAGAAAAAAATAATATAATAAAATCTTTATTTATCTCCTATCTTTTTATCTTTCATCTAAGAGTTTATAGTTCCATATCCGTCCATTCCAATAAGAAATTAAGTAGATGCGTTCTTCGTAAAAAGCATGCATCGATGAAAATTACTCTGAACACATTAGAAGTATCATATATTTTCATTCAAATGTAGATAGATATCATAGATACACGGGTCACGGACTAGATTAATAAAAATAATAAATACTCTTTATTGCACACCAGATAAAAAAACAGAAAGGAACACATAAGGTACAATTAGGCGGTCTTATCGCTATGAAGCGATCTCTATTAATATTGTAGATAATAAGACGAGCTTGGAATAGGGCCCAATCTTCCAATCCCAAACTTCCAATGTAGACCCATTTACAATTCCCAGCGTTTAAACATTGTAAAGTCTAAAGCCTGCACTTGGCTCTGTAGAGCTGTAGAACTGCATAGCTGCGATAAATCCACAATAGAACTAATGAATAAATTGGTGTTCTATAGTCAACAGCTAATGTATAACGATGGTATAGAAATCTGCAATAGAACCAATGAACAGCGGTGCCAGGTTTACATTGAAAAAAATGCACCTCCTGATTTGATAATAAAGCCAAATATTTGAAGTCTATGACAAAAAGACCTATAGCAAACATTCATGGGATCTTCCAAAAAATGTGTTTTAAGTTAAAAACCTATCAGGAAGCACCAGAAACAACACCATATGGTTCACTGACTCACCAGCCCCGTAACAATGGATTACTTTGTGCTGTGTTAATTCCACTGTGACCCACTTCGGCAATAGGCGAGTTACCGAGTTACCTCATTTGTATAAAAACCATGTGCGCGTCAAGGACTGCAGGGTATGGACGCTAAAAGGCACTTAGGTGCCGCTAATATAATAAACTTGTGTGACCATGTGGCATCAACATGTTACGCCATAACTAGAAGAACACGAGAATAACGTTCCACAATTGTTTCGGAAAAGAGACCATGGAGTAAGGAAGATCATGAATTTGATGATGTCCTGACGACTCTGATTTGTAGGCCTAAAAGATGCTGCGCGAGGCAATTTATCGATTTTACGCGATAAATTCATAGACTTGTCGTCTAAACTCATCGATAAGTTTTTATCACGAGCATCCTAATTCTTAGCTCAAGAGAGTATTTTAATATTTTTTACACCCATAGGTAGGACGTAAATCATTTGCTGTTTAGGACATTCAGCAATATCCTATCTATCTAATTGCACTGAACAAATCCTGCCAAAATTATGACATAATCAGTGCAAGTTATGATGTCGGAACAATCTCGGAAATGTGATTTAGGGCCTAACTGTTCCGTAGGTTTGGGCGCGGCCGGATCTCATTATGGCAATTTATGCTTGGAATCTGCCCGTCTCGGTGCCAGTTTGACAATGTTTAGTTTACTTATTTGTACTACGAGCTAATGTACCCACCCTGTACGACTAGTACAGAGAGTAATAGGCACAAGATTGTTATACTTTGAGCAGTATTCAGCAATGTCAATGGCTTATGTGAAGGCTTAAAACAGTCTTTTCCAAAGTGGGCGATAACGCCCCCTTGTGGGCGCTGCAGGCTTAAAGAGACCCAGAAAAAAAAATCGGGACGTTGTGTACAGGCTTGGGAGGCGTCATCTACTAGGAGAACTCTTAGACACCGACTGAGCTCGACTCTTGACTACAAAAACGGGGGGCGCTAAAATATAATTTATTCTTAAAGTGGGCAGTAGACTAAATAAATTTGGGAACCGCTGGCTTAAAACAATAGGAAATTAAATGCCTTCATCAGATAATTACAAGAAGGGCGCCTACTCCAATTATCTACACTGCTATTGATTCTGACTGCCACTATTTCATCAGCCGCATATGGTAGTAAAGTGAAGGATGAAAGTGGCACCAAACTATGAATTAAGATTACAGATGAACCGACCTATCAAGTCTGCCATAAGCGGGTCCTAAAACATAGCCTTGCAGTGCACTTAGCTAACCGCAAATAGAGAGATGTCGCGTGACGTCTACCCACACATTACGACTGCTCAATCAACAGCACCGGTTGGCAGCAACGTGCAATACTTAGTAAGGATGCAAATATTGTGGAACGAGCGACCATCATAAAAATCCAATACAAAATCATCTCTGTTCAAATGATAAAAGATAATGCTTTAGATTTAAAACTGCACCTAAATCTAGCAATCAAAAGTGCGATTGGACTTCCCCAACATCAAAAACTACCTTCAGTAGTTTATAACTTGAATGGTAATTCTGGAACATCCATCCAAGGTTACAGGTTACGGGGCACTTTCAACAGAGAAGGTCCAACAAATTCCCACAAATCGTCGGTACATTTCACACGTTGTCGCCCCAAACCGTTAGCACGTGACGTGACCTTACCACGACAATATGGCGACAAACTTTTGTTCTGTCTTGAGGCCGCTCAAACTCGTCTTACTTGAAACGCATTGTGAAAGCTAAAGTGCCCCTATTTGTATTCACTTGCACAAAGGAACGCGAGTCAAGTTCATCATTCTAATACTGATGGCTAGCTCTGCATGTTTAAATACTTGGAACTGTAGGCGGTGACTCGCAAAGGTTTTTGATGTGGGCTTCGACTTCGGCTGTTTTGTGGGTAAAATGTTACCTACTTGTTAGAAGCTCTTTTCGTAACAGTTACGAGGAATTGATTTACTAAACGCTGCGAGTAATGCATGTTTAATTGCCGTACTACTTTTATCTGAAAATCTATCTTCTGCCGCTTGGCCCGTAGCAAAAGTAACGAAGAAAGTCTATCAAAAGAAATAAAGTCCTAAAATGCCCATAACAGCCTTAGCAATAGCACTTACATTCAACACGAAAGGGACCTACCTATATCGGATTGTGGCAAGGTAAGGGTGAGTTGATGTAACATACAACCTGTGCGATAGAAGAATTCGTTACAATAACTTTAGAACAATGTCGATGATGAAGATGTTTCGCGAAAATGTGGCAAATCAATGAAAAATCTACGGTATTGCTGCAATCGAAGCACAATCATCGTACGAAAGCTAATTTGTGCGCGCACGACGCAATTCACACGTTAAATTGAAGTCCGTAGTTAGAACTAGTGTAGGATATTGCACGTGAGGATGACGAAAATGTAATAAGATCTATTTGTGAACAAACTCCCTGTTTGAGCGAAAATCAAGGCTGTTTATAAAATGGTTCGCTAGAAGACAAACGAGTGCACTAATTTAAACTATAAGCGGTAGTAACCAATTAGAGGATCCATATTATTTAGCCCACGTGTAGATACCTACTCAAAATGGATGAAATTCAGACAAAAAAATCTTTCAGAAACCATCGGTCATGGACGAGATGTGCAAAAGACCCGAGAATCACGGTAACCCATAATCAGGGTGGAATTGAATGTTTATGAGCAACCTTTTGGTCCAAACCAACTGGCGCCTAGAGCGCCGAGTGACGAAATTGTAGCAAGCAAGAATAAGAGATCAATGCAGCTTGATCGCAAAGCAACTTTTCGCGAGATATAGGTAGGAGCTTTGGCTATCTAAAAGAGGTAAGATGACGATTGACGATGCTTTGAGCAAAATAAATGGTGCGTCCAATTAGAAAATCTAACCCCACGTAAAGGGGAAAAAGGAAAGAGAGAAAGAAGGTGTTTTCAGAACATTCCGAAAAATCTTTTAATCTATCTTGGATAAGGTATCCAGTCTATGAATCAAGTCTTTCTGTGAGCAGAAACTGAATGTATTAAGTTCTAACTTCTAGGTACCTACACACGTCTCGTTCGTGACTCAATGGAGTTAGCGCCGAATGACAATAACGTGAAAGTTAGAGGCGACAGGTTTACATTTTTGATTATTATAACATGTTTACTGGTAGAGAATGCCTCTCCACAAAATTTTTTTGTGCAAGTAGTCAATACATTTTTATTCAGTTTTGCAGAAACATTCAAAAATATGAGAATATGTTTCAAGGTTTAAGGATAAAAAAAGTTGTTTAAAAAGCAAAGGTAAATAAAGTAATTCTGCATACATTTGCATAATTACAACATAATTTTGAAGTTTAATGCTAAATGCATTAGTATGTTAAATGTTAGTATACCAAACATGATTAGTCGCATACTTCAGTTCCTTATTATACATACATGTTATAAATTATTTTTTGTAGTTAAATTCCATGCGTGCCAATCACTGTAAAATTCAACTAACTGTCTGGTATAGTCCAAGAGTTCAACGCTGTATGCGCATTGAGGCTCCATTGTGGCATCCCAAAGTGCTCTTTCAAGCACGAACTGTTGCTACTCTTCATAATATTGACCAAGTTCTTAGACGTCTTCCCCACATTCTCATCGCGTTTCAAAAACGCTGCTATATCAACGCCACATGTTTCGTTCACAGCCTTTCTACATTCAGCAGCTGCGTACGGTGATATTTTCACGTCAGCATGCACCACTGAGTTGCACACTTCGTTGATGAGCTCCAGAACTGCTACTTCCGATGCAAACATTACCTCACAGCATCCTGTGGAGTAACTCGATGGGTGGGTTTGCACGTGACACACAAAAAAAATACACAGGTACATAAATCTTGTTTTGTGCAACGACAAAATGATTCATACATATTGAGTGAGAACTAGTCACATGATAAAAGGTACACATTGTATCATTACAATAAGAGAATCAAGTAGATCGAATTATAATTAATATAAAGCAAAAAGTAAACCGGATTGAAAATTAATATTTTTTGAAAGTTCAAATAAATCATTCTGATGTAATGAAAAAAGGAATTGGATAAAGTTTTATTTAGCATGATATTAACTCAAAGATGTACCAATTTACTCAAAATATATGATGCAAAAGTTGACCAAATACAATGCCTTCAAACATCCTAATTTTAGTGATTGCAATCAATTCTGATGCTTATTTTTTATTACATAAGCGTGCTATTCTCTCGGAAGGTCTTCAGTAAATATGATGCTCAAAGTCAACAACTGGACCAAGACTTGTTTACTTAGCAATATCTCGTTCTTGTGAATTGCAAATAGGAATGTGCGCGGTGTGCTTGTGTGCGTGCACAGCCATAGAATTTCGGTTTACTTAGGCATGGAAACTAATGTTCTTCACGAGAATGACATCAGCTGCAGTAAGTGATAATTTAACGGCCGTAAGCGGCGTATAATTAGATTAAAGTCACAAACGAACGCGCTCCGTCCAGCGGTATTGACATTGAGCTTGAGTTAAAAATACCGACTTTACCTGCCTCCCGGTCGAACTGGTTGGGCTTCAACTGGTCCCGCGTGTGGCCCAGGATCAGCGGGGACAGGATCCTGGGCCAGAGCACCGCAAAACACCCCACAACAATCACTAATACAAACATCGTTTTTCGCGGACCCAACACCTCCTCGTTCGCCATTCTGTCGTGTTTTCGTATCGTTTTCGTCACGCACGTTCACAGCCGGTCGCACTCTAGGGGAACATCGTCGTGTGTGATATAAATAAAGATTTCCGTCCGTCGTCGTCCGCCCGAGAGGAAAGCGCGCAAATGACAGCTGTCAAACGCGCCCTCTCCCGGCGGAAACGTTACGGGAGCGATCCCACTTTCTTCATTTTACAGGAGCGATCGTAGTTTTCTTCATTTCCCTCGTAGAAAGCCGGTGGATTGAGCTGGCTCGAAGTGACACAGCCGTATATAACTTCAAACAGCTATGCCGACTTCTTGCCTTCCCAGCCACCGGCTCGGCTTCTGGTGAAATCGTTGATGTTCAAATATTGACAGAGTGAATAATTATCGTTTCGGGCGAGCGTACGGCGCACGCTGGTCAGACCTCGGTACAATATGGCTGGGCGCGGAGGCGGCGGCGGCTATTAACCCGTCCCCACCGCGAAGAGGACTACACGCGCTCAGATGAATACTAATTAGACACTTCTACATGTCGCAGGCGACACTCGGTGGCTTCCTCCCCGAACTTCATCAATTGTTGTAGTTTTCCGTTGGTTTTGTCAATCAAAAAGGGAAGAGGATGGGTAAACAGCAACAGCTTGATAATTCACATATAGTTTACATGTAAGGTAACCTACCTAACATAAGTAGGCAGTCAAGTTACTTCGTACATTAATAGTTTAGGTAGGTAAGTATGTACTTTAGGTACTAAAGTCTGCCTACTAAGTATGTGCCTACTAGTATTACCTGCCTCCATCATTTCGTGTAATCTCCTACGCTATAATGATATGACGGAGCGGAATGTTATTCGCCTACAAATATTTTACGGCAAACGTAAATTATTAAATTATGCAAAATTGTTGACGTTAACGATAATAAAACCAGCCTTTGCTTACACAGAGTTACATAATGAGCGAACAATTAGGTATAAGTTTGATCTTAGTTTATCATCATCGCTAGAGAGATGGTGAGCCCGAGATAAGTGTATTTTACGCTTAATTATTTTTATAATGACTGCTTGCTTACTTACCCTACAAATTCCATGGAGAGCTCTAAAAACTTATCTTGTTTACATTGACCCGAGATTTAGCTTATCTCGTAAAGATCTTCCTTGGGTTGCTGGGCTGAGAAAACGAGACAGTCTCCTATCCACTCTCAAACATACCAAAGTAGTTAAATAAGACCCATATTTTCGGAATCATCCCTTGAAAGAAAGTAAAAAAGTAGCTAATATTTAGATTAATCATATTATACGCAGCAGCATACGTACGTAGCAGCTACTTACGTGAAGAAATTAATGGTATATTTTATAGCTGCTATATGAAATGTACCTACATTTGTTCATCAGGTGGGAGATTTGACATAAAACTTCCCTCGCTTACCAGACAGGCTGAGAAGGCGTGATGTTCGGATATTTTGGCCCTCAGTCTAAGTACCTACTTGATGACAGGAGGTAATCCCACCTGTTCTACTCTTTCGCATTAAAACTGCCATGTACCAATTAAGTAGCTAAGTAGGTGTTTTATTTACATGCGCTGACCGCTGGATACTTTAATATTTTTGCATGCCCGCAATTAGTAGATGTGAATTTGCTAGTCATTATGGTTCAGGCTTTACATTGATTGGAGTGAGACCTTAGGTAAACGTAATTTGCCTATCAATTTCGCTGTATATTGTCCTAAACTTTGGAGTATAAAGGTTGCAACCTTCAAAATGAAAATGAAAAAAATGAAAATGTTTTTATTTGATAAATAAAGTGGATTACAAGATATTTTGGTAACCATCCTTTTAAGTATAGGAATACCTGTAGTNCCAAGTTTCAACAGTAGCTCTTATAGTTTCGGAAAAAAATGGCTGTGACATACGGACGGACAGACAGACATGACGAATCTATAAGGGTTCCGTTTTTTGCCATTTGGCTACGGAACCCTAACAAGCTTTTATACTGAAATGCAGTTGTACTAAAACGAAAAAAATAATTGTACTTATGCAAGGTGCAAATAATTTGGAAAGCTTGTAGCGCAAACATAAAAGAGGAATAAATTCCATGCGCGATACAAGCTTTCGAAATTATTTGAACATATTATTTTTTTCGTTTTATTATCATGTGTTAACGGATTAACGATTAACGTTAACTTGCGTTAACTCTTGCGAAATGTAACGTTTTAACGTTTAACGAAGTTAATTTTTTTATTAACGGTTTAACGATTAACGAAGTTAACTATTTGATTAACGGTGCCCAGCTATGCCTGTAGTAGGAGGTTACCGCTCTTCCAAAAGTATTAACATACATTCTTAGTTAGTGTGTTTGTGGACTTTGTGGTATTGAGTGAATTTGTGTGTAGTGTTATGAGTGGGTGTATTGAGTGAATTAGTGTGTTGTGTTGTGAGTGGAGTGTTGTGTGTATTATATGTGTAGCAATATAGTTTAACCTTCAAGCTTCAATAGTTACAATTACCTACTTAATTTGTATGTTCGTGCGGGAGGTTACCAATTTACCACCACAAAATGTAATTTGAATCACGCATTTCCTCATATACTTTCGATATGAACCAACGGAAACCGGCCAGGATATCCTCTTTCTTTATGGCGAGCTGTCTCCTTAGCATCCAGACTGTCTTATAACTCCATTTGTGCCATTCCAATATGGCGACGGCGGCCATTTTGTAAGTCAGCCGCGTGCGCCGTTTCCTGCGACGAAAAGAGCGCTACCTACCTATTGTTTTCTGGGAGGGGATGTGTGTGACACGAATACTGATTGCATATAATGGTTTAACTGTCGATTCGAAAAAAATGTAGCCCCAAAGCTTTTTTAGACCGTCTTGTTGGTGTTACAACTGTTTAAATAAACATTTTTCGGTCTTCAAAATAGGTACGTAAAGAGTTAAAAACACCTACTTTTAAATAGAATTTATAAATTGGTAGCCGCACATGGAAGCGAATAAATTGTTGAGATAGGTAGGGTAGATTTATAGCACACACTGACCAAATTACGTACAAGAAGTACAAAAAAATTGAACGGTTTTATCGCAGGAAGAGATCTCTTACAGCCAACTCGGGGAGAGGACAAATTTATTTTATAAATTTTCTGAAACAACTAAGTTTCAATCAATATACTAATATCGCGGCCTGGACCCAACAGGTTCTGAACACTTATTACAAAGTAGAGCTAGTTTTCTAAAGCCCAAGTTATTACCGTTAGAAAAGAGGAAGAAGTAACCTTTTTGTTACCCCTTCGGACTAGTATTTGTCCACTTCGATGCGGTTACTCCGAATAGCGGAATTCTTATCTTAAGGTATTGCTAATCTCATTCAGCTCATCTCACAGCTGTTCTACTCCAAGGTACAAGACAGACGGTAACAACAACTGCGCACGCGTGGGCTGCTGCCTGATGAATGGCGAAGTGATGCCACGGTGACTCACAGATCATTTCATTACGCCCTCGTGCTCTAGGGTACTCGCCTACTTTGAGTTTTAATCATGAAGAGTAACGGACTAATGTACCTACATATTGGGCTAAAAATGAGTTTACCTTTGCGGATTTGAGATTAAATTCCATCAGACCCACCGCGAGTCAGTCAAAAAAGTCATAAGCCGCCTCGTCAGTGTCAGGTCGAACATAAACCACAGCAATATAAAATAATATATCTTTGGACGTTTTTACATCAAAACACGTCCCAAACCAAGCGTAGGTAGGTACTTTGGTTACCAGACAACAGTACAATATCATAGAAAACACTAGGACCAATTTGAAAAGATGTGCACATAAACGTTCGAACCCGTGACCTCAGGCATGCTACCTAGGTCTAACTACTTAGTAGTGAGCTCAGATCATAGGCTACGATCTGAGGTAGCGAGTGAACCACTAGGTCAAGCGGCCGACACTAACGATTTCCCGTTGGATGCTGGAGACAAATTATATCCGCTTGCTACGATTTGTCCCATCTAAGGAATGTAATGTATACTATTGTTCTGGCAGTTTTCGGTTTAATTCCCAGGTTAGACATTACGCATGCTTGAATCAAACTGTTTGCGATTATGATTCCTTGATGATTCTGTGCTTCAAAGTAGAGTTCATGGTCACAGTGCTTTTCCATTCGCTGTGGCCCGTCGCACTCGCATCCTCCTCCCTATTAAGCTATCTGGTACTGGATATTGATGTGTGATCAATGATGGTATTGATGATGGGTGACTTAAATTGTAGAGTTATAAAATAAGTTAGTGTAGAGCTAATTCAGTCGATTCCCCTGGCGAACGTGAAGTAGTTTTTAATTTATTTATTTAGGTATTAAAGACGCAAAACGGATTACAATTAAGATCATCAAAGTTCAACTCGCATAGGTAAATACTTAAGCGACTTTTCAGGATTCACCTACCGATTGATAGCATCCAACCCTCTCACCAATAGGTCACAGACCCCTGGTCCCCCTACCCCTGAAAATCAAATCAAATAATTCAGCTTCGAAGGGAGTGCTGAAACATTAATATTCTACAATAAAACATTAACAAACACAATCGGCAGTGTTTCACAAGTGCGGTGGCGACACGCGCATATTTGCGCGTCCGCCATTGTGGAAGCGCGCACGCGTTTTGCATGCGCAAGCGCAGCGACGCGTGTGTACTAACACGGGGTGGAATTGTGTGAAAAATTGTCTGATGTTATTCTTTTTTAAAGTAGACCTGCATTCTATGACTCAATTAAACGCCACTATGTGCAGCAGTACATGTATCTAATCCACCGGTAATTCAATAAATTACTAACTAATCTTTATCTAATTTTAATTATATTAATTACTGCATAGTAGGTACCTAGGTTGTACTTGTACCTCATGGATGTCGTCGAAAAAACATAGATGTAAATATTCAAAACAAATGTTCGGCTCTACGGTGTGGCACTGTAAATCTTTGAACAGTTCCCAAGTTTGATTCCGCGTCGACTTTTTGGTAGCACGCGGTAACTAACTCGTCGTAACACAATATTATGAAGCTGTACATTCCTTCTTTCCTTCATTCCTTGACGACCAATTTTTTGTTGTAACAAAGTTTCCCCTAAACTTTTAGTTCAAATCTTCGAAAAGGTCGAAATTGGTCTAGGAAAGCAAGTTAGGTTACGCCTACTTATTTCAAGATCACGTAATAATTTCGTAACGCAGCCTCAGTCGAAGGTTGATGGTTTTAGCGGGAACATGAGAAAACGGTGACTTATTGGGACGTCACTAAATAAAACGGAATCTGCGCTAAATTAATATGTCACGATGCCTATTTCGTGGCAATAATGGTATACGGTACCTACATGTACCGATACTGAATAAAAATTACTGGTACGTAAAATAACTGACGATTGGGATGAAATGTAATATGCCTTCGTTCAGGGATTCTCAGTGATGTCACGGAATACTCCTATGATATGAGTGGAATACCTACCCACAGACGATTACTTAGGTAAATGTTGTTTTACTAAAGACTTGAACATATTAGATGCCACAATTGCCACAGTACAGTACCTATTTAGCTGGATGTGCAGTCAGTCGACAGTACATTTAGCACATCGCGCAACCGTTTAACTAACTTTCGATCGATCGAACGATCTTAAATACTCAACTATGGACCCATCCCCCAGCTAGAGTCACAGAGCTTTAAGTTGCGGACACCCTATAGGTTTGAGACACAATGTCGGTTAAGAGTAGGTAATGTTGGTAAAATGTCTTGGGTTTGATTCTCGAGAGTTCTCGGAAAGTAAAGGTCTTTCAAATAATTGTACATATTCGTAACTAAAGTACTAAGTCAATACCTCTAAGCATGGCTTAATGAAACTTGATAGAAACGACGAAAAGATGAGTAAGAAATAGGCTCACGGCTCATACTTAAAGTAGGTACCTACTTTCAAATCAATAACAATAAAAGTTTCAGTTAAAATAATAACTGCGTGCGATTTCCTGTACACAAACGTCCGTGCGCACTTCAAACGTACCCTTTGCCTTTTAGGCAGCGTAAAGTGACCAAATATGACCTCGCCGTCCATTGTAGACAGCTATTGTCGGGCTGTGAGCAATCCCAGGATGCCATAATGGTCATCGCCATCGATGTTCGGCCATCAACATGCGGGTCGCGTCTTCACCAAAGACATTTACGCCGCGCCCAACCCTGAATAGAGGGAATCATGGTGATGGCATTCATGATCGTCAGCACGTAAGGGCTATATCATATACGTTGAATAAGTAACGAGTTACTAGGAATACTGATGATTTCTAATGCACGTTGGAAGGAATAATCTAGAGAGAGATGATTGATATTTTCTGGAAGGTTCCATAATATGTTTATCGACCTACAAGGATAGCTTTTGTCTTCGCAGGAAACGACAAACAAATTATAATTATTTTGCTTTGTTTCGATGCTGGCATGCATTTACAATTTAAATGCATCACTATACATCATGCATGACCACTATGCGGCAGAGGGAACACCCCAGAGCCCCGATTACGGTAACTTTTTTAACGTCTACAATCCAGACGCGTTTCTGATTCTGCGATACGATTGGTCAAAACAGCTGACGTACGCTGTTGAACGACCAATCGTATCGCAGAATCGAGAAGCGTGTCTGGATTGTTGACGTTAAAAATTACCGTAATCGGGGCTCTGGTTTGTTTGGGTTCGAGCCCTACATAACAGGCTTGTAAGGATATAGGCCATTTTCCTGGGCCCAAAAATACTGGTCGTTCTGGCTGAATATCCGAGTACAAGTGTTTGATTTTGGCAATTTACGGTTGAACAAAGTTAATTAGTACTTTTATTTAGTTTAACCAGATTTACGTCACCCTGTATATTTTATAAATGCATTGCACAAATAAATATTCTTTTTAATCAAACCTAAATTGCATGAAACGGAGTGTAGCGATCAGCTGCAAATGTCATAATTTTTGACGTTGACATTGACACTGTGTAATGTGTATTACTTTTCTCTATGACACTGACAGTCGCAGTTCTGTGAGTGTGCAGTTGGTGTTTTTGTTATTTCCAAATAAAATAAATGATATAAGAAATCAACAAGATGCAGGACTACATCAAGATAATATTCATCATAAGCGGCGGCGTGCTGACATTTGTCATCCTATTCATTTTCGCGAAGAGACAGATTTATCGCTTTGCACTTCGATCCCGTAGAGGCCCACACGTTCCGATTGGAACTGATGCTAAAAAAGTAAGTTTTGGAGATACTTTTATTGTTTTCTCGACTATATTACGTACAAGGTATAAACAAATACCAGGTTCATGTTCTATACATTGCAATCTGTAGAGGAGTCGCTCCAAATTCAAACAATGTACCTTTATTGTCATGCGTGTGTTGTACGCTTGCTTAAGCACTGTTTAGACCTCATGCACGGCCTCATGAGGCGCCTTGAGATATGCTATAACGAACCAACATATTCTTATTGTCAAATCTAGGTCATATAAACTAAAGAGGCTAAAGAAACAAATGAAAGTAACTATTATTTTCAACCGACTTCAAAAAAGGAGGAGGTTCTCAATTCGACCCGTATGTTTTTTTTTTCTATGTTTGTTACGCGATAACTCCGCCAATTATGAACCGATTTAAACAAATCTTTTTTCGGCGTATAGGTAATACCTCAAGGGTGGTCCCATTTAAATTTAATAATAGAAAAAACAACCCCCAAGGGTAGAAAATTGGGGATGAACTTTTTTATACGCAATATCTCCGCCGATTATAAATCAATTTGAACGATTATTTTTTTGTTGAATAGGTATTATCAAAAGGGTGGTTTCATGCGAATTTAAAGAAAATACTTCACCCCCAAGGGTGGAAAATTGGGGATGAACTTTTTTATATGAAATATTTTTAATTTTTAGTTTTTTTTTGTGTTCACGCATTTGAAGTCGGTTTTATTTTTTTTTAAAGTTAATTATTGTACTGTCCAGTGCCTGAAGAAAGAAATCGAGCGGCGCATCGAGGCGGTGCCGCGCATCACGCACGAGCCTCGCCTGCTGAGCGCCGAGCCCTCGCACTACATCCTGGAGCCCCAGCAGCCCTATCACTACCGCTTCCGAGCTGTGGACGATGTCAAGACGCTAGGTAATAATGGGCATCATTGCTTCTATTGAAAAATATTGAATCAGAATATTCTTAGATTCTGCACGTAGTCAGATCAGGTTTATATGTAGTCAATTCAAATCAAAGATTCTTTTGATATTTTTAGGAACACTCCTTAAATGTTTGTGTCACTAGGATAAGTCAGAATGATTTATTTTAAGCCATAGTGATGTTTTAACTGACTGCACAAGTGCACAGAAAAGCTGCAACATTTTTTTTTATTGGACTTGATTCACCTGTAACTTGATATTTGTTCTCATTTCATGAATGAGATCTCGCAGAATTTATTACAGGTTTAAATTCAACACTCCTAGGCTTCTAGCTTCTGCCTGTTCATATAATCTTATTGTTCTTTTGTGTGTAATTTCTTGCATTAATTCTTTTCTCAAAACATTGTTCCTTTACTATCAACAGAGGATGAGATAGCCCACCAAGACCCAGGCCTACGGCGGCACCCGCGCGAATCCCTCCGCGCGTTTCTGCTCTCATCTCTCGCGGCACCACTCGACGGTCGCGGACAGAAGTTGGTGCACCAGTTCTGCGATACCTACGAATATGCTCGTCATCACCCTGGAGAGTTTGGAGACGACGAGTACCAGGCATACAGCAGGCTGCTTCTGAAGCTGTTGGATGCGTGAGTTACACACAAATACATTATCTAACTCTGCTATTGCAAATAGGGTCTACTAGGGTCTGAATTCTCTCATCTCTCGGGGCGCCACTCGACGGCCGCGGACAGAAACTGGTGTATCAGTTCTGCGATACTTATGAGTATGCGCATCACCCTGGGGAATTTGGAGACGACGAGTACCAGGCGTTTAGCAGGCTGCTACTGAAGCTGTTGGATGCGTGAGTCACACACAAATACATATCTAACTCGGCTATTGGAAATAGTGTCTACTAGGGTCTGAATCCTCTCATCTGTCACGGCGCCGCTCGACGGCAGCGGACAGAAACTGATGTATCAGTTCTGCGATACTTATGAGTATGCGCATCACCCTGGGGAATTTGGCGACGAGTACCAGGCGTACAGCAGGCTGCTTCTGAAGCTGTTGGATGCGTGAGTCACACACAAATACATATCTAACTCTGCTATTGGAAATAGTATCTACTAGGGTCTGAATCCTCTCATCTCTCGCGGCGCCGCGAGACGGTCGCGGACGAAAGCTGGTGCATCAGTTCTGCGATACCTACGAATATGCTCGTCATCACCCTGGAGAGTTTGGGGACGACGAGTACCAGGCATACAGCAGGCTGCTTCTGAAGCTGTTGGATGCGTGAGTATTATGCTCAAATTGGTAACTCTTTACTATTGCAAATGCCTAGGGCTGATAGTTGTTACCTGCCAATATCTCACTGAGGATTAGATTTCAGGGTTAGAATGAATCGTTTTATGAAAATTTGTGTCTTGGAATTGAGATCTTTTAGCCTAGGCGCAGACCACCAGTTGGCTCGGGCTGTTCATCAGTATAGAGATGTATGAAAGTGCGCACATTACACCGATTTGGTGTCGGCCGATTCTTCATACAAATTAGAATCGGGTCCAACTATTGGCCAACTAAAAGTCGGTCGTCTGCGCCTAGGCTTAGTCTAATAGTGTCTCCTATGAACTGTAGTTAGATACTATTGTCAACTGCATAATTAATAGCGCTTGATGAAGAGGGTGGTTATTGGTTACTGTTGTCAACTGCCCAATGAATCATCGTTGTGTTTCCAGCGCCCGTCTTCTAAAGAGCGTGGGCGCCTGTCGCTCGCCTCGCGCCAGCCCGCTGCGGCGACCGGCGAGACTGTTGGACGCGGCGCGGCTGCGGCCCGGCGCGCTGCCCGCCGCTAAGCTGCCCGCGCTGCACAAACACTATACCGCGCTCGAGGTACGCACCGAAATGTCACATAAAAACGGGACTATTGTAGATACAAAAGATTTGTCGTCAAATGACTTTTAGAAACATAGGCGAAACAGTTCTCCACTCAAAACGTCATGAATGATTCCGAACATCTTAACTTTATTTGAAAATATTAGTCGTCTACTTGCGTCCTGGATGCAGGCAGCGCAAGACCGGTCTTTGTGGAAATCCTTGGGGGAGGCCTTTGTCCAGCAGTGGACGTCATTTGCCTGAAATGAACGAACGAACTTGCGCCCTGTTGACAAAGAACTTTCTCTCTTCCAGAACATGCCAATAGAGTCCAAATTAGAAGACGAGGTGATCCGCGTCGCAGTGAAGAGCCCGGGGCCCGCCGCGCCAGCGCCCGCGCCCGCCGACGAAACGCCCGTGTGACGCGCGCGCCACGCCCGCCGCGCGCCCAGCCTCACGCTGTAGGCGCTAGAGTGGGACAAAATAGCAAAAGAAGGACGAAATGGTGGTGCAAGAAAGGGACAAAATAGTGGTGCAAGAAAAGGACAAAGTGATATAAAGTGTATCTTTTGGGCTATAAACTATTAAAGACCGCGCCCGCCGACGAGACGCCCGTGTGACGCGCGCGCCACGCCCGCCGCGCGCCCAGCCTCACGCTGTAAGCGCCGGAGCGGGACAACGTAATTAAAGAAGGATGTTATAGTGGTGCAAGAAAGGGACAAAGTGATATAGTGTATCTTTTGAGCCAAAAACATGATTAGTGACGAGATTTCATCCGTAAGACGCCCGTGTGACGCGCGCGCCACGCCCGCCGCGCGCCCAGCCTCACGCTGTAGGCGCTAGAGTGGGACCGAGTGAGGCTTGTGGGACAAATAGCTAGTGACACAAGTGTAGTGATCATGGTAGTGCTAAGATGAGGAAGTCCTGCAAGAGCTGGGGTCCCCCCGCCGACGAGACGCCCGTGTGACGCGCGCGCCACGCCCGCCGTGCGCCCAGCCTCACGCTGTAGGCGCCGGAGCGGGACAACGTAATGAGGGCTATCGTTTTTATACTTAACAGTTGGCACCCCTGGCGATTGACAGGACCTTACTCTACAGTGGCGCCATCTTGATGAGTGCAAATGCGATAGTCCTCCTACCACTTTAGCGCTCACAAGTTGGCGCCACTGTCTTCGCTACTAGCAAGTGACGGGACCTTACTCTACAGTGGCGCTAACTGGTGAGCGCTAAAACGATAGCCCTCATTAAAGAAGGATGATATAGTGGTGCAAGAAAGGGACGAAGTGATATAGTGTATCTTTTGAGCCAAAAACTATAAAGGACACATGATTAGTGACGAGATTTCATCCGTAAAACGCCCGCTAGAGTGGGACAAAATGACAAAAGAAGAACAAAATGGTGGTGCAAGAAAGGGACGAAGTGATATAGTGTATCTTTTGGGTCAAAAAACTATCAAAGACATTTTTAGTGCTAATTTCTTTCCCAAGTCGTCAACAAACAGCTAAGAAAGTGACTGATCTGCACATATTTCTCTAGGCCGGCGGACTGAAACAACTCCAAAGGGCTAAGTGGTATTTATTTGTATAAAAAAGCTTTGTGTTACACAAGTGGTGGTGTAGTGATAATTCCACTATTTATTCGTGTCAGAAAGGCGCAGTGAACGAAAATCTACAAAAGCTATAGGATAGTTTGCTTTGTAAATATTGTAATAATTGTACGTTAATTTTATATACCCGATGTAAGTACGTAATTATATTAATATACGTTATGTTCAGGTATATTATTGTTGTTGTCCACTTATAAGTAATGTCCACTTTATAAGTTAATTCCACAAAACGTACGTCAGAAGGTTGGAACAGTAAAACATGTGATTTCTTTAAAGGTGTAATTGCGACTAAAATAAAACTGGCGGGCTCAGCCGCCGACACATACAAGGAACAGTATAACTATTGTTTTCTATTGTTGATTGTATTGGGCAATGATGTGGGAACGCAGGACGCTACTCAATACGCTCTGTTCATTCATAAAGTTAATTTATTACTCTGATTAATGCGTACCTACATCATCCCCCTCCTTATGCAAAAAAATAAAACACAATAACACGTTGTTTACCTTTTGCTGTAAAACCGCGCCGACGCACGTGTTTGAAGCGTCGGTCATAAGCGATAACTCCGCATCGGGTAACGGGTAATGAAGTGTAGCGGCGCTTTGTAAGCTCTCCTTACACNAAAAAAAACTATGAGTCCCACAGTAAAAATACTCCTATCGTAACTCATACACCGGTGGGCCTACGATCTGGTGAAGGACGCGGGAAGCACCTTGATGTAGTGCCTATGCTACGCAGGACCGGTCGTTGTCGAAATCCTTGGAGACCATGTCCAGCAGTGGACATCCTTTGGTTGAACCGAACGAGACTGTCATTTGATCCAGTCGTTACCAACACTAACATAGCACTAATCAGCCAAACCGTAGTCGGGTGACGACCGCACGCAATCAGTCCGAGCCAAACTCTAATGGAACGCAGTTGGGTGTTGATTGCGACTGCTTTTGAGTACCAACCGTATTAGCATTAAGTGATTGGTACGCTTCTGGAATTGGTGAAGTCAAATTTCGACACGATAAAATAAGTTTAGTAACCTTACCTTATTAAAAAAAACAATTATAGATCGTAGTAACAATTATAATCATAGCGTAGGTATTTTCTATTGTAAGACAACCTAAGAGCAAGAGCACGGGATAAGGCATAGCAGGATACATAATAAGACAATTTGGTATTAAATTCAATGTAATATGACATGTTTTTATTGCTGGTATATTTTGTTTTTCGATGTAAAGTCTACCTACTAGTTACTCTTTTTTAATATTTGCACGCTTCCTGTGAAACCTACCAAATCTATGTAAGACCACTTATGTACCTGGAATTATTACGCAAATAAATAAATTTGATTTGATTTGTAAAGTACCTAATTACAATCATCATCATCATTTCAGCTATTAATAGGACATCCACAGCTGAACATAGGCCTATCCTAATGATTTCCATATTGACCGATTGGTAGCCGTATAAAATAACATTAAATATGACAATATAACGCGTTTCACAAGACGTAAACCAACCAAAATACTTTTAAGCTTTGAATTTAGTGTTTTCTTAAGACAAAAAGTATACCTACATCATTCATACAAATCATTTTTCCCCAGCAGTATATTAATAAAGGACACAGATAAAATAATTGCCAGTCAATTTGTTGTTTCGTACTGGCAAAGACCTTTGATACTCCACATCTGTCTATCATGCAAATAGCTAAGTCGCTTCGATCTCCCTTTGTCGACAAAGTCACGAGCATTTCAATTTTCATAACAACATGAACGAGGATTTCTTTTTTCTATTTATTCTTTCGAGATCTGTATGTATGGTAAACAAAAATTCTTTATTTATGTACATTGTACATTATGCACACTTAGTACATAATATAACCTCTTTACTTTAACTTTTAGTTTATTAATCAGATTCTCGAGAGACTTAGGTTGAGTTGCACCATCTTACTTTAACTTTGACAAACGTCAAAAATCTGTCAAACTCAATACGAAAAGCACCGGTTATTGTCAATGTTACGGTTAAAATAAGGTGGTGCACCACAGCCTTAGATAATGCCAAATATTACATACTTCTTCAAATAGTTTCAACATTTCTTATCAACATTTCTTATTTTAAACAAAACCTTTACATCAACATCTGCTTCAAAATTAAAATAGGCTTAAAAATACTGAATTTCATACCAATAATGAATAAGATACTAAATATGCTCCCTGGGGGAGTCCCGCATTAATCTTCACTAACTTCATAATCTAATTAATATTTAATCTCTGCTACTTCCCAAAATAAAATGGCATTCCCTGTATTGCATTAAAAGATTTTGTAACGAAGGATAATTTTCATTTTAAGGTATTTATTTGTTGATCTTTATTTGATGATAACGCAAAAGCTAAATATAATATCGACTACAGTACAGTTTAACGTTAGCACAGGAATTCTAAGGAACATTTTTATATACCATTATTAATTAAAGTAGCAAGAAGTACAGGTGATTCAATAAACTATTAAAAAACTGCTCCAGAAAAAACAGGAATTATAAAAAAGAGTTAACATAAAAAATATACATGAATTACTCATTTGTTAATCATGAATGTAAATCTCCAGTAATTCGCATGAGATCGTCGAAAACACGGATTAATCAATACAGCAATTAAAATGAAACAAGTCATCGAAATTAAGCTTTATTCCTTCAATCAATTAAAATAATTTATTCGTCATTAATACGGAATTATTTGCTTTTGGAATTTAAATAACATTGCGGTAGCTGTTCGCAAAATGAATGCGAAATTTTCATTCTTCTCTATCGATTTATATTCACAGTCTACTGTCGTAAATTTCATCTTTTAACATTGTATTTTTTGTGTCTTTCAACCATTATACTTCAGCCTAGTTGTCGCATTTTATTGTAATGCTTTTGAAACAAAGATTGACTATAAAAACGGGACTATTTCCACCTCTCTTTACCACCACTGCAACTCTTATGTAGCCAGGATCTGCAGCTTGACCGCTATAAAAACCTAACCAGTGAAGGTCAAGTTTGTCCCGGAAATTGACTACAAAAGTTAAAAAAATCTAAGTCATAATATTTGGTTGCATATTGCGAGTATACTAAAATCATAAGCGTTGTCCCCGAAGCGATGTCTGTACGACCACCCATATTCTATGTACTTCTTGTATTGCCTATCTAAGTAGGTACTACCACGTATTACAGAAAGAACTTGCTTCAAAGCTTGCTTGAGAAATTGCTTCAAAGACTTTTAATTGTCAGGTATCCTGTATGACGCTGTGAAGCGCCACAGCAAAGTTTCTGAGCGCAGTTAAACATGAAGTTGTTCTGCAAACTATTCACTTCCACTTGGTGTTTCTGCACGAAAAAAGACCGTAACGGAACAACAATCAACTCTCTAAAAAAACTTATAAAACTCTTTTTTTTTGCAAGTCTGCTTTTAAAAAGCATTTTTACAAGTCCCAGTATTAACCCTACCACTGCTTCGGGACAATAAATATGCCAGTGCTGAGAAGAAGCAGCGCAAGAAACTCAGTGGCTTACGCCCGTATTCACAAACATTATTGTGAGGTCTCACAGTGCGTGTGGACGCACAGGGTTCCAAAAACCTTTCATAGACAATACTTGAGTCGCGGACACACTCGAACCAATCACAGATCAGAGTTCTATTTAACGCCGTGCGTTCGACTTCGCATAGCGTTGCTGCTTCACTTAAGCAACTATGTTTGTGAATACGAGTGTTAGATGTTGCGTTGAGGTGCAAGTGCAAAAGGAACTTAGGTGAGGAAAAAGTTGAGTAATTACTAGTTTGTCTTTGATCCCATAATTACCATACTTACCACGACCGCATCTTGAGGAATGTTTATAATTCTCAAGAACGTTAATTCGCGCTACAAATCAATGAGCTCCTCGCTCATCAAGTTCCGGTTACTTCGGCAATAAATTCCCGGAGCTAATTTAACTTGAGCAAGAAAACTGACGCTCGGTCGCTATAGTTTAACCAACGGTTAACTTCAACGCCTTGTTTGGACTGTTTCGTTCATTATAACTGTTTGGTTTAATTGGGCCGCTGCGTG